TTTTACGTACAATGACGCTTAATATTTACAGCATATTTTTCAATTTTTTTTTACATTTAATTTTTTGCTTCATTCTACGTTAAGTTTTGTTGAGACATTATCAAAAGTTTACATTTTCAAAATTAATTTTTCTGAGTGATTGCACCAATTAAAAAAAAAGACTTTATATTGTTGAAGAGAATTAAAATCATTTTCAAACAAGGGACCACACGACCCCTTCTCTTATTTAAAATTTTCGAGCGGTTCTTCATAATTCAGAGCGGTACATGAGGGGGTAATATTTTCATGGAATGGAAATCGACCTGTTTCAGCTTTTTCCCAAAAATATATAATAACCCTAAAAATGTAGGTATTCCATATATATGGATCGCACAGTATGATTTTTACATATCTACACTAAAATTCTTCGGTAGCTACTAATGATACGAGTAAATAGACAGGTATGTCAATACTTTTTAAACGTTTTATTTCAGTAGATAACCGCCAATTTCAGAATAATTAAGAAAAATGGTCTTATTTGAATTATACATTTTTGGTGTAAAATTGAACGATGTTTGATTTAACATAAAATTTCAACTTGAAAAGTTATAACCTCAAAAAAGTTATGTTTAAAACTACTAACTCGGTACGAACCATCCCAGACAGCATACCAAATCCTTTGGATATCTACTGGACATCCCAATATCCACTGAATGTCCAGTCCTTGGTGGATATCTATTTTATATCCATAAGATGTAATTTATAGACATGCAAATGTTCATAAATAATAGTAATTATATAACAAATTATTAAAAAATTACGCCAAACGATTTAATCAATGCAAGAAGAGAATACGAAGAATATATCGCTAGTAGCGATAACCCTAAGAAGCTATTTAAACACATAAGATGCTCTCTATCTTCCAAAGTATCAGTACCGCTTCATAAAAAACGGATGGAAACTTATGTAATAATGATGAAGAAACAGCTGAAGCTCTGGCCAACCATTTTTCACAAGTGTTTTCCTTAGAACCCACAGGCGACATCCCAGTTAGTCACGATGCCCGAAGAGCAACCTCTTTATGTAATGTAGAGTTTTCATCTGCAATTGTTAATGAAACTCTCAAAAAAATTCATTCAAATTCCCCACCTGGAATTGACAATTTATCCGCAATGCTTTTAAAAGAATGCACATCTTATTTGGCTTTACCTCTATCCATTATTATGACATCTTCCTTTACATCTCACACACTTCCTTCAATGTGGAAAATTGTTTCGGTGACACCTATTTTTAAAAAGGGTGACAAACTCAGTCCATCCAACTATCGTCCAATAAGCCTTGTCCCAATTGCCTGTAAAATAATGGAATCCATCTTAACCAATTATATGTCTAATTTTCTCAAGAGCCATGACGTGTTACCAAAAGAACAACACGGTTTTATTAAAGGCCGATCCACATTAACAAACCTAATGACCTGCTTAAACGATTGGACTACGTCTGTGGACAATAAAGAGCCTGTCGATGTCGTATATCTTGATTTCGCTAAAGCCTTTGATCGTGTTCCTAAAAAAAGATTGCTTTATAAGTTGGAAAAAGCTGGCATTCGCGGCTCTTTACTTCTCTGGATAAGTGATTTTTTGTCAAATCGCATCTTCAAGGTAAAAGTTGGACAGATGTTCTCGTCAGAGTATCCAGTTCTAAGTGGTGTTCCATAAGGCTCTGTCATAGAGCCATTACTATTCTTGGTATACGCTGCAGATCTAGGCAAAGACTTAAATTCTAATATTGACACCTGAATGCTTCCTTTAAACGCGGAAAAATGTGTCGTCCTGCATATAGGAAAAAATAACCCGTGCGTGAACTATTATTTACTGTGAACTGTGAACTCCTATAACGACCTGGGACTCATTGTGAACTGTTCATTAACGTGGTCAGAGCACATATCAGCGGTATGTAAACGTTCGAACTCAATGCTCTACCTATTAAAACAGTCCTTCACACGTGTGAACTTTCAAACATTTTCTAAACTTTATACAACTTACGTTAGACCGTTGATGGAATATGTCGAGCCTGCGTGGTGTCCTGATCTGGTTTCTGATAAAAAAATATTGGAAAATGTTCAATGCTACGCTAATCGAATACCTTTCGGCAGAATCAGACCATCGTATGAAGAACGGCTTAACATGGCGAATTTGTGTTCATTTTCCCACAGAAGATTAAGAGGTGATTTAATTGTGACCTACAGAATTCTTCATGGTACTTTTTCATCCAACGTCTATCTATAGTTTACTCCCACGGAATACAGATGAGCGCCTACGTGGACATGAGTATAAGTTGAGCAAAGAAAATTTTAACACGTACCCGACAAAACTTTTTTTGTAATAGAGTTTTCTATACTTGGAATGTATTCAAAAACCGACTCGATGACTTTTTAAAGAAAACTAAAAGTTTATTTTTAGTGCTTTGTTTGCATTATGTTTTTTGCTAATTACTTATTTAATAATTGTCTTTGTTATTAATTCTGGGCTTAATAGGATTCATTCCTCAGTCCTAATTTATTTGTAATAATAATAATAGTACCGTTTAGATATTTAAAATTAAATTTTTTTCAATGTGTATTCAATATCCCACTAAATATATCAAAGTCTAGGCGCGAACGCAAAGCATGGTGGATATCCACTAGATGTAATTTATGGATATAATAATATGTACCTAAATATCGGAAAATATGTGAATTGATTTAATAATTATCAAATTGCTTAAATATTACGCCATGGGATAACTAAGAAAGTATGTAGGTATGGTTTACAGAAATTTAAAATTAGTAAGTTGTATTCCATATCCCACAGATATCCGCTAGATAAATAATATTGGCAATGAACGCGAGCGCAGGCGCGGATATTTTCTGCCGTCACAGCTCAGAAGTACCATCTGCCATTTTATAGTTTGTTTTCGGTTTGTGTCGGGTGCATGAGTTTCATTTGATAATTTTGGATTAAAAGGAGGTAAGTAAGCTTTAAAACCAAAATTTATTAGTATAAAAGGTTGATAGTGATAGACTATAGTTAAATAAGACAATGGGTAAATTCACGTTATTAAGATTGTTAAGTAGGTTGTATGCAATGTACGTTAATATCCGTGTCCTTTTTAGGTAATTCACATCTAGAAATTCATGTTGTTTTTGTTATTTTACCTATCTTCATATAATTACTTATTTCATGTGAATATTATTGTTGGTGATTCGGTTTGGTTTTTATTATTTAATGGTTATAATTATTTAGAAAGAGGTATTTTTTTCACTGGTTAAGGTAATCTTATTACATCTGCCTTGTATTCAATAGCATGCATGATGAATTTAACAAGTAAGGTTAGGTTATGTTTAGCTGGGCCAACAGTTTAGATAAATAAGTAAATAATATACACAGATCCAGACCTTTTAAATTATTAGTTAGTGTTATATATTGTACTTATAAGTGACACTCTGCATAAAATGATTTTTTTAGACTTCATTTTCGTTTTTTTTTTTTTTCGTTTCGCTTAATTTAAAATATAGTTTCACTTTTTTAGGAATTCTACAACAGAGTGTCTTTTTTTTCAGGAAGAAAATTCCAGTTGAATTTGCAGCGCCAATATATAATATGTGTGTATGTGTGAATAGGTTTAGGTTTTCCTTGGCTGCGGGTACTATGTTCATTCGTCAGCTTAAATGTAATATGTTATTTAATATAATAGTATGTTTATAATATACTATAGTTTACTTTTTTAAATATATTTAGCCTGCTCATAATATTTGTCTTTGTTTTACCTAACTATAGTTAATAAGATTTATTTGTAAGATGCTTATATGTTAGATAACTCGTGCGTTGTATTAAGTTTAAAACTTACTTCACATATTTAAAGACATTTTGGTGTTTTTTTAGGTATGGTGTACAATATTTAATTGTAAAAATAAAATCTTGATACTCTTTCTACTCTACATGCTATAGCTATGCTGTGTAGCGTCAAAAATAGATAACACTAGAATAGTGAACCTTGTATGGGTGTATATACCAAATTAAAAATATAGGGCGTTCTGATGTTATGCTACTGAAATGCTGATTTTCTTCATATGGAATGTTAATTATTGTTCCATTATCTTTAAAAAAAAAAATTAAAAACGACACCTTATAGGCATATAATTTTCGATATCTTAAATACATATATCAAATAATGGATGTACACTGTATGTGTTAAACATGTATAGGATATATCCATTGGTTACTTATGAACCTCTACTAAAGGTACCCATTAGATATTTTGCTGGATATCGATAGAATATCTTCTATATCCTGGATATAGACGGACATTTGGATATCCATATTAGATCCACGGGATATCTATGATATCCTGTGGGATTGGTGTGTTGTCTGGGATGTAACATGTAACTAGCGCCCTCTATGATAGTAATTTAATTTATTAATGTTTAATTTTTTTTTCAATACCCTGTATCTTGAAAACGAACGCTGTTACGAAATTTTTTAAAATGAGCAAAGCCTTATTATGTAGTGTTCTACCTATATCCTAGCAATGTGGCTTTTTTTGAAACACCGTATATGCTTTATGTAAATGGGAAATGCATTTTATATAGGTAGGTACCTAGTCTAAGCACTTTACAGTCTGATCCAAATCTGTCACATTTATTATCATTAAGTAAAACCATGTCACCCAACTATCTATTTATAAATGGCTAGAGATTAGAGATAATTTGTAAACCGTTATCATTTTTGCTTTACCTGTGTGTTTACATCAGGATTTTTGCTTATTTATCTAATTAATTAATAAATTAAATGTAGGCAACCAACATCACGTCATTACTTCCTGCTAATAACAATTTTGGTAGACATCAAATAAAATTTACTTGTAAGTATATAATTAAATTAATTATGCACTGAGCATGTGTGCTCCACTTTTATTGCATTATCATTAAGCAAATGCATGTCACCCAATTATCTATATACAGATAATTTTTAAATCCGTTATAAGTTTCGCCAAAGTTAGAATGAATATGATGTATAGGCAACCAGTATTACGACAAATCTAAAAATTACGAAACTGAATTACTATTTCGAAATCACCTTCGTATCAGAGACTGTTTCAAGCATGGTAACAAAAATAATTACCTAATAAAAGGTAAAGGTAACGTACGAGAGACTCTTGAGCAATAAGATTGTTAGAGAAAATACGGATATAGTTACCTACAAAGCGTAACAAAATGTTATGTCAAATTGTGAACCGTAGTTATTATTTTGTTATTGTACACGTATATCGCGATACGTATAGGTATTATATTTATTAAAAAAAAATATATAATATTATGGCAATATGTTGTGAAAGTTTGTAGAAAAATTAGTGATTAGTGCTTAGATCTTATTATAGATTGAAACACGGTTGAAAGTGTGTGTGATAGAAATAATAAAAAATATTGGTGAGTATTTTATCACTTTTATAAAAAAAAAAGGTTGCGTATGTACACGTAAGATAAACTGTTTATAAATAAATGTACGAGTTTGGGTTGAATATATATTTAAATAAACAAAAACTGTTTCAGTATCAAGAATAAAACAATATTTGCGCCTATTGGTTATTAAATGTAAAATTAGGAGTTTATTTATATTTGAAATTAAATATATTAAAAATATTCGAAATAAAATAAAAGTTCTGATTTTGATTTTCTGAACACGAGTTCTGGACACTTTATAAGTAAAATAAAAAAACACCGAAAAATTATTGTGAATAATGGTTTCGAGATTACACAACTAAATACATATTTCATGACTATCTTGCTATTTTATTTTACATTTTTCAAATATTTTCACCTGATTATTATTAATCAGATACCTTATGATATATGGAATGTTCATATTTTTTATTATAGTTATATACCTAACTACTAGATTTTTAGCAAGTAAAAAATGTACATTTCTAGAAATAGATAAAGCGATGTTAACAATTATTGTTAAAAAAACAAATTTCTTCTCTTTTTGGTTTTCGATTAACCGTTTTATCGGATCTAAAATTCTGAAAAATGTACCTAAAGTTTTTATACACACTTCCCGATGTGTAAATAATAATTGTTTTATTTCATGAAAAATATTTTATTTTAAAAATTTAGACCATTTAAATTTGAAACAATAACTGGGAGGTCTTTTGTTTACTTAAAAAATGGACAACCTGCCTAAGTATTTTTCTGTATTTATTAATGACGAAAAAAGTAATTAAGCCATGGTTTTTAAGTGACAGATAAGATTACCTGCATTTATAATTAGTTATTTTTATCTAGGTATATAGTAAGTACCTACTCTGTTAAATAAACAAAATGGTAGTATACATAAATAGTATTTAAAAATATACCTAAATACTTATTTTAACCTTAACAAGTTTTCAGTTCTATTTGTTGTTTCGAGTAAGTATAACTAATATTTTATTAAAAAATGCATCATTTCAAAACAGAATTACTGAAGGTCACTATGAGCCAAGTGTGGAGAATACGGAGATCAAATTTTTAATAAAACATAATTTTTATGTGATGACCATTAATCTATATATCAATATTTGTGAGGTTTTAAAAAACCGTAATGCGACCTTGGCAACAGTTTTATTTTTTTTTTATACGAATTCAACTAGATATTCATATGTTAAATAATAATCGTAAATGTCATTTAACTGCGATCGATACCCCTACGCATTGAATTTTGATTAATTTTAACATTGGCTATTGTTTTATTTTTAATAGTAAAATTTCTGCCGATAAGCATTCAAGTAAAATGTAATTATTAATAATAAAGAAAACAAAATATACAGTGCAATAATTTAAAAGCATACCTCTTTATAGGGGGTGGCACAAAATTGATCGAAAACATTTGATCGAATGCATTTGATCGAATAACAATTGATCGAAAATAAAAATGATCGAACAGAAAAATGATCGAAAAGAATAATGATCGAAAAGAAAAGTGATCGAAAATAGATTTGATAGAAAAAGCAATTGATCGAAAAACCAAATATTCATAAAATTATAGAATAATAAAAAAAATGAAAACAAAAATTTAAACTAATTTACCTAACTTCTGTGGCCTAGAATCGTCGCTGGTTGTTTCGCAAAAAAAAATGAAAAATAAAATAGTGTTAAGTAACGTACCTAACTAACCCAACTTGTGCGAGAGCAATCAGTTAATTTTGAATAGCACAGGTTAGGTAAATTAGTTTTTTTATTTTTATAATTTTTTTTGCGAGGCAAACCGCGACGTTTTCAGACTGGAGCAATTTAACTTATTGCTCTGATACAGGTTAGGTAAGTTAGTTAAGATTTATAAAAATAAATAAAAATAAAGAAAACCTAACTAATTTACCTAACCTGTGCGGCCTGGGGCAATTTACTGATTGTTCTGACAGAGCTTAGGTAAGTTAGTTAGTTTTTTTAAAAATTTAACTTACTTACCTATAACTTAACTAACTTACCTAGCCTGTGTCAGAGCAATCAGTTAAATTGCTCCAGACCGTACAGGTTAAGTAAATAGGTTGGGTTTTCTTTATTTTTTCCCTTTTTTGTACAATAATTTTTGCGAAGCCACCCTCGAGGGCTCCAGGCCGTACAAGTTAGCTAAATTAGTTAAAGTTTTTGTTTTCAGTTTTCTCATTTTTCTCTATTTTTTTTGCAAGGATAACCGCGTAGGATCCAGGCCGCACAGGTTAGGTAAATTAATTAAATTTTTTATAATAAAAAAAACTAAACTAACTTACCTAACATACGCGAGAGCAATCAGTTAAATTTAAATAGCGCAGGTTAGGTAAATTAAATAATAAAAATCAAATTGTTTATTGCTAACTAAAGTACAGAAAATACTGTTGGTATTAATTATAAATGAGTCTTTATGTTAAACATTATTTACTATTCATTATTTAATTTTATCTAAATAAAATGAAAATTAGGTATGACCAAATTTGAAAAGGTTTGTAAATGGTGAAATTTGATAAGTACAGTTTTGTGGTAATTTTGTATTCGACAACTAACAATGGTGGCATTGAATTTGTTCTTAAAAGTGGCAAAACGCTTAAACAACATAACTAATGAAAAATTTCTAATTCCCCTTACAAAATTATGAAAAGTACTCTCTTATATCCCCAAAGTGAAAAGAAATTAAAGAAAAATTGATAAGAATCCGGTCGTGCAGGCATTTGTTCTTTCTTTAATTCTCAGCTTTTTCAATTTTTAGTTTGTTGTCACTTTGGGGATATGAGGGTGTAATAATTTCGTAGGGGGTTAGGTTTTTTTATTTTCATTTCTAAATGTAAATTACAAATACGTATTTACAATTTTGATTGCTTTCCTAGACACCTACTTTTTTCTTTTTTGGCTTCATCAATTTTATTAATTTGTTTACAAATAAAATGCATTCTACTGATTAGGTAAAAGCACTATAATATAAAAGTAAATAAGAACAATAGAAGCATTTAAGTAACTTTTACATGAAACATAAAGAGAACATAGAAACGCACAATGTTAACTTTAATGACTAAATTAATGCTTGCAAGACAATTAAAACATGCACTATGAAAATACTATCCAGGGTTCACCTAAATGTTATGTCAGCATTGAAAAAGGTGAGTTCCTGGCATAATTAATTACCAAAAATTCATGTAAACAATAGCATTGAATTAATTTTTTTTTTAAGTTTGCCCTGCCGGCACCACTCGACTCAATAATTTAAATAGGTTAGTACTAAAACAACTCTCCCACGTTTTATTTAAAAACATTATTTGGGTTAATAAAAATTATCTTAAAAACAGAAATATAGAGCATATGTTCATATGATATTTTGAACAATAAATAGGTCAAGGTTAATATTGACATGGCATTTAGGAGCACCCTGTATAGTAATATTAGCATTTGTAACTACTTTTATATGCCCAATGATAAGGTATGTTAGAAAATACATTTAATATATGATAATGAGTTAAAACCACAACCTTTAAAAATTAAACAATAATGAAAAAATAAATGAAACAAACCCTTTTTTAAATTCAACAGTTCCTTTGAGAAGATTTACTGTAAATAAAATATACATTTTATCAAGAAAATAGGTAAAAGTAATTGTGGCAAAGAACTTTAACATAGTACCCACCTTGCTACTGTAGTTCATGTACACATTGGCATGTGCGTGTTTTTATTATTGTAACTTTATCTGGTAGGAAAATTTCAGTTTTACGAAATAGAATCTAAAAGAGCACAGGCAGTACTTTGGTGCATATTTTATTGTTCTTATGTACAACAAATTTTAAATAACCTACCTTAAAAGACATATCCTGGTGTATCACAATTTTTTTAGTTGGAGTGTATGTTTTATCCCATTCAACAAAAATTACATCATTTTTTCCAGGAATAAAGGTACCTGACCACTGTTCATTTGGTGTGCAAATTAGATCCAAATTATCTTTTAAACGGTCAAAAATTTGATCTCCTACATCAACAGTTGCAAATTCATCATCCTGGTGAATAGTTCCTTCAGCAATAGGTTCTAGTATTTTCTTCCTTTTTTTATTCTAACAAATTCAGTTCGGTTAAATGGTGGTTTTCGTCTTTTCTTAATACTGGACAAGTATGAAGGGAGATTCGGGAATATACATGGTATTGCTTCGTTCTTTAATTTCGGCATTTCCCTTTTTATTTTGTTAACAATAAAATTAGTCTCATTAAATTTTGAAATATCATCTTCCAAAAAGTGTAGCTCGCAAACAGAATCATAACTAGACAGTACTTTATCAGCCCTAGGAATCGCATGCTGCCATTGTTCTAAACGTTTAGGATCCTATAAAAAATATTTGCAATGACTAAATTGGGGTTCAACAAAGAAAAATAACAGTAGTAACTCTTCATCTAACATCAAAAAACATAAAAAAAGCAAATTTTCTTTTCTAGTAAATTAAATTTAATGTGTAATTATTGTTGTTTGTAAGTCAGGATTTATGACTATTATTTTTTATTACAGAATTTTGTAATTAAATAAACTACACTCCGCTCCGTAAGATACGGGTTGTGACTATTTTACAATAAATATATATTATTTAGAAATAAATACATTATTTTACTTACACTAGGAGCTTTAAAAAGACTTGGATTTATATCTCCTTGTAATTTCTTTAATTTTACATCAGCTGTATATCCCGTTTTGCAACCCGGAACGAAGCAAATCCTGCTTTGTCATTTTTTGTTACTCATTTTTACTTGTAGTCAGGTTCTTTATTTCAGCTTATTTTTATTCTTTTCACTAAATTTTACAAAAGTCACTTTAATTCCCATTGACTTGCATAGAAAATAGACGTCGTTATTTTGCGACCCGCCAACTACAGTAGTTTTTTGGAACTCTATAAAAATAGGGACGGAAATTTGAAATTTTACCAAGGCCTATTCGCCTCTTTATCTCTAGTCTTTATAAATGTACATTCAGCATTACTCATATCGGAATACTATTAACCCCTACAGCCATCCCTGTAGCCTGAACTATCTAAGCCGATAAGGAAGGTCTCTAACAGATGAGTACGTCACGCGCGTCCTCATTGGTTAAAAATTGCTACGTCAGCCTCAAGCTCATTATCAGCTTCATTCATTGCGTGATCACCAGTCCAACTTTATGGAACACACTGTATAGCATTATTTTTTTTTCTTTGAAAAACATTTTTGGAAATTTCGAAGTGGAGTGATTTTTTTTTTTTTCGTTTTTCTCATTAACTACACTTCACATTTTCACCAATAACTCGAAAACAGCTTGAGATATCAAAGAATCTGATTTCATTTTTCGAACCTACGAGGTATTCTCTATCGCAGTGGCGGCTGGTTTATAAAGTGTTGTAGAACTACAGGACTGCCAAAAAATTCTTGTCTTTAACCACGAGCCCCCATTAACAATAACGTATAACTAGTTAAAATGGATTATTAAAAAAAATTGATTTTGAAATTTGAAACTTTATGAAACCATACTCAAGCAAATACAAGATTAAAGAAAACAAGGCTAGAAAGCTTTGTTGAGGTAAAATAAGTTGGAGAACTGTCAGTGGATAGCATTGAGATAGAATAAAGAGATGTTATGACGATGTTTAAGTGTCCGTACAAGGTCCGCACCTTTGCATTACACCTTTACGTCATATGTCAAACTCGAGATAGTGGAATTAGTCAGTTTTGGTGAAAATAAATGCCATTTTTTTAAATAGATTTAAATGATATAAAATTATTTTCATTCCGTCAGTCTTGAAATATAAAATTATTGTCTCTAAATAATTCAAAGTACGACTCAAGTCGCCATTTTCATTACACTTTTATGTCACTCGATGTGCGTCCATCTATCATTATCGCAAAATAGCACATACTTTGATTTTCTTTTCAAAATAGTGTTATGGTCGTCTCTACTTTATTCTATCTCGTTGGTGGATAGTGCCTAAGTCGATCCAGTGGCGTATAAAAGGGGAATAATTATCCTCCTGGGTTTGTGGGTTTGTGTTAGATTCGGGTTCACATTATAAATTAAAGTTAGAACACATGAGCATAAATTACCCCTCCAAGTTTAAACTCTGTTTGCGCCACTGACTCGAGCTATAGACTTTTTCAAATCAATTTCTAAATATTCTAGATGAATTATGATTGAGGATTGTAAATATTCGATTAATGTTAAATAAAAAAAAAAGCGGAATGTCACATACTTGTTTCATAAATAACTGTTTCAGTAAACCATAATGAGCGCAACGATGTTCACGAAAATACCAGAAATTAAAACAAAAATACCCGTCCCATCGAGCCCCCAACCCCTCCGAAGACAAAACAGTCTCCGGCTCAAAGACGAAAAACGAGTATCCCTATCTATCCCTTCGCGTAGCCAGGACACCAACCACTCGGTTAGCCAGGACAAGAACCCCGTTGATCGATTTTCCGCTTCCGAAAAAGCTACGCAGTCCTCCTTCAGCCCTCGTTTGCAACGGGGGCGTTCGTTCATGGAGAGGACCGACAGAGGGGTGCAAAATGGAAGTCGACGACCGGATAGAATTAAGATAGGGCACAAAAGTCCTGCTGACGTGCCAAAGAGTTTCAACAGTCCTGAATCGCCGGGCAGGATTCGAAGTTTGGTAAGTATACCTATATATTTAAATATTTATAGATATTGCTTTTAATTACCTTGACAAGTGAAGACATATACAGGTGAAGGTCGTCATAAAAAATACTAAGTCAATAAATGTTAATGTTTAAATATTTATTTCTAATAGATTTAATTTTATAGCGCTGGTCTCAAATCTTGTCAATCTGTTGAGAGGTACTATATAGTTTTGAAATAGAAAGAGATATACCTTAACCTGTTTGATCAAATAATGCTCAAACATTTGTTTTTTTTTTTCACTAGAGATCAACATACAAAAATAGTGACCGTAAATGCTTTTAAAATATGTTCAATTTTTTTTTTTATTTTTAAAAGAAACCCATCGGAATAGGGCAGGTATTAACGGATTCACTTCATCTTTTCTTAACTCCTAAATGGTCCTATTTGTGGCATAGTATTTAATTTTATTTCTCTGACTTTATAATAAATAAAATTTCTTTAATTTTTCCAATGCCTATTAAATTATTGATTTCTCATTTTTCTTATAGTTCTTCTTTTCTAAACTGTCAAGTTTTCCTATGTCTAACACTCTTCTAACGTCTTTTTCCTGTTTCAAAAATGTATTAGAGCTTGTTAATTTTTAGTAAGCAAGAAAAACGTTCAAAAATAACTCAAAAATTATTATTTAATCATTTCAGTTTGTCGCGACTAGATTCGGTTTAAAAGATCATCTTCAGGTTTAAAATACAAAAACACAAAAAGTTTTGTAGTGAACAAATACAAATAAATAATGAGATTACTTACATCAAAATACACTCTGCACAAAAATTAGCGCATCATTATTAAAAGTGACAAAAAGTTTTTCTTTATTTGATTTTTCGATATATTTAAGTATTGGGACACCACCCTGTATATTAGTTTTGGATACTTACATGCAAAAACGGATGAGTTTTTTTATGTGTAAATGTTTTTGTAAAATAAATACTTAAGGTGCATTTTGCAAGCAACGATTGTGGCGATGATCGCTGAGCGATAATTGCATTGAATAATCGTTTACAACTGCGATCATATTTGCCCTAAGACCACGCGAGGAGATAAACTCACTAGCGTCTATTGTTATTATCGCTCATAGGAAAACGGAAGTACGTAAAGATCGCCTAGCAGTAGTTCGTTATGATCGCTGCTTGCAAAACGCACCTTAATACTTTGAAATTGCAACCAACTTTCGCGATTAGTTGCTTTCAATATTTAGTAAAGTTAACTTGGTTTTTGTGGTATTTAATTTTGAAAATGATTGAAATGAATAATCCTGACCGCCACAGAAGAAATTTGGAACATGACGAATTGGTTAGAATCATTACATTACTTGAAGAAGGACGAAGTCAACGTTACATTGCAAATACTTTTGATCTTCAACAATCAACAATTTCCAGGGTAGTTGCCTGGTTTGGAGAAACAGGGCAATACGACAGAAGGCCTGGCCAAGGTCGTCCAAGGGTTACCACAGCAGCGGACACCCGATTTTTAACATTAACCACTCTTCGAACTAGCCGTTGCCCGCAACACAAGAATTTTTGTGCAAACAATAAGAAATCGTCTTCGGGAAGGAGGAATTAGAGCCAGGGTGGCCGAATTGTCCACACCTTACCAAGGAGCATCGTGTTGCACGGTTGGAGTTTGCCAGAAATCATGTGAATTGGGATATAGACGATTGGTCCAATGTTCTGTTTTCTAATGAATTTAGATTCAGCCTGTTTTCATCTGATCGACGAATTCCAGTCTACAGGCGTGATGGCGAACAATACTTTCAGTGTAACATCAGAGAAATGGAACCTTTTGGTGGTGGCTCTGTTATGATGTGGGGAAGAATTTCTTTTGCGGCTCATACAGAGTTAGTACCAGTTGTGGGAGGAAATTTAACAGCTGCAAGATATGTAACGGGCATTCTTGAATCCTATGTTGTACCTTACGGTCCATTCATTGGTGACAATTTTGTTTTTATGCAAGACAACGCTCGCCCGCACACAGCTTTAATTGTTCGTCAGTACCTTAACGAAGTTGGTATTCCCACATTGGTTTGGCCAACTCGAAGTTCTGATTTAAATCCAATAGAGCATGTCTGAGACAATTTATCACAAGTACGAAATCGACCAATTGTACCTAACAGCTTAAATCAACTTTAAAATGCTCTAACCGAAGAATGTGACAATTTTCCAGAACAATTGTTGCAAAGCCTGATTTTAAGTATGCCACGTCGATGTCTGTCAGTATCTAGAGCACGGGGTGGTAATACAAGGTATTAATTTTGTTTTATTTATCGATTGCACCCAAATTACTTTTTTAAATTTGTAAAAAAATCGAATAAATTTATTTGGTCCCTTTTTAAGTTTTATTTTTTTGCCATTATTGCATACAAATAGTTCTTAATTTATAAGACACCAAACTTTAAAAAAAAAATTGCAAAAATTTTACGTTTTGTAAGAAAATTCAAATGATGCGTTAATTTTTGTGCGGAATGTATAACTTATACATTAAACAAAAACATTATCCAAATCCATCATATGGACGGTAAATATAAACATTAGTAGTATTTTTTAAATTAAATTAAAATTAAAATAAATAATAGTATTAATCATTAGCGTATACAAGGGGGGTAATGGAAGTAATTACCCCCTTGCCCAGGGTTTGTGGATTTGTATTCGGTTGTTTACATTATAAATAAAAAGCTAGAACCTCTAACACATGAGCATAAATTACCGCCCCCAAGTTATAAAATTCTATTTAAAATTGGCGTATTTCTAAAAAATTTAATCACAAAAAAAGTTGAATTAGAATTTGTTTGTATACTATTTTCTTAATTGTTTACAATTAAATAACATAGTCTTCTAAATTTTTGCAACCGTGTATACTGTACGCTCTTATAATTTTTTATTTTACTACTGCTATATAATTTAGGGTCGAATTTAATATCCTTTCATTTTCAGTCTCTATCTCTATCAAATGCAAGATTAACTAATAACTCCAAATCACCTTCAATCACACATTCATCTCCTCATCGTCCAATATCATCAGAGTCCAGAAATTTTTCAACAGGTGCTATAGACGACTGGGATACAGCTAGTATAACTAGTATAGGTACGTGTATAGGCAACTTTTAAATGTCCCTTCATAACTATTTTTTACTCTATTTATGTGGGGTCCTTATGTTTCTGCGCATGTCCGCAAATATGACAAACTGGCGTGTGTTAATTATTGTCATTCGATTAAAAGTGGTCGATGGTTTTGATTATTTGTTTGTTTGTAGTGCATGTTTTAAGACATATTTATTATCTTATTAGTTTTATTTTTTTATATATTGTATGATATTTTTGTCAAACACAAGTTATTTTACAGTTACTTTTCTCAGTGTAGAAATAAGCTTAAAACACATCAACAGTCAAATAAAAAAAATGTATAATAATCTGACCACTCGGATATAAAAGGAACAATCCCACCATGGACGTGCGAAATAAAATTTTCAATAATGATCTTTTGACAAAAATGACCAACTGTATTTCTAAAAAATACGAGAATTGTTCTATCTTCATCGCAATACCCAATCAATCAGTTTTGTACATATTAAGGCTAGCAGAACGTCTCAATGTATCATTTTTTTTTTTTTTTCGTTCTATATGGATTTGCACTATAGTACGTTTCGTCTATTTTCTGGCCAAAAGTGGCCAAATAACAAATAATAACAAGGAAACCCTTGGCTTGATATAATAGCAAGGACGGCTCCAGGGGGGCATAGGGGCCATGCCCCCCCGAGAAGAAAATTCTTATGATTTATGAGCCTTTTATTCAAAAAAAATATGCTAAAAAGGGAATATCTAAAGGCAATGCCCCCCCCCGAAAATTCTTCCTGGAGCCGCCCTTGTATAATAGCTCGGCCTCTACTCTTCAGGGCAGGGCTCGTATATCTAAAGGAGGGTTGCTACATAACCGTCCATCTTGGACGTTATTTTCATTAGAAATAGTAGTCGCCAAGCTTGCCAATTTATGAAAAATTTATGAGTGGTTTTTAAAAATATTTTCATTGCGTTTGACATAAAATATGTAAATGTAATCCATTATTCATGATTTCACGCATTGAGAAAGAATAAAGCAGAGATGCTATGACGATGCTACAATAAATTTCCGCACCTTTTTATTACACTTTTACTTCATATGTCAAACTAGAGCTAGTGGAGCTAGTCAGTTTTGGTGAGAATAAATGCAATTTTTTTTAAAGTCAACCGGATTCGCTTCAGGGGTTATTGGAGTCTCTAATAATGAATCTGATGTCAAAAATACAAGATTCAAAATTGCAAATTCAATATGGCGGACTGTGAATGGAAAGACAAAAATATTGAATTAGGCGTAATTCATTAATAAGTTTTAACTGTTATTCTCAGTTTCAAGTCTTGATTAACAATTTTTTAATTTTGTCGGCTGCCATTTTGGATCCGCAATTTTGTATTCCTATTTTTTAAGGTCATATTCAAAATCAGCGATCTCGAACACACATTAGAAACCTTCTAGGTTTAATTTTTCAGGAGTAGTATTCGACCCGCCATTTTGCAATTCTAATTATAAATGTCATATTCAAAATCAATGACCCCACAACTACTTTAGAAACCCGTCAGGTTTCATTTTTACGCTTTAATATTTTCGGTTGCCATATTAGATTCGCCATTTTGTATTTATTATTTTTATTGTCATATTCAAACTTAGCGACCTCTAAACCCCCTTTCAGGTTTCATTTATATACAAAACAAACAATTTTTAATATTTTCGGTTGCCATATTGGATCCGCCATTTTGTATTTCTTATTTTTAGTCTCATATTCAAAATCAGTGACCCGAAAAATCACTTAGGAACCCTGCAGGTTTCATTTTTATGAGAAACAAACAATTTTTAATATTTTCGGGCGCCATATATTGGATCTGCCATTTTGTACTTCTAATTTTTAATGTCATATTCAAAATCATCGACCCCAAAAACCCCAATATGAAAATGAATCTTTGATATATGTTGGCCAAAAAAATTGGCATAACGTCACGAAGAGCTTTGGTAGTATCTAGATTAGACAGTCTCGGTTTAATTTGATTATTTTTCTTTATTAATGTGTGTTCTGTGTACGTTTTGTAACTGTTTCCCAGCGCCACTTTACAGACAGATTTGGAAAGTCAAAATTCACTGAAAGTGACAGCGTCATTAATGAATAAAATAAAATATTAATAATTTTCAAAGTTAATGTGTTTGTAACCATGTCAGACCCGTATCTTGATATTTCAGGTAGCATTAACAGCGTGGCGTCCTGTGATCATTCTAGTGTGGCCTGCAATGGTACCACTTTTTCCGGAAGAAGCATGAAGTAAGCGATACTTAAATTTCATTATTAAACTTCGAAATAATAGCATAAGGGGATGCTTAGACCTTGCTAATTAATTTTGTTTTGTATGCGGATAGTTATTGCTTTCAGACATGTTTCTTATTCAGTGAACAAGACAAGAATGTGCAATTTTATGACTTCCTCTATGCCGTTACTTAATTACTTGTTTGTTTAATTTGTATTACAGATTAAAGTACTAATAATTCTATTACAAAATGCATTTATATAAACTCAATTGATTCAGCTACAGTGCTCATTGATGACCTCTTCTTTTTAAAATTTAAAACTATGTTATGAAGAAATAAAAGGATTTGTATAATAGTTTGTATGAAAATGCATGATAGCACAGTTTTTATGGCAAATGCCTATATTTTTTATATAATTTTGCTATCATTCATTTTCAAATAAACTATAATACCTCTAATCCTGCATACAGTATTTTAGAAAATACTTATTTACATTTGAGGACTACTCTAAAGATTTGTAACTGTTTCAAAACATGGAATGATCTTTAAAATTTTCAACCATTTTCTTTAAGGTACGTTTTTCACTGTAATCAACATGCCGGAGCTGTTGGTGACGAATACTTAACGCCCACTCAAAGAGCTCAAAAGCAGGTCAGAAAGTTGAAACATCTACTCCAGCAGGCCAAAAAAGATTTAGAGGAAAAAGACAGTGATATATTGAAATTAACCAAAGAAGTAGTCGAATTAAGGTTGTACAAAGCAGCTTTGGGTTCGCCTGAAGACAAATCAAACTCAAGGTAAGATACAAATAACTTTCTTCACTTTAAATATGTTCGATGCTACTTTACTAATTTTTTTTTTACTTATTCTTGAGCTACCACATCTCCAATCCTTTTATCTTAATCCTATGTTCTATTTGTAGATGTTTTTTATTTAAATTTGGTATTTCATTCATCGACGTTTTTTTCATATAAGACTGGATAAAGTTCCATTATTTTTGGTTTCAATTTTTCTTGAAATTGAAGACCTTTCTTATCCGTCGATAATTTGCTTTCGCAAAATATAGATTAAGCTGTTTTTCCCCAGATCTGACGATATAAAAATATTGCAGCGTCGTTTTGTATAGCAGAAGTAAAAGTTGGAAAGGCTTTTACCAGTTCTCCCACTTTATACACATAAATTGACAGGTTTGCGGCGAATCTCACCGAAGTGGACGCGATACATTGGCGTATAAAATTATTTTATAGATGTTAATAACAATTTCGAGTAAATAGTTTAATAACTTGTGAATAGCTGTTGAAATTTTGTAAAATTTTGATTTGAATATTATAATACATGTTTAATAATTATTTATAGTCCATAAACACATGCGATTGTCCGGTTTCGCCGATAACAATTTAAAATTACTTATTCTATGAAACGACACTGGCAGGTAAACATTACTGCGAAATTCTCGAAGCCGTCCGACGTGGTTTGACTTTTACCCCCTCTCTACCTACCAAAGGCCTTTCCAACTTTTACTTTCGCAATATAAGAAGTATAGCCAACTACTGTTAGTATTTTCCACGCTTTTCCCCATAAATCTGCTAAAAGGCAACATTGTAAAATGGTATTCCATTATTCTGCCTCAAGTAAGGCATTATAGGAAACTGCCTTGCCAATTTAAAACAAGCTATATAGCCTAATCTATTTTTAATTAATGATCCACAACTCTTCTCTATATTATCCTATTATCCATTTATTAGTTTGTTTTTTAGTGATGCCATCACTGTCAGAGAAAATACGAGTAACGAAACGACACCGGAAGATATTGTGGACGGTATCTCTAATAACGTTATCAATGAACTGAACAGTTCACTTGGGGATTCCGGCCATTTTGAAGACTGCACGAATTCGTCCGTTAATTCTAAAGATTCGGTATTATTTGAAGAATGTAGATCTGTAAGTAAATATGGATAAAAGCCAAAAATTTCCCATATAGTTTAGTTAGTGAATGAATACCGGATTCGTAGAAAACTTTTGAACTTCCCCTGGTAACATTTATTATACTCTTCACACAGTAGGCTGTGTAGAGTATGCGCTAGTTCAGTGTGATGTCATTTTGGTTCCACTGACATTTAATTCTAACCAAACTTTTAACAAAAACATCAATATATTTGACATATACGTTTTTACTGTTTTTATTTTATTTCAAAATATTGTTTACAGGCCATAAAAAATAGTTTAAAGGTATGTAATTGGTAACTAAACGATTGTATATTTGATGCATATTATCTACTTACTTTAGGAATATAGTTATAAAAGTGAAAAAACGATATAATTTAGGTAAACAAAACGAACAAAACGCACTCAAAAAATCTGCTGTCACTTTAATTGTCAGTGGAACCATAATTACATCATCACTGAACTAGCGCATTATGCATTCGGTTCCGTCTGTCCGTCGACGTCACGTTTTTTGTCCGCACGATATGTCAAAAACGAAAAATAATATCAACTTGAAATTTTTAGCAAAAATCATTGCTCTATAAGGGGACAAACCCTATTGATTTAAAAAAAATCTGAATTAAAATTGGAGGTTAAGGGGGGTTAAAATATTGAAATAAAAAACGATATCAAATTGAAATATTAAGGAAAAATCAAGCTATATACAGGGATGAAGCCGAATTGATTCTGAAAAAAAATGTGATTGAATATGTGAATTTAGAGTGGGTGGGTGGGTCTGTTAAACAGCGAAAAGAATATAAGTGCTCTTTCACACGAGGATACTGTATGCCAGATACGTGTATCTGAGAATACAGAATCGCGGTCAAAAACTTGGGCTGCTGTATCGAATTCACGCATCTCTTCAATCAGTACTAAAATAGTCGCAGTGCCGTGCATAGATTTTTGAATTATGGATCTAGAACTGTATTGGGAGTGTGGTATAAGTACAGTTCATCAAATTTCTAGAGGTGTTCGACGCCCAGACAGAGAACGCGCTACGTGTGACTAAGATAGCTATTGTACAGTTTGCTAAACAAGTTATTTTAAATAGTTTTTAATATTTTTAGGTAATTAAATTTTAAAAGTGTGGAATAGTTTAGGGATTAAATTGGTCTGATTGGACTTTCTTAGAACGTTTTTAAAAGCAGCTAAAGATAGTATGTAGAATTGAAAATAATTATTATGCCATAAAAGGTGTTTTGGAATTCCTTCAACCTTTTGAAATTGAGTCAGAAAATATAAATTTTATAGGATAGCGGAAAATACCTATAATTTTTTTGTAGGCCTTTGTAAATCGTGGAAATAGTTTATATTTTATTTCTACCTTATTAAGGAAAATGGTACCTATTATTATTTTCGAAATTTTGTTTTTCTACAAAATAATAAACTATACTATTTAGAAAAAAATTTATTTCTCTTATAATTTTATAAAAAATAACAGGGGAATATTTACATTTCTTGATCTATTAAACAAAACGATAAATTATCTCGACGAATGACACAATGTTCTAGTACGGAAGCTAGCTTTACATTTTTGTTGGTGGTTTCATGGGTTTCATATCAATTTTTTGTAATTGTAGTTTACACGTACATATACCTCTTAACACTTATTTGCTTTATTAAAAAAGTGTGTTGTTGTGATTTACGTCGAAATAAGTCAAAAACAACTTGAAACCCCATATAAAATCAAAAAGGAGAAACGGAAAAAAATGGAGCCTGTAAATGAACACAACTCAGGAACAAAAATAGCTATCTAATAATAAAAAAATAAAATTTGATTCTTGTGCAGCTTCATCTATATCATTAACTGTTTTTGGTTTTTTAATGGTTTTTCTTGGTGATGAAAATTCCGATATCTCACGGTTATCGATTCTTTTTTTCTCTCCAGAAATGCGGACGACAGTGTTTTTAGATACTCCTGTGGCTGCAGCAACACGATCATTTACATTTTTAAATGGTATTGAAGGTGAATTAAAGTTTCCTTCTCTTCTCATAAACTCTATAACATTGGCTATTATTTCGCGAGATTGACTGTTAATCACGCGGCCTCTTAATTTGCTATTAAACTCCATACTTAGGTTCTATTAAACTGTAATGAGCAAAAAACACAAACGAAAATAAAAGAAATGTTTTAGCGAAATTTACATCTGACATTTAAGTCTGAATGAAATAGCGAAATTTACATCTGACATTTACGTCTGAATGAAATAGTGAAATACTTGATGCGCAGAGTGTACTTTCATTGCGTAAATCCGTCGGGATGCCTGTCAGTAGTGCTTTCTCTGTCTAGCCGTCGAAAGCCTCTAGAAATTTGATGAACTGTATTAAGAAAAAATAATCTGTGTGTCCTGTATCCCACAAACAGGGATTAGGCTTAGGACTTGGCGATTATCAAAATCAATAATTGATAATCGATTATTCGGAATATTCGATAAATCGAAATAATCGATTAATTGAAAATAATCGAGTCATTTAAATAATCACGTCATTAAAATAATCGAGTCATTAAAATAATCGAGTCATTAAAATAATCGAGTCATTAAAATAATCGAGTCATTAAAATAATCGATTATTCAGAATATTTGATATAATCGATTCATTAAAATAATCGATTATTCGGAGTATTCGATATATCGAAATAATCGATTAATCGTAAATAATCGAAAATAATCGAAAATAATCGAAAATAATCGAAAATAATTGAAAATAATCGAAAATAATCGAAAATAATCGAAAATAATCGAAGATAATCAATTGGTCGACCATAATCGATTAGTAGAAAATAATCGATTAATTAAAAATAATCAATCGAAAATAATCAATCGGTAATAATCGATACCACCCCTAATTTTGCTTCATCAAACTTCATCAAACTAATACTTTTTCGATGTTATAAACTTTGTGCTCCATCACTATTTCATAGCGTTAAGTATAAACAACCTAGGCAGTTGAATTTTTATTAAAAAATATCCTGCGCCTATGATATAATCTCTGTGTATCCATAAATCAATTTGGAACCAATTCATGTTGTTTTCCAAGAAAAATGTACGAGTTTGACGCAAATGCACCTGTAGTACATTACTTTAATTTTAAAATACTGGGCATACAACATGCGTAGAAAAGACGGTGAAGAATATAAAAATTCTGTAGCTTAGGCTAATTTTTTATTCGTAAAATAATTTTAACATTTACTTCTCGTGCTGCTAATTTAATCGTTGAACTGGCATAATTTTTAAAATTTTACTTTGTATTAAAATTTTTAAAATGTTTTCTCATACAGTTTAATCGATTAAAATAGATGCACTTAGGATACCCTTGAAAAATATCCTGCGCCTATGATATAATCTCCGTTGCAAAAGTATCCATGTCTGAAAAGGTCCATATATCGTGATACTAATTCTGTATGCGGCATACGCATTCAGCCTCAGCGGCTGAAGGTGCCGGGATACAGAAATTCAGTATCGCAATACTGTATGCGTCGCCCGTATACCGTGTAAATAGATCCATTTGAATGTATGGTCAGCCTGAATCTCAGATACGCGTATCTCGCATACAGTATATTCGTGTGAAAGAGCTCTAATATAGAATGTCAAGCATTATATATCTTCATTTTAGTTTCTTTTAGGTGTGATGACGTCGAAAGTTCGACTGTAATTTGCACGATTTCCCTTAGGTTAAAACTGAATCGCCATTTTTTTGCCGTAAATACACTAGCGAACATAGCGGGTTTTTACTCGTACCCTGATCAATTCTAGCCATTTCTTTGGAGATTTGAAATACTTCATAGTTATACCGTGGCCTACCCAGACAACACACCAAATCCCAGAGATATCCACAGAATATCTTTTGTGGATATCCAATATATCCACAGGATATCAGAAATATTCCGTGGATCTAATATGGATATCCAAATGTCCGTCTATATCCAGAATATAGAAGATATCCTAATGGATATCCAGCAAAATATATAATGGGTATCTTCCAGAAAATACAAGAAATCCCTGTGATATCCACAGAATATATTTTGTGGATATTCAGCACATCCAATATGGTTATCCAACCAAATGTCCGTCTATATCCCAGGATATAGAAGATATTCGAATATTCAGCAAAATATTTTATCTTTAGTAGAGGTTTATAAGTAACCAATGATTATTGAATAACGTCGAAAGAAAATAGCAGAGATAAAAAATATTTTCAACACTCAAAATATTTTCAACACTCTGCCTTTGATTTTGCCCACTAAGGAGAAAGTCATCCTTATTAGGACTCTTCAGCAATAAATGGAAATTCTCGACTCCAGTCTCTAATGGAGTCTGATTAGGACACAAATTTCGATCGAACTCAATTACGGCGGGTCAAGCATGAGTACTTAGATGCGAAAGTGGTATCGCCATCTATACTTAGTAAGCAAAATCAAATAACATCTAGTGGATATCCATGATGGTTTGCGTTCGCGCCTAGACTTTGATATATTTAGTGGATGTCCATTGAATATTGAATACACCTTAAAAAAATTAATTTTAAATATCTGAACGGTACTATTAGCCACAATGGCGAGCACAATGGCGTAATTTTTTTAATAATTTGCTATATAATTATTATTTATGGACATTTGCATGTCTATAAATTACATTTCATGGATATAAAATAGATATCCACCATGGACTGGACATTCAGTGGATATTGGGATGTTCAGTAGATATCCAAAATATTTGGTGTGCTGTCTGGGTACTGTCCTGGGTAAAGTAAATACCGTCTCTGGAAATACTCATCCGAAATTATCTACTTAGAGACAAACCCATTATGTTAAAAATAACCTTTCATCTTTTATTATTACGAGGGGAATAGAAAAAGTTCCCCTACAGTAACTGAATCGATATAATAACTAACTTTTCATTTATCCTTTTTAGCCTAGCAAATCATCAGGCAAGATAGGTAGATTAGAAAAATCGACATCTGCCGATCTAGATGCCGAACACAGAAAACTTATCGAGGAGTACGAGAGGCGTTTCCAAGAACTCATCCAAACGCACGAAGAAGATTCTCTTCAAATGAAACAGAAACACAATGAAAAAGTCGAAGAACTTTTGCAAAGGATTAGCGAAATAAACTCGAGGTTGGCGTACTTATATATAAAAAAAAACAGTTCTTGTACTCAACAGATTGTTTTTTTAGGTACTGGCAGTTGGTGCCTGAATTAGAAGAAGCTAAAGAACGAATTAAAGAGCTGGAATATCGATTGGAAGAAGCCAGTAAAAAGTTGGAGGAGCAAACTGTCCAAGCAGCGGGAACTAGTTCTACATCTGATCAAATTTTGAGAAAAAGTGATGCGTTGATTCAGCATCATACAAAGGTTAGTTAAATAATGTTATTTTAACATTGAGAGTTTACATCAGTCACAAATTTTCACTAGCACTGTCTGATGAGAACCCCTTATATTATACTCATCACACAGTAGTTTGTATATTTATAGGTTTACTTTCGAGTAACCAACATTTTTAATATTGATCCAAATTTTAAAATGTTTGTACATTTTGTAACGACGTTATTATGACGTTACTCTATGACGTTAATTGTGCCTAGGTCTAAAAGAAGGCTCTAAATTTTAAAATGTTTGTACATTTTGTAACGAGTTATCATAGCATATAAAACAACCAGCAGTATTACTCCCTCATTTTTTCGCATCTGAGCAGTTCGCCTCGCAAGACATTGCTCGATTTAGAACTAAACTGGTCAGTAGCGGATGTGATTGCATGGGCGAGAGGTTAGATTTATTTGTTGTGTTTATTCATTTGTGTTTAGTTGCCAGTGGCGGAGTTATTTTTATCGTTTTAAACCTTTAGGGTGAGATTACAGAACGTCTGCAACTTTGCAGATCTGCAAATATGGTGGACTTACAGATGCAAGTATCAAGTTTTCGTATTCCAAAAAATATCTACAAATTCGCAATATTTATTGTGGTTTATTACCCCAAACAACACTAAACCCAAATCCATTACTATGTTTAAAAACTCTAATAATCTGCAAAGTTGCCGCCATATTTGCAGATCTGCAAAGTTGCAGACGTTCTGTAATCTCATCCTTAGTATTTAGTATTAACTTTTATTTAGTATTAGTATTATTATTTTATAAAATTAGTGAAAAACATAACAATATGACTTCGAAGCCAAAATACGGTGTGGTTTGTGCAGCAAGTAATTGTTCAATAAAAGTTACTCCTCCCACAAAAGTTTCTTCAGATTTCCTGTTGATTCTAGAAGGTTCGTATATTTTTTACATTACAGTTTATTAATATATTACCAGCACTACTATTTTTTATATGACCTAAAATTATACAATAAATAAAATGATAGCATGGTTGGTCGCGTTGTTCTCACAGATACATCCATTTGTCGCAGATTGTTCTACCATGTATTTAGCAGGCATCTATTTATGTACTTATCTAATTAGTTTATACTGTGGTAACAAATTTTGAAATTAAGAATTTAAGCTGTCGTAATTCAAAAAAACATTTAAAACAATGAAGATCTAAAGTTTTCCGTTTGCATCTATTTATGTCTCTAATTAGTTTATTGTGAATATCAAATTGGGATTTTGGGATGTCATTCTCAGAAACTATTTAAAATAGTCTACCTGAGGGCCACATCTATTTATGAACTTATCTAACTAATAGTCTATTGTGATAATCTTCACTTGTCTTATTACAATTAGCAGACATTAAATATTATAATCCCCTAGCTCGGGTCGGGATTATTTTTATTATAACAAAAAGTATATGTTAAAACGAAAAAAAAATAGTACAAAACTCTGTACGGTGATTTTTTCATTTTTTCATTCCGGGACAGAAAATTGTGAAGGAGATATTGAACCAATTCTTTTACGACTTAGTAAAATGCCACTAGAAATACAATTGGAGAATTTGCCACAGGTCACAACAAATACTTCTCAAGAATGTCAAGTTTTTAAAATAAACACTGATTACCAAAGTGAGGATATTTTGCAAACGAATTTTATAAGATATGTCTGCGGTTTATTTATTGAAAAAAGCTCTCGAAATTCATAATTGCGATATTTGCAACCAATATTCAAAGGTACGTGAAGAGATTGATGAGTCATCTTTATATGTGTTTTTTAAAGCTTACCAGAATGCCCAGGATGACCCATATGGCAACCTTAGAAATCCACATGATGATTTTGTACAAATAATTAGCACCATTGAAACAATATTTCAAAGGAATTTTATAACGTTTATAACTGAGCCAAAAATTTGTGAGCGGTATATTATTTGCGAAGATATTTTGTAAACACATCCGTGTCCGAATTTCCCAATAATTTGTAATACATTTATATTTAAGAGTTTCTTTATATTATACTTTTAAAAACAAATAAAAATTTTAAAAATATTAATAAAAATAAGTTAATTATATGGCGCCATGCATAAAATTTTAAAATGTATGTTATTGTACTATTGTAACACAAATATTTTTTTAAAAGAAAATAAAAATATGTACGATTCCCCACCAAATAAAACACCTGACATATTAAAAAGAAATGCTTTAACAAATGAATAAATCAACAATTAAACAATTTTTTATTTTCTAAATTCATCCTAATACGTTCCTGACATAACATAGCCGAAAATTCACAAATATTCCAAATCCGACTCCGACTTCTAAATTGAAGTGACATAAGCAAGGTCAAATTTCTATTTTTACTTTCCTATCTGTATACAGTATACAGATATAAGGAAAGTATAGGAATCATGATTTTTTTCGAGCTCGAGTTATCGACGGATTTTTACGTTTTGAGGTCACCTGAATCCGTTTTGAGGTCCCCTGAATCCGTTTTGAGGTCCCCTGAATCCGTTTTGAGGTCCCCTGAATCCATTTTGAGGTGTGTGTGTGCGTGCGTGTGCGTGCGTGTGCGTGCGTGCGTGTGCGTGTGCGTGTGGGAGTGAGTGTGAGAGTGAGTGTGAGTGGAGTGTGAGTGGAGTGTGAGTGGAGTGTGAGTGGAGTGTGAGTGAGTGTGAGTGTGAGTGTGAGTGTGAGTGTGAGTGTGTGAGTGTGTGAGTGTGTGTGTGTGTGTGTGTGTGTGTGTGTGTGTGTGTGTGTGTGTGTGTGTGTGTGTGTGTGTGTGTGTGTGTGTGTGTGTGTGTGTGTGTGTGTGTGTGTGTGTGTGTGTGTGTGTGTGTGTGTGTGTGTGTGTGTGTGTGTGTGTGTGTGTGTGTGTGTGTGTGTGTGTGTGTGTGTGTGTGTGTGTGTGTGTGTGTGTGTGTGTGTGTGTGTGTGTGTGTGTGTGTGTGTGTGTGTGTGTGTGTGTGTGTGTGTGTGTGTGTGTGTGTGTGTGTGTGTGTGTGTGTGTGTGTGTGTGTGTGTGTGTGTGTGTGTGTGTGTGTGTGTGTGTGTGTGTGTGTGTGTGTGTGTGTGTGTGTGTGTGTGTGTGTGTGTGTGTGTGTGTGTGTGTGTGTGTGTGTGTGTGTGTGTGTGTGTGTGTGTGTGTGTGTGTGTGTGTGTGTGTGTGTGTGTGTGTGTGTGTGTGTGTGTGTGTGTGTGTGTGTGTGTGTGTGTGTGTGTGTGTGTGTGTGTGTGTGTGTGTGTGTGTGTGTGTGTGTGTGTGTGTGTGTGTGTGTGTGTGTGTGTGTGTGTGTGTGTGTGTGTGTGTGTGTGTGTGTGTGTGTGTGTGTGTGTGTGTGTGTGTGTGTGTGTGTGTGTGTGTGTGTGTGTGTGTGTGTGTGTGTGTGTGTGTGTGTGTGTGTGTGTCTGTGTCTGTATGTCGCATAACTCATGAACCGATACACAGAAAAACGCCAAATTTTAAACTTAAGCTTTATTCCAGCGTCTAATGAACTGATTAGATTTTGGGTAAAGTCGGAACATCTGGGGGGGTACTTTATGGCTGGTCATTTTTATATTTTATGGAATATATCTATTATTTACGTTTGGAGAAGAAAATTCTTTAAATAAAAGTTACTTCTAATATAATTATCTATAATTTTTGTTCTATATAAAATTTCTCTAAAATGGACCGTATTCGAGATATTTGAGAAAATGTGTAAATTTAGAATTTTGAAGAAAACTCAAAAACGGATAAAGAAAAAAACATTAAATTTTAAACTTAAGGTTTATTTCGGCCTGACGTGAAATGATTAGATTTTGGACAAAGTCGGAACATCTGGGGGGGGGGGGGGGTACTTTATGGGAGTACGTTTTTATATTTTCTGGAATATATCTGTTATTTATGTTTGAAGAAAATTGTTCAAATAAAAGTTACTCTAATATTATTATCTATAATTTTTGTTTTATGTCAAAATTTCCTGAAATGGTCCGTATTCGAGAAATTTGACAAAATGTGCAAAATTCTGATTTTTATGAAAATTGTTGAACTAAAAGTTGTTTGCGATATCGATCTCTATAATTTTTGTTTATACATGATTTTTCTAAAATGGACCGTAATGGAAAAGTGCTAAATTTAAATTTTGCAGTATTTTCGTTTTCAATGAATATCTATAGAAAAATGTTTCGAGGTAGATGTATGTGGACAATGTTTATCCTCTAAACATTTATAGAGATGCTGCAATAGGTTGTACAAAATAACCGGAAAAAGCTAGATAGAAATAACTAGATAGGAAAGTCATGTGTTTGGACACATCAGATTTTTAGAAAGGGACGGGAGAAATATTGCTGGTTGTTTTATATGCTGTGACGTTATTATGACGTCAATTTTTACCGTTACTCTATGACGTTAATTGTGCCTAGGTCTAAAAGAAGGCTTTATGAGGCTTATCGGAAATAATATTACAGATAGACAATAATAAACACTCTTTATTATAAAATAATTACATATTAAAAATTATAATAGACACGCGCCATGTTTATGTTAATGTAACCCAACTTTTTTCTTTTATCTCCTTTAAAGCCTTGGTTTCTTTGAACACTTCGTCGCGGTGAGCGGACAGTCCGTCAACCGTCGCGTTTTGACGATTTTATCCAACCAGAGTATTTAAATGGGAATGGTTTTCTTGAATTCGCTTAGCTGAACAGGACGGCGTCATGCCGCTGATTTGTCGCGAAGAGTCGGTTGATATCTGTTGAGTTTGATATCAGCGGAATCGTCGGCGTGTGCGGAGACTATATTGTTATTAATTTTAAAACAATGAGTGACAAATTCACACATACAGATGACATCATGACTTTATTTTTAGGTTTCTTGGAAATTATGTCCTTTATAAAACTCAACACGAATTCAAAAAGATCTGTAGAAAGTCTAAAATACTCCCTAAATTTGGTTTCATTTCCAAAAAGCCTCCGCTGCACAGTGATATTAAAGGCACCTTCTGTATCGCGACAGAAAAACAACTCATTCACTGGCTTATTGGAAACTTTGACGGTTGCAATTGCCAGTTCCTCTTGTTCTTCCTCTTCCAACAATAATAACAACGCAAACAATTTATTTGCAACCATTTTAGTACCTTTCGTTTACATTCATAATACATAAACAGCACGTACAGACATAGAGAAAGTATCATTTTCTATATTTTTTAACAAACCACCTCGGGCGAAAATTGCTGTCCTCAGCGGTCGACGGACTGTCCGCTCACCGCGACGGAGTGTTCAAAGAAACCAAGGCTTTAGCCTTGGTTTCTTTGAATACTTCGTCGCGGTGAGCGGACAGTCCGTCAACCGTCGCGTTTTGACGATTTTATCCAACCAGAGTATTTAAATGGGAATGGTTTTCTTGAATCCGCTTATCTGAACAGGACGGCGCCATGCCGCTGATTTGTCGCGAAGAGTCGGTTGATATCTGTTGAGTTTGATATCAGCGGAATCGTCGGCGTGTGCGGAGACTATATTGTTATTAATTTTAAAACAATGAGTGACAAATTCACACATACAGATGACATCATGACTTTATTTTTAGGTTTCTTGGAAATTATGTCCTTTATAAAACTCAACACGAATTCAAAAAGATCTGTAGAAAGTCTAAAATACTCCCTAAATTTGGTTTCATTTCCAAAAAGCCTCCGCTGCACAGTGATATTAATATAAAGGCACCTTCTGTATCGCGACAGAAAAACAACTCAATCACTGGAAACTTTGACGGTTGCAATTGCCAGTTCCTCTTATTCTTCCTCTTCCAACAATAATAACAACAATTTATTTGCAACCATTTTAGTACCTTTCGTTTACATTCATAATACATAAACAGCACGTACAGACATAGAGAAAGTATCATTTTCTATATTTTTTAACAAACCACCTCGGGCGAAAATTGCTGTCCTCAGCGGTCGACGGACTGTCCGCTCATCGCGACGGAGTGTTCAAAGAAACCAAGGCTTTACTTTCTCTTATTTTGTCCTCACCTGATCAGCGACCTGCCATCAAAATATAAATCTTGAAGGGTGGCAAAAATTGTTTTCGACCATCGGCGTTCAGTCGGTGATCTGTCTGTGTTTTACAGATACTGCGGTAACCTCTGCTTTTCCGAACTTTCGTCCGTTCTGTGCGTCCGTTATCCAACTGCTAGTCAGCTCAGAAAGAGCAACTCGCCTATGAGCGACTAGAGACTTTGGAACTATCTTTCACAACAAGTAGATTGTTAATATGTTTCTTGTTTTAGATAATAGAACTAGCTCATCAAAATCCAACTAGAGTATCAGTACCAGAGTTGTTAAACGAATTACAAGTAACCAGAAATGAGCTGGAAAATATTAGGGTGAGTATTTCTATTCCCGCAAATCCAAGTTTAGTACCATTTTAATATTACATTGTTTTTGTTTTAATAAGTTTAATAGTGAAATTAAAACTAGACAACTATAGACAAATCAATCCCTTTTTTATACTGTGAAATAGTAATTTGAAAATATTAAAATTAGCAGCACTAATAGAGCAACCGCGTTCCCTTCCCTAATTTTCAAAATTTGGTTTTTGCAGGATGTTGAGTACGCATCAACTTCTAATAATTCGCAACCGCTCTTGAGTGCAAAAGAGGCACTGTCTTTGTGGGTACTTGGTGCAAGAAAGGTAAAAATTGATAGCGAAGTAATAATTTAGTAATTTTGCACCGTTATTGGTTTATTTGGGCTTGTTATTTTAGCACTTTTTCTGTTCTTTTGTAGATATTTTCTCAAAATTGCTATTATTTATCTTTAAGTTGCATATGTAGTTTATCGCATGAAATTATTTTGTTATTGATTAGTGTGTTTATTTTTTGTTCTTACGTTGTGGGTGAAAAGTCCCACCGATCAAAATTTGCGTTCTATAATATATTTTACATAAGTATAAAACGGGTACTTTTAAAATTTAGTTCTATCTAAAAACATTTCTTATTTGATTCATGAACTTACTCTCAATAAACAAAAATTTTACCAAACTATTATTTAGTGTGTTTTATAAGGATTATTAGAAGTTGAATAACTAAAGTAATAAATATTCCTAATTATTATAAACTCCCGTTCAACTTATTATTTATTACGTAAAAAAAACTGAATATTGTCAGTAAAACTATTCCTTAAAAAATTAGATGTACCTATTATGTAGTTTTACAAAATTACACCTTACTTTATTAAACAGTATGGTAAAAGCATCTAAATGAATGAAAAGCTAAAACCGTCAAATTTCAATAGTTTCTGAACTATCCCTGTAAATCAGCTATTTCATAGGTGAGTTCGGGCTGCGCACTCCAGAGTGGAGTGTAGTAATTAGGCGTAAACGGAGTGCGAATATGATTTTACTCCTTTAACGCTCGGAGTGCAATGTCAATTGTCAATGTGACATACCAGTACTTAAAATTTAATTGTACTTGTCAGTAACGACCGTATAAGTTTCTTCCATATTAATGATATTCACGGGAACCAAAAAAAAAAATTTATTTACTAAAGAATCACTCACAATTAACTTATTATCAATTTAAATCACCTTATGCGCATGCCCGATCCACACTCCACTCCACCATCTCCGAACGGTCAAAGAGGAACTTTTATTTTAACTCCTTCCGTACCCGAACGCCTTAGGTACTTTAGGAGTGAATATAGTGAAAAGAGTGCGTAGACCGAACTCACCACATGTTTATAATTTAATACACCGTTGCCGCTATGTATAAAAAATCTTGGAACTAGAGAAATTGATTTAGGATCGTTCCTATAAAGACGAATCATTATTAAAAAGGATGAAACAGTTATATACAAGGATATAATAAAAAAATTGGAATCCATGAAAAGGGATTTCTCAGTTTAAACTTGTTATTTTTTGTTTTTAAGGCTATGTACCGGCAGCTGATGGAGGCGAAAAGCAGAAACAAGATAGATCCGGAAATCACGCTTCAATTTCTTAAATCGGCAGTTTATTATTTTTTAACGGACAAAGAGAATAGCCAGGGTCACCTTAAGGCCATTCAGAGCATCTTAGGATTTTCATCTAACGAAATTTCAAATATAGAAAAGGCTAGGTTAAATTAATTTTTCTAAAAAATAATTATTTAGTGCCTAAATATAGTTATAAAATATACAGAGTGATTATTAAGTGCTTTTTTGATCGGTATTTTCAATGTTTTAAAATATTATAGGAATTGACGTTTTTGTCAGATATTAATATGCTTAGGAAATTATTGGATTTGTACTTAAGAAGCGCCCTGTATAAAAAAATATAAATCGTTTATTGAAATTGTTACAGTTTACTTAAGTAATAAAAAAAATTTCTGCAGAATTTATATTTTCACGAAGTAAATCAATGTATTATTGGATTGCTAAATATATTTACTTTTATATTTTTTATACCTGTGTTAAAAAAAACTACCTACTTATTTGAATACCTAATTGCGCCGTCAAAGTAAGGGTTGTAGTACTTGTAGCAAGTATATTTACTTCTTCATTCATTGAAACCCATATATTTTTATCAAGATTTTTTCAATAAATTTGCAAGATGAAGGGATATATTATTTGTTTAGTTTCCTTTTTCTTTTCCCTAAATCCTCTCTAAAAACTCTTTGGTAGAACAGAAGTAAAAGTTGGAAATGCTTTTGCCAGTTCTCCCACTTTAGACACATAAATTGACAGGTTGGCAGCGGATCTTACCGAAGTGGACGCGATACATTGGCGTACAAAATTATTTTATAGATGTTAATAACAATTTCGAGTAAATAGTTTAATAAATTGTGAATAGCTGTTGAAATTTTGTAAAATTATGATTTGAATATTATAATACATGTTTAATAATTATTTATAATCCATAAATACATGCGATTGTCCGGTTCCGCCGATAACAATTTAAAATTACTTATTCTATGAAACGACACTGGCAGGTAAACGACGTGGTTTGACGTTTACCCCCTCTCTACCTACCAAAAGACTTTTCAACTTTTACTTTCTCTATATTTGTTACATTTTAAAGGAACTGGACATTCGAATAAAAATCGGTCTTGTAACTAGATAACAAAAGTGAAAAAGGCCACGTAAAAGAAGAGTTAATTACTTATTGACAATGACATGACATTATGTTAAATGTCATTATTTTATAAAATGCAAATTTCATTGTTGTGATTTCTCATTCTCATTATTCATAGTCATGATTTTACGAAGAGATTAAACGAACTTTCTAGACACAACGATTTCAAATATATACACTTTCCACAGGGACATGCGCTTATTCTGTATTCTAAAATAGTGTTGTACACGAAGTGCCTTAAGTTTGGTGTGTTTACTTTTTATTTTAATATGGAACTTCCACATCTAGGCGAACATTGTGCAAAATCAGATTGTCACAAATTAGATTTCCTGCCTGTAAAATGTGACGCCTGTAATGGTATATTTTGTAACGAACATTTCAGTTATATTTCTCATAATTGTTCAAAAGCTTACGAAAAAAACAATCAAGTACCTGCTTGTCCGTTGTGTAGTAAACCCATACCAGTAAAAAAGGGGGAACATCCGGATTACGTAGTTAGTGCTCATATAGATACTGACTGCCAGTCTGATCCAGCAAAAAGTAGAAGAAAAGTGTTCACAAATCGGTGCTCTTATAACAAATGCAAAAACAAAGAAGTCATCCCTGTGATATGCAATGAGTGTTCAAAGAACTATTGTGTTAAACATAGACATCCCACTGACCACAGCTGTGATGGTAGAAAATCAAGGCCACAAAATTTGAGTGACAATATTCATGGCAATCTCAGTGAAGATGAAGCTTTAGCCAGAGCTCTTGCTCTATCTATGAATAATAGTGTACCTACTAGTAAATCAAAACAAGAAGAATTGGATTTGGCTTTAGCCAGGCAACTACAAGCTTCTGAAACTCGAACAACAACAGCACCAAGTGCTAGAAGTTCTGATAGATGTATTGTATCTTAAAATTATTACTAAATGCTCATACATTATGAAATGCTTGTAACAATGATTATATATACTTATTTTTATGTTAATTTGTGACAATGAAATATATTTAACTGTGCCTTATGGTTTTTTGAAGAGTTGGCTCAATTAGGTTGTGTAGGATATTGTCGTTAATACTGCAAGTCAGCTATGTCAAAAAAATCAAACATTAACTTTATTGTATGCAACCAATAATGCTTCATATATTGTCAGTATTCCATACAAAAGATGTACTTATAATATCTGTCAATATGATCTGTGTATGAATTATTATGTAATATTTCAAATTTTATAGTCTCTTGTAAAATGAGTTTTTCGTGATATGTAGTATCAATGATATATAGTTAAGTTTCAATGAAAATTCTAATTTTTGAATGTTATTGCTTTTGCAGATTTACACTATGAATATACATATTTTTAACTGTCTAACAAAAAGACATGTCTTACACTGTTTAAAATTTAAATGCTTTAAAATAAGAAAAATGTTCAAATTTTTGCACTCTTGTGCGGAGTATGCACACTTTTATCATATACTCTTTTATCTATAAAAATGCAATTATTTCAATAAATAAAACATTCCAATTAATGTTTTTTTTTTATTTTAACAAAAACAAATATTTTAACAATCCAAAAAAATAAATAATGGGTACATTATTAATACTATAGTTTTTCTACTTTATAAATAAATAAGTTTCTGTTTAAATCACATACACAACAAAAATAAATAAAATATACAAATAAATTAAAAAGCATAAGTACAGATGAGTAACTTTATGTGATATGAATTTGTTTCTCCTTTTAATAATTGTACCAGATACCAATTTACCACCAATTAAATAAGTAAAACTATAAATTTGACTTAGTTTTCCAATAGTAAAAATATTTATGAAAATTTGTTATCATTAACTTCAAACTGATAAGGTAACAGCTGGTCCAAAGTCAATACTAATACATCGTTGCTATCCGGTTTTGTAATATACACATCAACGCACCCAAATTCACTCATGAACTGCCTGCATGCTCCGCAGGGTGTAGTGAAAAACTTCTCTTGTTGACCTATCACCACTACAGCCTTGAATGTCACCTTACCTTCGCTCAATGCTTTCGAGTAAGCGCATCTTTCTGCACAGATTCCAACAGTGAAAGAACGATTTTCAATGTTACATCCTGTGTATACTGAGCCATCTTCGCAGAGCACAGCAGCACCAACTTTGAAGTTGCTGTATGGAGAATATGAGAATAAGCGCGCCTCAACTGCTCTGTGAATTAAGTCTTGAATTTTTGGATCTAAAAAAATTATCTTTGTAAAAAATTCTTTAATTTAATTGGTATGGAATGGTATGCTTTTATACCTAAAAATAGTAACCACGTTTCGATTTTGTGTATAACAATAAAATCGAATTTTTTAGTTGAATTTTATGTTACAAAACACTTACCCAATGAACAAATCTTACAAATATTATTACTGGTTCCGTTTTTCGACATAATTTTATTATTAAACGTAGAAGTCTGCTAACAATAACAAATCGATAATAAAATCGCCAACAAATTATTGCAAGTTGCAATTTCTAAGTGTTTTCTGATTAACATATCGAAAAATACTTAATCTTAGGTGCGTTAAATCGATAAATTGCATTATCAAAATATTTCTTTTATCTCGAAATAATATAAATGGAAATTTCTTATTTTTTAAATTAATTAGAACATCCCAGACTCTTTCATTCATCATCCGTGTTCATCATTCTGTCGTCATAGAAAAATTCTGTCGTCGCTAGTGTCACTTCGTCCTACTAAAGCCTGGCCTGCAATTTGCAAGGATCGACATACCTAACAACGTTACTCAGTTTTCTCAGTTCACCCGATAAAAGTAAAGCGCTGTTTGTCCTGTTTTAGTCACATTAAATAGAAAAGGAAGACGTTATCTCGAGTATAGAGACAGTGTAAGAAACATCAACTCACGAGCGCGTGTTATCAAAAGGTCTGTGGTGTTATCAACTAACCAATCCAGTGAAATGTCAACTCAAACGGGAGTTTACAAAATTGAAACGTGATTTTAGCAGAAACGGCTTTTACCAACAAGCCAATTAAAATTTTTCATTAATCGCTGTGACTAACAGTACATCGGATGTACACGAAATATATTGTAAATGAGTAAAAAAGTTCAATAATTACCACCAATAAAATCAAATAATTAGGTACATTAAACTTTTAATTTGCAAATTAAAATGATAAAAGGCAAATACCAAAGACAAGCATGTTAGAAATTTAAGGTTATTTTTATTATAGTTACTATGTCAAAAGGAGACCGATGTACATTTTTTCTATGGATGTACAAATAAAATGCGTACAGCCGATGTACTGCTACCCAGACAACACACCAAATCCCAGAGATATCCACAGAATATCTTTTGTGGATATCCAATATATCTACAGGATATCAGAAATATTCCGTGGATCTAATATGGATATCCAAATGTCCGTCTATATCCAGAATATAGAATATATCCTAATGGATATTCAGCAAAATATCTAATGGGTATCTTCCAGAAAATACTAGAAATCCCAGAGATATATTTTGTGGATATTCAATATATCCAATATGGATATCCAACCAAATGTCCGTCTATATCCCAGGATATAGAAGATATTCGGATATTCAACAAAATATTTTATGGGTATCTTTAGTAGAGGTTCATAAGTAACCAATGATTATTGAATAACGTCGAAAGAAAATAGCAGAGTTAAAAAATATTTTTATCACTCAAAATATTTTCAACACTCTGCCTTTGATTTTGCCCACTAAGGAGAAAGTCATCCTTATTAGGACTCTTCAGCAATAAATGGAAATTCTCGACTCCAGTCTCTAACGGAGTCTGTAGGACAAAAATTTCGATCGAACTCTATTACGGATGGTCGAGCATGAGTAGATGCGATAGTGGTATCGCCATCTATACTTAGTAAGCAGAATCAAATAACATCTAGTGGATATCCACGATGGTTTGCGTTCGCGCCTAGACTTTGATATATTTAGTGGATGTTCATGGGATATTGAATACACCTTAAAAAAATTAATTTTAAATATCTGAACGGTACTATTAGCCACAATGGCGAGCACAATGACGTAATTTTTTAATAATTTGCTATATAATTACTATTATTTATGGACATTTGCATGTCTATAAATTACATCTCATGGATATAAAATATATATCTACCATGGACTGGACATTCAGAGGATATTGGGATGTTCAGTAGATATCCAAAGGATTTGGTGTGCTGTCTGGGTAGTCATAGCTTTCATAATTCATAAAAGTATTTGATCAGTTTTTGGCCATATGCGTGTATAGTCATGCTAGTGTATCGAATGCTTTCCAATACGATTTACACAAGTGCATGTGAAAACTAGCAAGTTCATCAGCATTAGGGTGAGTAGGAAACGAATAATATCAGCGTTGTCAGTTTATAAGGCCCGGCCAACGTTAAGGTGCGTATATAGATTTTACGCGCCGGACCCGGGCCGTGCCTGGGCCAACATCGGGCTCAGGTTTGTCAGATTTGTAACTTGTTGATCTACCGCGCGCGATGGAAAGCGCGCGTTTCTATTTGGCGCGACGCGTGGTATAGGCACACAGCACCGTACAAATCTGTCGAACTTGGCCCGTTGTTGGAAAAACGCAGGTAGCTATACTGCCCGGACCCGGTGCGTTATATTTATACGCATCTTAACTGCAAAGTTCACATGGATGATCTGTGCAAAGCATATTGAAAAACGTTCAGTAGCCGACATTATATATACAACCATTATTGATGTCACCAAAATATAATTCACTTTTGATCACCAACAATAAGCAACTCGTTGCGGTTGCGTTTTGACCCTGCTGCCTTAAAAATTGCCGGGTTTATTTCCAATGTTACAATTTATCGACTACGGTAGCGCAGGTGTCTACGGCGTCGCATTCATTTGCGAGCCAATTTTCTGGTAAACGAAACATGGTTTCAGATCCTACGGAAGACCATGTGAATTTATTTGCGGGTAAAACGGGGGGTAAAATAACAATAAATTAAGGGGAATACTTACATTTATTTTTTTTATTTCTGTAGGCAGTCTATTAATTTTTTTAAACCTTTAATAAAAATTGTATTTTGGGAACTTTTAGTGATGGCTTGCCATACATGTAAGTCAGATTGGTTCTTGTATTTTAGTTGTGATATTTCGAATTATATTGATTTTTTTCTAATAGATCTGATGCGATGGTACTATGTCATTTTTATTTTATAAATAAATATCAGTCATGTACTGAACATATAATTCTGAACTGAAAGCCAATTTATTTCTTTTAACATAGTTGCAATACTCATCCTTCTGTGCTTTATTATTATATAAACAGGCGAAGTAAGGAGCCCAAATATTTTACATGAACAGGCTTAAGAGGTAAAGGGGCCAATTATTATTGGATAAATTGCTCAAACAAGTTTGTAAACCCTAATCAAAAGGCGATATAGAATGGTTTTAAAAATCAAGGCTTATGGAAATAATCACATTGTTTAATCTAATTAATGCCAATGCTTCACAAACCAAAAAATTTACGTCCTAATACTACTATCGGCTTTCGGTCTTTCGTTCCAAGTTAAATCATTTCTCGTTTTGTTACGCTACGAGTTTAGCCTTGTGGGCATCAGTCTCGATAAGGTGGGAACCGCCATTTTAGCGTCTCTCGAATTTGACATTTCATATGTTTTAAAATGAGTCGAGTGTACAATACCTTGTATCGGGACGGTGGTGTAGCGGTCTATCGCGCTTATATTCATTTATAGGCAAGTTTATGAGTCTGAGACTGCTGGGTTTCGAATCCCAGACCAGACCATGTGGATTTTTAATTAAATTGCATGGTTCGGTTTAGGATTTGATGTGTGGCGTATTAATAGAAATTCAATTTCTGTTGATATGACATGCAGATTAAAAAAATTCGCCATACATTACCGTCTCGATGATGGTGGGTGAGGTTTTCCGGGTTTTCCTCACCTGTTAGTCAAATGGCACCATTAATCATCTTTAATTCGCCCCGGAGTGCCACGGCAAATAATAATAGCCGTCCCTTCCCCTACACAAGTCGTTCAGTCGACTTCAGGGGTTGAAATTAACTCGTAAGGGGGTGAATTAGGGAGAGTATTATTATTATTATTATTAAATGCGGCTTAGTGAAATAGACAATTAGATTTTTTCCACGGCGAATGGACAATAACTTAGCTTTCATACAAAAAAATATATAGAATAAATATAGATGAAATGTTAGTATCGTAAGAATATTAAATTTTGGACTATTGGTATCTCTGTATTTTTATGACGAGTCCTCATTTTCAAGCATACAAAATTTTATTTATTTTGATTTGGAAAAAGTTTAAAAATAGGATATTTTTGTGTTACAAATAATACAATAATCTGACAAATACCATTGAAACTTGTAATCTCTATTAAAACAAGGTTTACATAAAAATACTTTATTTTAAGTAAGGCGCAAACTGAGACACGTATAGAGTGCGTAAGAGGTGACGCAGCACAGCGCGTTCTTTTGTAAACTACAGGATGCAATTGAATAGATCGGCGCAAATTTGTAGCTCAATAGCTATTTATGCAATCGGTTACGAAATGCCTTATTTTATGTAACTAGTGAATAAGCACATTTGAATAAAAATAATGTATGAAACACGGACGAAAAGTTTTTTTTCAGACTCCTACGAGTTGCCAGGCACAATATATTGTGTTGCCAGGCTTCAATACGTCTCGTCTAGCAAACTTCTCGTAGTCGCCCGAAAAACTCAACTTTTCGTCCTTACAACATAAACTCTTCGAGCATATATTAATTACCTCGAAGCATAAACTACTATTATGGACTTCCGAAGTGAAGACAAATTTAATGAAACATTGAAATTAGTTTGTTGAAAAATTAAAAAAAAAGAGGTTGGATTAGCAATTTTATATTCATCTAAACAATTTTTAGATGTCGGTGACTTAGGACCTGATAGCTCGGTTAGTCAGGTGAACGGTGAACGTCCATCTTAGGTCATTATTTATTTAGCCTACCAGATAATATAATACCCATCTATATATATTTTTAATAGAATTGGTCATTAAAAATTGACAAATAAAATCTATTACATTTCATTCTATCAGCGGAAGTTTGAAATTTTATTGTATTATAACCGCGATATCTAGTAACAATTTTTCAAGTGGCTCCTTGGTCGAGGTCGCCTAGCGCTTGAATGCCCAGAAAGACAATGGACGTGTCTTGAGTTCGATACATGCTCTGGTCAAGTGATTTTTAATAAAAAAAATTAAAAAATGGTGTATAGCAGGTTGCGAAAATAATAAATAAATTATTATAAAATAGTGTGTGGTGAGTTGCAGTTGTGTAAAAAAAAGTAGGGATGTGGTCTCAATGGAATATAATTTCAGGGATGGACGTTTTTTGAATGTCCAGTAGTGAACGTCCAAATATAATCCAGAATTGGACGTCCTATGAACGGTCAAAAGTGTGCCATTTGTATACTTCACTGGACGTCCAGACATCCAAAATTGTATATCAAATGAACGTCCAATGGACCTATTTGTGCTGTCTGGGTAGGACCTTTAAATGGTGGTACAATATGCTGCAGTGCCGCCAGGCTACAGAAGGATTGGGGTGATAATATAGTGTCCGAAGAGTGTAAAAGAAAAAATAGTTAAGATAGAAGGTAGGTCATATTAATTGGTAGGTTGGAAAATGGTAATATATTTGCTGCGTTTGAGAATCCACATCGGATGCATTTTTTACATCTCGAGCGTTTTTTTATCCACATTGGACACATCTATCCCATTACATTTACGTATACTGAATCACGTGATCAAAGATTTTTTACATCTCAGATGCATCGGATGTGGATTCTCAAACGCGGCAATAGACGTGAAAATACTTATAAGTGTAAGATAATTAAATTGATTTCCATAGAGGCCAAGTTTACATGACACAATTAAAAATCTCACCAAAAAGTTAATAACATTTTGTTTAAGAGTATTTAGTCAAAGCTTAGATAATATATTGACAGATAGGCTACCCCTGTATAAATTTTAAATCTATACAATGTTGATGTCCCTCTATAAAATCATTGTTTCTTTTTCTAATGCAGGCTTTCTCGCTCATATTAGAATCTTCAGCAGTAGCGTACGTAAACCGATTGCATTGGGTTATTTTAAATGTGAAAATAGTGACTGCAAATAGATTAAAAAAGTACAAAATAATGTTTTAAAAGATAGGTACGTTTTTATTGAACTGAAAACAAAATATGACATTATTGTCATGCCAAAAAATATAGTAGTTATCGCAACAAGTGCTAGAAGATGCACTTTTACGCACTAAACTGCGTTACCCGCACGACGCTGAAGAGTCCTAATAAGGATGACTTTCTCCTTAGTGGGCAAAATCAAAGGCAGAGTGTTGAAAATAATTTTTATCTCTGCTATTTTCTTTCGACGTTATTCAATAATCATTGGTTACTTATGAACCTCTACTACAGATACCCATAAAATATTTTGCTGAATATCCGAATATCTTCTATATCCTGGGATATAGACGGACATTTGGTTGGATATCTATATTGGATATATTGAATATCCACAAAATATATTCTGTGGATATATCTGTGATTTCTTGTATTTTCTGGAAGATACCCATTAGATATTATGCTGAATATCCATTAGGATATCTTCTATATCCTGGAAATAGACGGACATTTGGATATCCATATTAGAACCACGGAATATTTCTGATATCCTGTGGATATATTGGATATCCACAAAAGATATTCTGCGGATATCTCTGGGATTTGGTGTGTTGTCTGGGTTCACCCTACTCTTTTTTCCTACATTGTTTGTGTAATACAAAGTTCCTAAAAAGTAAAGATACAATTTTTAAAAGTGCTCGATATTATTTAGAAACGTACAAACTTATAAATATATTTGTTGCAGCAAAGCCGTCCTCTAAAAAGTACATTGAACAAATGTAATATATTCGTTCAACTTCTAACATTTCAGTCCAAGTGCCTCTAACCATAAGTTTCTTCTAATTCGTATTTTAGAACACTAATAATAATTTTATTTTTTAATATGCATATTTTATTTTCCTTTTTTCTTCTAAAACGACGCCCATGTTCTTCGGTAAGAAATAATAGGTCTTTTCCTTTGCATCGACAGTGTAGCACTGAGCTACGTCACTTCTGAAAATATTGTTCCATCCATACAATTTGTATAAATGGAACGATATTTTCAGAAGTGGTGTAGCTCAGTGCCTACACTTTCGATGCAAAGGAAAAGACCTAATAGGTCTTTTCCTTTGCATCCACAGTGTAGCACTGAGCTACGTCACTTCTGAATATGTCGTTCCATCCATACAATACAATTTGTAATGGAACGATATTTTCAGAAGTGGTGTAGCGTGTAGCTCAGTGCTACACTTTCGATGCAAAGGAAAAGACCTATTATTAACGAGTGAAACGTAACCTCACTTCTTCTTTTTTATTTAAAATCACAAGTCTTTTCCTAGTATAAAATAAACCCTACAAATCAAAGTCACTTTTAACACCACCATACTTGAACGAATCTAAGTAAAAACTTAAAAAATTGTCTAAAAATAACTGGAAAAATAAATATAGAGATATTAATCTATTTCTCTCTAATTAGAATCTTTCATGCTATATCAAGGCGACAAAAAAATTGTTTACAGTCCTTTCTGAACTACCAATACTACTCTGAGAGTCAAAGATGGTTAACTGCTAACTAAAATTATGTGATTTGGAACCATCGAGGTAAAAAGTTTAGAACCAACCCTGTGCACACTTCTTCCATAGGGCCTTTTGCTTCAAACAAAACAAGTGCCTGATTACATTCTTCTTTTTTAATGCCCTCTTACCTTTTACTACATAAAGCTCTCCTTCCATGTCAGGTTCAGTCTCTAATTTCGAAATGCACCCAAAATAATACTTAAAACCTATTAAATGCAAATATTTTAATAAAAAAGTAAATATGACAAAAATAAATAAACAAATATAAACGAACAGTTTAAAATTAAAAATAACAAACAAATTAAGGATCAATTAGTCTTGGCTCTACCAAGTCTGACCATAAACATTCTTTAAATACACACATGCTTCTTTTTTCTTTATCATCCAGTGCAAATTTACCTCTAGGTTGCTCAAATTGCTCTAAACCCACTGAAACAGTAAACAAGTGTCATTCGTATCAAAAAAATAGAATTACAATTTCTTACATGTTATTTCAAAAACGACTAGCTTAGATATTGCGGAGAACTCGACAACACGTCCTATAATATATGAAGATATTTCGGGAGTAAAATCATCGGTTATTTTAAGAATCTAAAACAAATTTTTCAATCATTAAACAAAATTTTACAGTATGCCATGGTTTTGACAATTGATGGATAAACTTCAAAATCGGTATTATGTCAAAATCCTGTCAACATAAATGCCAAATAAATAACAGCGCCTGAATGTTACTCACCTTAAAAGAAATAATGTTGCCTACTTCTGGTCCCTTTTCCGACATCAATGGCGCCTTTAGAATATTTTCTTCTACTAATTGCAGGTCGCCAGTATCACTACCTATAGAAATAACACTATCATTTTTAATATTGTCGATCTTTCCATCATCAGAAAATTTGAAGTGATGTTTTGGATTAGCCTCGGTAAGCATCGGTCTTGGAGTATAAGATATTGAGCTGTTAATAGGAGAGAGAGTTTCATCTGCAATAATACATGGATTTTTCTTCTTTTTTGATCGGGTTCTTCTGGTTCTTTTTCTTTTTGTGACAAATTCGGTGGTGTCACCACTGGGTGATGTTTCCAAGACTGTAGAGCACGATTCACTATTTCGGATACTACCCAACAGCTGACCTGAAATTTTTACATTTTTGTAATAATAATAAAGATATTATTCTATTTTACCATGTTACATAATATAGGATAAGCAGTGGCGTAGTTAAAAGTCTGGGATGAAATGACAAATGCCCTTCTCTCCCAGAAATATGCCATTTAATGTACCTAATTAAAAAAATAGCGACACCACTTAGACAAACATTACAATCAAGGCATTAGAAAGAAACTCATAAAATGAATGGGTGTTGATATATGAACTGTTTTTCAGTGTCAAGTTGATCACTGATTTAGTCAGTCTTAGACTTGATACTGACATATTTGAGTTGCTGATGATAAACAAAGTCATGTGTCAAATTAATAAACATGATTAACACAAAATGTATTATATTTTTACAGATAAGTCCAATATGCATATAAAAAAATGGTAAAAAGTTATTCCAATAAAATTTATAAAAAAAATAAACTAATTAAAAACATTTTTTTATACCTAATATTATTTTACCGCTTTCATCTTAAGAAAATGTTTGTAAATGGAATCACAATGTTTTTAATTTTGACAAACCACTATTCATAAAACAACAATCATCCAATAAGACACATAGAAAACAAATCCAAACTTTTCAACATCTTGATTGAATCTTTATGGTCGTATGAAAAATATTGTATATCATTTGTGTAAAAGTGATTTTTTACCCTCGTAAGAGTGTCGCACTCTGCTTGTGACTCGTGCGACAATATTTCCCTATGTCACTTTCCACACTCGTAATGTACTACTATAATCATTAAATCTATTTTACTATTAATATGGACATTACATAGATCAAATAGAAATTATCCTGAAAATAGATTCATTTTCACACCCGTGCGGAAAGTAGATTCTTATCCACACACGTGTGACATAGGGCACTTTCCATAAGACTAAATAGTGTGATATGTGACTTCCCTAAGTAGTCGCAGGAAAAATAATTATGCGTGTCTGGAAATTACACAAAATGACAGTCAAAATTATCTCAAATAAATAATAATAATCTTTATTTAATTATGAAACCCTAATATACATGAAATAGAATAAAAGTACACACCAAACAAAAAATAATTATAAAGATACGAAACTAAAATTAATAGAATATGAGTACAAATGATGCAATACTGTACACTAATTAGAATAAAAAAATAATAATAATTAAATATCCATTGAAAAAATACAAACTATTAAAAAAAAATTTACCTACAGAATCACAGAAGATAATAATATAACAATAATTATTGTCATTACTTTTTTTTAGTCTGCTTGATGTTGTTTAAAAATCCGTAAAGATGAACTAGTTTTTTTGGTAAATTATTATAATTTACAAACCCTTTAAAAAACAAAGAATTCATAGAACATTTTTATTATTATTTTGTCTTGTATCGTGGTTATGCATAACAACATTAAAATTTATAAATTCAAAAAAGTAGGTTATGTAGAATTTGATATAAAATAGAACAACCTCTGAGAAATTGAGAACTACTGCAGACTGAAGCATATTTGAAATTGTATAATATCGATTTGTCCGCAGGACAATCCTCATACCCCGATTTTGTAGTTGTGATAGTTGATTTAAATTAAACAAATAGATAGCAGAAGAACAAAAATCAAAATGAGGCTGGATAGTTAAATTGAAAACTGTAACTCTGGACTGTAGTGATAAATTTCTGGATATTCTTGAAAAAAGATATATTTTCTTACAAATTTTTTCAAACATAATCAAACTGATTACCAAATAGCAAAAGATTGTCGATATAAAATCCAAGATATTTTATTAACGTTATAATTTCTTATTTTTTCATTATTTATTTTAAGGTTAATTAATATTTAGACAATTGTACTGGTATTTCTTCGTTATTATTATAGCTTTGGTTTTTAACGTATTTAACTTTAATTTATTTAATTTTAAGTATTTATTTATTGCAGAAAGAGCAGAATTCATTTTCTTTATAGCATTCCATAAGTCTTCATCAAAACAAGCTAATAAAGTATCGTCTGCGAATATATTAAGAAAATCAACGTCTATACAAAGATTCAAGTCATTTAAATACAGTATGAACAGGAGGGGCATAACAAACTACCCTGGGTTTACTAAAATTTCCATAAATTCAATGTGTTTTAAAATTTGATTATAAACTACTATTTCAAGAATTTTGTCCAAAGGTGGTAAGGCATTAATAGGTCTAAACTCATTTGTCTTTATGGTATTGCTAACTTTAGGTATGGTAACCACAGTACTAACTTTTAAAGTATCTGGGGCCTTGCATGCCCTCAGTGAGGTATTCACAAAGTTTAATATTACTTGACCACAAACTTCAAACATTTATTTCAACAATATGTTGCATGCTATCTATAAAATAATTATTAAATTAAAATAATATAAAAATAAAAGCCAATATCACATAAATTACGAGCGACCGTTTCCCTTTAGAAAACAACTACTCCTTTGGCTAATACCGCAACAGGTATTGAATTATATCCAAAGGAAAGACGGGCAGAGATAGATAGAGTCGTATGTTTTAGCTACGACTCCAATGACGCGAAAAGTTATTTTTTGAAATTTTGTGGGTTACGACGTTTTACACTTAGATAAAGAATTCATTAATAATCCAAAAAACAAAACTTTCGAGCATGAAGCATCCATGAAATATTATTTGATTTTAACAATATAAGATTAAAATGATTTAAATCTTTAAGAAAATTTAAATCATTTCAGAAAGATTTAAATCGTTAAAAAGATTTAAATCTTATTTTTAAATAAAAAATCAAGGATACTTTTCAGAAAGATTTAAATCGTAAATCAAAAATCATTTTTTTTATAGATTTAAAATCAAAGTATTTAAATCAAAAAATGTATTTAAATCTCACTGATAGGTGACAGTTCTGTTACCACTGTATGTTTAACCCAATTGAACATATATGTGGCGTCAGCTTAAGCCAGCAGTTTAAAGAAATAATACTTCTCCAACCTTAAGTTCGACTGTGCTAGATCTTATTCAAACAGAAGCTGCAAAAATTCCTGATAGCAGCTGGACCAAGAGTGTTTCCCATATAAAAAAGGTGGAAAAGTCATATTATATTGATATAGAAAAGATACCAAGAGAAAGGTTCATTATTAATTTGGATGACGATAGTGAAAGTGAAGAAACTGAACTTCGTAAGTAATTTTGTTTAAATAAAATATTAGAAAATGAAATGTAAAAAGTCCACTATATTAATAAAAATACTTATCTGAGTAATTCAAAATCGACAATTGTTTCAGAAGCATAAACTTCTATCGTCAGGATTGACAATAGTGAATTTTTACATTAAATTTTTTAATATTTTGTTTATTATGAATAGATTCCACAATGTAAGGGTAGAAACAATCACTATGACCTAGCTACTTGTTCGTACTTTGTTACTGATTTTTATTTTTACCAAGTTACCACTTTATACTTTTTAATAATTATGTTTTATATGTCCAACCTACATTCTGTTCTTTTAAATACTTTATTTTCTATTTTTTAGTACTTATATTACCTAATTTACCTACCTCCTTTTTCGTACTTTGTCATACTGATTTTTACTTTTACTATTTTACCACGTTATACTTTTTAATAATTACATTTTATACAGTGTGTCTACTTAAGTTGGAACCATATGGAAAACATTTTTATTATTGATTTTAGGAAAAAAAGTTATTCCTGATAAAAAGTCCTGCATGACCCAAAACTTAAAATACAGTCATCAGATATCAAATTTTTCAAGCCGTATACGAGGTTTGTCAAAAAATATGAATTTTGCTCAAGAGTAAAGTACGTTTATTTTTTTACAAAATCGAAAATTTTCATTAAGAAATTTGCTAAATTCTTCACAAACATCAACAAAAGGAAAGCGTATCATGTTTATAGTAGCTAACGTAATTTATAACGTTTTCAGATATTTACAATCAATGTGTAGAGTGTAGAGTTTATAATAAATAAGAAAATCTGTTTTTTTTTAGATAGATCGGTGTAATTGCATATTTGAATGTAATATTCAATTCTAATCAACTTTTCTTAATGAAAATTTTCGATTTTGTCAAAAATAAACGTACTTTACTCTTGAGCAAAATTCATATTTTTTGACAAACCTCGTATACGGCTTGAAAAATTTGATATGTGATGACTGTATTTTAGGTTTTGGGTCATGCAGGACTTTTTATCAAGAATAACTTTTTTCCTAAAATCAATAATACAAATGTTTTCTATATGGTTCCAACTTAAGTAGACACACTGTATATTCAACCTACATTTTGTACTTTTTAGTACTTTTATTACCTACCTACTTTTTCATACTGTTTTTTGCTTTTACCAAGTTACTACGTTACTTTTTGTACACACTGTATAATTAAATAAACAATTCTGAATTATAGCGATTTTTCTTAATATTTATTTTACCCCAATTATTGACATATAGAACAAAACTTAATGGCTAGAGTAGGTACGTCTCTGTGTAGAGACAGCCGCCTGCTGATAAGTAAATTACCTGCTGTTTTATGGTAGTCACTGGATCTCTGAACTATACCTAGATTAACACTTTCTAACTCAGATTTAGAATTACTGATATTGACATAGTATATATGTCTGATATATTTAAGTATATAAAATGACAACCAAGATCTTTTTTTTTTTTAATAAAAATTTAGTATCAAATTAAACAAGATTTGTGTTTGTTTTTTAACTCACCTACTCCAGAAATCTGTTTCCTTGCCGAATATTTGCTACGGTTAATACATTCAATTCCTGAAATACCCAATTCATTGACAGGGGTGTCCAAGATAGTTGTTATACAAGGCGAAATTTCACTGATAGGTTGAAAACTAGAATGTACATTTAAAGCTGGAGAATTTCCTTGAATTTCCATTGAACTATCAATAATTATTCCAGATGCATGTGAGGTTTCTATATTCTCTGGGGTTGGAGCAGGAATTATATGGGTATCTTGAATGTAAATAGATGGAGAAGTTTCAACAGAATGTCCATTTGTTAATTCACTAGGTGGTCCTGTATTTTTTTCAACTTGCATTATATCATCTGCAACATTTATTTTCTCTCTATGCATGTCATTTGAATTAGAATTTTCAGGTTTTAGTGTATAATTTTCAATCACATCAATAGAAGTTTCAATATAGGTTTCTTTATTTTCTGTTTCAACAGGATTCATTTCAAGTTTAAGTATATTGCTTCTTGGCTCTGCAGCTGTTTTTTCTTCTACTTTTTCACAAGTAGTTTCAAGTTTTTCATTATGCCTTACAACAGGACTAAGGCCCAATTCAAACATATTGTTTCTTTTCTCTTCAGCAGGTGTGATTTCTTGTAATAATTCAATTTTATTAACTTTATTTACTATGGGGCTAATGTTGAGTTTAAATAGATTGCTCCTTTTCTGTTTCACAGGTTTTTCTACTTTTTGTCTAGATGGAGTATTCAAGAAGAAAAATTTTGTGGTTTTAACTGCTCCACTATCATTTTTAATTAAACTAGATTTAGTTTCATTGTAATCAAAATAATTTTTCCTTTTTTCTATCTCATTTTGTGAGGGGCCAATTTCAATTTTGTGTGCAGAACTAGATTTAGAGTCATTGTAATCTAAATAATTTTTCCTTATTTCTGTCTCATTTTGTGAGGGGCCAATTTCAATTTTGGGTACAGAACTAGATTTAGTTACATTGTAATCTAAATAATTTTTCCTTATTTCTGTCTCAATTTGTGAGGGGCCAATTTCAATTTTGGGTACAGAACTAGATTTAGTTACATTGGAATCTAAATAATTTTTCCTTATGTCTGTCTCATTTTGTGAGGAGCCAATTTCAATTTTGTGTGCAGAACTAGATTTAGTTACATTGGAATCTAAATAATTTTTCCTTATTTCTGTCTCATTTTGTGAGGGGCCAATTTCAATTTTGTGTGCAGAACTAGATTTAGTTACATTGTAATCTAAATGATTTTTCCTTATTTCTGTTTCATTTTGTGAGGGGCCAAATTCAATTTTGTGTGCAGAACTAGATTTAGTTACATTGTAATCTAAATAATTTTTCCTTATTTCTGTTTGATTTTGTAAGGAACCAATTTCAATTTTGTGTTCCGAACTAGATTTAGTTTCATTGTTATCTAAATAATTTTCCCTTATTTCGGTGGCATTTTGTGAGGGGCCAGATTCAATTTTGTGTGCCGAATTAGATTTACTTTCATTGAAATCTGAAGTATTTTTCACTATTTCAGTTTCATTTTGTATGGGACCAGTTTCAATTTTCTCTGCAGCTGGTGGTTTAGATATATAATCAATTTTAACTATGTTAATCTTTTTTTCTTTTAGATATTCTTCCGTTATTGTTGGAATTTGTGTAATTTTTTTAAAAGACACATTTTCTGGTAAGGAATTTCCTACTGTAACTTGATATTCATTGATTGATTTATTTGAATAATTAAATTTATTAGATACAGAAACGTTTTTCTTTTTAGAATTCTCTATTTGTTTCTGAACTTTATTTGTTTCAGTTTGTTCCAGATCTTTATATTTCTTTTTCTTAGAAATTTTAGGGATATGTTCATCTTCAGGTTGCACTTCTTCATAAATATGTTTCTTTTTCTTTTTATGACAACATTTTGTAATATATTCAATTTCTTCAGTCTTGCCTTCACTTTTTGGTGGCTTCCCTCTTGTACAGTCTTCCTGCTTTCTCCTTTTAGACACTTTTTCATACTCATCTGTTCCATTAACAGCTGAATTAGACTTTCTTTTAGTCTTTTTTAATTTAGTTGGAGCATATTCATTTTCTACGTCTATATTTTCATAGCTCACATTACCGCTTTGGGCTGGAATCGCCCTAGAAAGCAAAGGCACCTTGGTTAACAGATGTCAATAAAATTATGATGAATGAAAGAAACAAAGCGCTAACAAGTTTTAGGAAAAATAAATCATAGTGACAAAGATTTTTATAAAAAGATGCATAATATTACTAATCAAGTTATTCAAAGAGAGTAGAAAGCATAATAACAATACTTTTTTCAAAGAAATGAGGACACCGAAATCTAATAAATTTATCCCTGATAAAAATAATAACATCCCTGAAAATTGACATAACCTATTAAGTTAAAAATAAGTTTTTTATAGAATCTATTCCAAATAAAAATTTACTTGAATTTTACAATAATAATGAATTAGTCGATCAGAATTTCAAGTTTAGAGGAATAAACAATTTGTTTGTGTATAAAGTTATTTCGAAAATTTAAACAAACGTGAGAAACATAGGGATAAAATGAAAAAGCAAATATTAAAAACCAAAAACAACAATCTTCTAAGAGAATATGGGGTCTATTCTGTAACAATTCCTTTATATTTAATGGCCTTTAAAAATATGTTAGTATTCGTTAATTTACTTCTGTCATTATTTAAACAGATTTCTTTAAGATAGTCCTCTAATGTATTTTAAAGATCCGTTTAAATAATGACAGAAGTAAAGAAAAAAATATTTTTAAAGGCCGTTAAATATAAAGGAATTGTGACAGAATAGACCCCTATAGGATATATCGATGGCTCAATCAAATACTGCCACAACTCAAAAACTATTGTTTCGAGAAATTTCATTTTGAAATTTGTAAGTCTCTATTATCATTATTTTGTTTTTGACATAAAATCTTTATATTTTATTTAAAATCTTTGATATTTTGCTGTTAAAATTAACGATTACGATTATAAAAGCGGGTTATTGCATAGTTTTTATAAAATTTGGGTGTTTTTGCAGAAAATAACTCAAATTGAGGTAGTTTTAGACACAGTCTGTGACTAGATTTTAAATGATTTTTGGTCATATTTAAGGATATTTGTATTTGTGGCGGTATTTAAAGTAAAACCTTAATGATATTTTGCATCCATTGGACCAAAAATGTCATTTTTTTTTGTTTTTTGACTTGTGGCGGTTTTTGATTGAGCCATCGATATGGTAACCAACTAAATAAAATAATAAATAGAGCTAAAAATGATTATTATACAATTCAAATTCAAGATAGTAACAATGATATTAAAAAAAAATAATCAAAATAGTTAAAGAAGCTTCAAATGAACACGGAAACAATAAAATAAACAATAATTTTAATATTCTAAACAATAATAAACAATTTACAAATGACAAAGAAATGGCCAACTACTACAATAACTATTTTTCAAAAATTGCTATAGATGACTTCCTAATAAGATATCCACCTCTAATCAACTCAATGGCATTAGATCCTGTCAATAAAAATGAATTAATAGAACATATAAATTCGTTAAAAAATAACAGTGCTCCTGGGATTGACGGAATTACATCTAGGATGTAGAAAAATGGTCACCGATACATAATAGAGCCTCTAATGCACATTATAAACCTAATCTTTACAACAGGTAAGATACCGGAAGAACTTAAAATATCAATTGTAAATCCAGTTTTTAAAAACAGATCCAAAAAAGATGTGTCAAATTACAGACCAATAACTCTGATTACAAATTTTGCAAAAATTTTTGAAAAATGTTTAAAAAAAAAAGATTATACGAATATCTAATTGATAAAAATATTTTAGATGTTAAACAGTTTGGGTTCCAAAAAGCTGTTAGCACTTGTGATGCCATGTATGAATTGATATCTAATATAAAAAAGTCTTGAGAATGAAAATAAAAATATAAGTGTTTTTATCGACCTCGCGAAAGCGTTTGACACTGTTCCTCACAAGCAACTACTAAATGTTCTTGAACATTATGGCATTCGAGGAATGGTTTTAAAAAAATTTTGAAAACTACCTACACGAGAGAACAGAGATAGTTAAAATTAGAAATGAATTTAGTAATCCTGTTAAAATTCAAATAGGTGTGCCACAAGGAACTGTCCTTGGTCCAATTCTTTTTATCATCTATATCAACTCTCTTTTAAATTTAGATATAAAAGGTATAGCAATATCCTATGCAGATGACACCGTATTAATGTTTGGAGGTAAAACCTGGGAGGCTGTAAAATCAAAAGTGGTTAAAGGGGTAAGAATTATGAAAGACTGGTTGGAGTATAATAAACTATCTTTAAATATATCAAAAACAGTATATATGGCATTCTCACTCACAGATGCTAACAGGCCTAACTTCAAACAGATTTGTATTGAAGAATCCAAATTCATCATCAAAGAAGTGGAAAATGCCAAATATTTGGGAATAATAGTTGACAAAAATCTTAAATGGACTGATCATGTTCAGTACTTAACAAACAAAATAAGAAAACTTATATATAAATTTTATTTAATTCGTAACATTCTAAATAAAAAGTTATTACACTTGATATATATTGCTCTCAATGAATTCTTAATTAGATATGGCATAATTGTATGGGGTGGTTTATATGACAATGCCCTACATCCTTTAAGTATCATTCAAAATTATATCTTAAAGATAATAAATCATAAAAGTCGTTTGTTTTCAACAACCCTCTTATACAATGAATCCACTCCAAACGTAAGATCACTATACTTTCACTCTAGCTGTATGTTCTATTTCAAACTGAAAAATAAAAATTTTGTAAACCACTCTTATATGACCCGAAAACAAAAGAGAAGAATGCTAAATGTACCATTCTTTAAATATGATGGAAATAAAAGATTTATTTCTTCAATTGGGCCAAAAGTATACAACTCTTTAAGTGAAAATAGCAGACAAATAAAAAATATAAAAACCTTTTCTAAAGCGATCAGAAAATTTATATTTGATATATATTTATACCTCTCAAATTTGTTATAAATACCTAGTCTTATAGGTATATTTATGTCCTTTTAATCATCAAATGTTTAGTTTATAGGTATTGTTAATTTTATGTAGTTTTAATCTATTTCTATTGCACATACAGATGTTTTTGCATCTAGGTGCATATTTTAAGAATAATTTCTCATTGTAAATTTATCTGATTTTGTATTATAAAATGTTTATTCTTCTTCTTAAATAAAATCTGGACATGTCTAATGCTACTACCTCGGCAACTACACAAACATACAACTTATTAGATTCTGCTGTCCTCACATTACACATACAGTGAGCATCATAAGTCTTACCCCCCCTAACTAACTCGTTACTGGGGTCTTGTTAGGAAAATCGCCGAGACAGGTCGATTTTTGATTTCTACAATGTACATTTTTGCATAATTAGTTTACCCTTAATTTCATCCCTTACTGGAGGGTAGCAACCCTTTCGAAAAATTTAAATGGCATGGGGTGGTGAGTGATAGCTCATTTGAAAGGGGGTTTTATTCTCTATTCAACCGTGCAAAAAATTTTAAAATTTGCTTCATTACGTGTTGATTTATTAATGTTTAAAAATAACAAAACCTCACAAAATAGGAAAGCAACTGGACTAACAGTGACCTTCTAATGGCAAAAAGTCTTACTTCACGTCTGAACCAAAACCGAAATCATGCAGGGCCGAATTTTAATTCTAAGGATGAGTGCCCTACGTTAATTTCCGTTATTCTGAAACAACAATTAGTCGAGAATTAATGAAGAAAATTTCAATTTTTTTTTACACGGTTGAATAGAGAATAAAACCCTCTTTCAAATGAGCTATCACTCACCACCCCATGCCATTTAAATTTTTCGAAAGGGTTGCTCCCCTCCAGTAAGGGATGAAATTAAGGGTAAACTATTTATACGAAAATGTACATTGTAGAAATCAAAAATTGACGTGTCTCGGCGATTTTCCTAACAAGACTCCAGTAACGAGTTAGATACGGGGGGGGGTAAGACTTATGGTGCTCACTGTATAATAAATTATTGATTAACAGAAAATGTTTTTCCAGCAATGCAGATCAAAGCGGTTGTGAGGGTATTGCCTTAAAAACAAAACTCAACCAAAATGAAAAATCTAAGAGGCATCAGTATTTTACCAACTTTATCAAACATTTTTGAAAGGACTATTTAAGTAGGTCCAAATAAAAGCATATACTGAACGGTGATAAAAATATACCATACTGATATTATTAAATTTCAGCTGAGCATTTGATACTATCAATTATGACTTAGTGATAAGTATTTTGAAGTATGTTGGATTGATTCTCTTATAATGAATTTGAGTTGATAAGTAATTATTTAAACAGAAGACAACAAAAAGTCTGTATAGGAGATTGTAATTCAGATTTCTTAAATATTAATTCAGGGGTAAAAAAAGGTGGGCCCTCTATTATTCTGGAAATTAATAAAAATGCATATAATCTAATCAATGTAGAATTAAGTAAATTTGTAGGGTAAAGCAGCTGAAGAACATTATCTTTGGTTAAATTCAAATAAATCATACATAATTTTTTGGACCAAAAATAGTCATGAAGCTATAAGTCAGCATGGCCGACTAGAGGGAGGGGGGCAGCCGGGACCAATTCCCGGGGCCCGGCAGCGGTGGTGTTTGTTGCTTTCAGAAGTTCGACAGAAGAGGGGGGAAGTTCTTAGTTGAAGACCTTTTCTTTTTTTAGAGAGATTAATTGAAGCAAAAAATCTAGGAATACTAATGAATATGCATTTAATATTTGAGAATCATAAAAACAAATTAGTATGAGCCTATTTTACACTCAAAATTCTTTATTGCGAAAGACATTTTTTGTCTATCAACTTAAAATTCTTTATTATCTTGTTGATTTTTAAGTATGCAGATGTTCTGTATGGTCCAAATATAACTACAGATTACAAAAGGAAAATTCAAAAAGTAAAAAGTTTAGATTTGCGATTTATATATGGTATCCACAAAAGACAAAGAATATCATATAAACTAAAACCAATTGAATGGTTAACTATGGAGAATAGAATTCATCATGTACTACATGTCTGTTCCATAAAATTAAAACAAAAAAATATCATAGGAAGATTACATATCACACCTATACACAAGCTAGGTGTTGGATTTAGAATTGAAATGTATCAACAGTCCTTAACATACAAAAAATTTAAATTATACATTTCTTTATCACCTCAACTGAAAAGTTTAAACATAAATAAATTTAGATCTTCAATTATCAGACTTAATAAACAATATATTAGAAAAATAACACGTTTTCGTTTGCAAAATTATCATTTGTAACAGGTTGTTTAAATTAAAATACTTACCATACGATATCGTCTTTCCGAAGAATTCTGATATCTTCAGACGGCGGCAAATACTCGTTATTGCTAAGTAAACAGAAATTTTCGATGCCAAAGACTATCGTAATTTTATTTTGAATGTCCTGTATCCTGGTTATTTTGTCGCCGATAAAAATCCTAGCAATTTTCCGGTGATCTTTAAAAAAATTTGACAAATTAATTAGTAGTGTAAAATTCGTTTGAGCCATCTTCACAGTAGGGACACAACACAAAATAGGAGGGAATAGCTTATTTTTTTATCGAGTCATAGGAATAAAAAGATAAAAAATACCCGACATAAGTTCAAATTTTTACTTTTTTCTTCTTCTTCTTCTTTAGTTTTTTATATGCCTAATCCGTTAGGATTATTCCAGGCTATTTTTTTATTCGATTTTATTACGTGAAAAAAACGGCAAAATCGTTCATCTGACATTTCTCATCACTCTGCCACTTCACTTGATATTTTACTTAAAACAATGTAATACAATTTTGATATTAATGTTCTTTTCACCTTCGTAAGATTTTTAAAGTCGGATAGTCACTTTAAATCATGTATATTTTAAGATAATTTAAATGCCTGACTTCCGATTTGGAAACTGCCATTTCGATAATCGATGTTCTATCGAATCTGTCCTAGTAATCGATTAATTTTAGAAGAACTTTTCTTCCACCTTCAGTTGCAATGTCCTTTTACATGTCGGTACATAGAACAGACTGTACCGTTTTTAAAAGGTTAACGACCAACATAGCTAGTTTTTTTTAAAATTATTTTTGTTTTGCCTTTGTGGCCATGCAATAACGAAAAATTATTCATAGGAAAAGATAACAACTTGTAAAAAACATGAACTAATTTTATTAAAAAAAAAAAGGTTTAATTTAATAATTATTTTATTAAGTAATCATTAAATACACATTCAACCACATCTAAATAAATTAAAATCGGCAATCCAACACGAATAATTAAAATTTACCGACACTATTAAATTTTTCATACCATTTTGTGTCAAAAATAGTAAGTAATTCAAGACATTTATTTACAACAGCGATTTTCAAAAATCAACAAGACTAGAATGATTGTTTTAACAGTTTTTACATTTGCAAATCAATCTGTTCACAACACATTGAAAGTAAATCGTGTAACGGAAATATAGGAAAAAAAAATCTTGAAAATATTGATAAAATTACATATTATCCTTTTATTAGTGGTAAAAGGATATTTATACCTAAGAAATTATCAGTATATTGGAAAAAATTTAAATTACTAAAATATAATTTATATAGACAATAGATAATACTAAATTATCAGACTGTTGGTAAGTATACCATTTGTTTCAACTGGCACAAATTTTTGACAGTTGCCAAACGTAGTGAATCAATTTTTTCATTATTTGACAGATGTCAAATAAACAAGATGTACAAATGTTGCGTTTGAGAATCCACATCGGATGCATTTTTTACATCTCGAGCGTTTTTTTATCCACATCGGACACATCTGTCCCATTACATTTACGTATACTGAATCACGTGATCAAAGATTTTTTACATCTCAGATGCATCCGATGTGGATTCTCAAACGCGGCATTAGAAGTACATGCTGGACAGATATTTGAATATACAAAAGATTTATCATCTTCAGTTTCCTAATTATATATTCGTATCAAACTATTGTTAAATTAAAGGAATGTGCAGTAAAAACAACTTAATATTATAAAAAAGTATACAACAAATAAATAAGGTAGTAAATTATTATAAACGTAATACATATACAATAGTTTTATAATATAAATCACAATAATAGTGTAAATCACACGTAAAAAATAATTCGGTAAATTCAATAATCTAGTACTTAAACTGCCTATACTAAGTTTTGATCCTTCTTCCTTGTTTCGTATATCCGTTCCTACTATTTTTGTGTCCGTTCCTTATATCGGAATAACGTGGTGGCTTCGGACGCGTCTCAAACACTACATCAGAGTCTGTATCGCTATCAGAAAAGTTCGCTTTCTTCGATGCAACTGAAAATCAAAAAAATTTCTCAAGTATTTAATATTCCTTCAAAAATAATCTCAGAAACAAAAAATGTATATCACATTTTAAGCTTTGTGATTATAACATTTAACAATTGACATATGACAAGTGACAGCGCTACTAAATACTTACACGGCGGGATATCATCAGTATCTCCAATAAGTTTATATGTGGTTGGTTTGGTACTGGCCTCTCTCTTGATACAAAATGTGTAACACAAATGGACCATTCCCCAAAGTGTTCCGAGAAACAGCAACACCCCGCAAACCGCTCCGAGCACCACGTACAAGATGCTCCAACTACAATCGGAGTCCTCGCCGAAATTCAAATAAACTTTAAACATGTCCTGCATCCAGAAGGCCTCGCATTCGCATTTGCGGGTGAGTTCGTCACAAATACCGTGACCCGAGCAGTTATTTTGACAGATTGACGTTTGAAGTTTCTGGACGGAGAAACCCAGCAGGCTAGCGTCGACGCGAAGTTTCTGACGGAGGTAATGAACGACCTCATTGGCTGAGGTGGGTTTACCATTGGAATCATCTACATAGAATGTTATAAGAGCTTTTCCTGTTTCTTTGGAGGGATGAACGGATCTAACCTAAAAAGTTAAAACAACGGTTTTAGAATCAGAAGTTACTTTTTTCACAAAATCCTTACTTGTAACTTAGAACCGTCTTTGACGAGAAGAGCCAGCTTCCCTGTCAAAGAATTGTACTGGGCTTGTGTCAAGGTTTTAGCATCTAATTCAATAGTAATCTCTACCAAATAGTACAACATTGGATCATTCTTAACCAGGAGAGTAACAGAATCCGTATCGCTTAAACCCTGCTCGTCATACACTGTCAAATTAAAGATGTACTTCCCCACGGCGATATCTGTCAAAATTAGAACAGGTTGTTCATCGGTTTTTTCCGCAATGTTGCCGATAGCGAGAGATTTATCGTCTCTCGTCCATTTCCACTTGACTATCGCCCAATCGTCTTTGGAATTTGATCCGTTTAGCATTACTACGTTCTTTGGAAGTTCCACTTCGAAATCGGGACCTGCGTCAGCAGTGGGTTCTTGATTTTTATCTAAAAATAAATTTACTTTAGCAATTCACAGATGTTTAACAGTATTACTTGTCAAACTTGTCATTCAAGTGACGTTTGACAAAATTAAATAAAAAAACTCACTCTGATTGACGGTGACGAAGAGTTTGTCGCTGGCGATGTTTTTGTTATCGTCCGTTACGCTGATTTTGAAAGTATACAATCCCTTCGTTAGGCCGGTGACGTTAGTTTTGCTAGAATTAGCGTTTTCGAATGTGACCGAAGACGGGCCTTCTAACTCTTCCCATTTAAACGCCAGGATTTTGTTGTCGTCGGTACTGTTAGAAGCGTCTAAAACCACCCACGTTTGTGGTAAACTAATCGTAATATTCTGACCGGCGTTGGCAACGGGTGGTTTGTTTGTAGGCGGTTTGACAAACACGTGAACCTTGAAAGTAATATAAATAATAAATATTTTACACGAAATTCATTTATAGTTTTATTTACTTGTGCAGTGCTAGATTGGTTGGCGCTATCGGTGACTCTAAGTATAAAAGTATAAATCCCTTCTTCCAAATTGGACAGTTTTAAAATGGAAGTGCGCGTATCTTGCATATCTACAGCTTTTTGGGCGTCATCCGCAGATTTCGTCCACTCCCAAGTGGTTATGGCGTGATCATCTAAACTATTGCTGCCATTTAAAGTTATAGAGTTGTGAGGCAAATAAATGATTTTATCTTCACCTGCAATAACACATTTATCTATTATTACGCAAATTATTACCACTTTTGATGACAAATTTAGTTGTCAAAGCCTGACAGATGTCAAACTTGACATTTGCAACTGTTTTTACCTGCATTAGCTTCAGGAGGATAATCAGTGCCAGCTAAAACTGTAATATTAGCCGTTTGGGCGCTGCTTTCTTTATCGGTGTCAGTTACAGTTAATTTAAAAGTATAATTTCCAGGTTTTGTGAGGTCGTTCAGTTGAAGAGTTGGCGTGTCTTTCAATTGAGGTTCATAACCTATAAATTAAATATAATATTACATTTATTTTTCGTACTGATTTTTATTCAATCCCTACCTACTGGCCCTTGTTGCAAATCCCAATGCCATGATATGATGCCATCATCGTCGGTACTGGACGAAGCATCTAAAACAGCTGCTGAATTTGGTAGCTTTATAGTTTGATTGGCAGGTGTAATGACAATATTTGGAGGTTTATTGATTCTTTTCGCTGCTAATACGCTCACATTGACAAAAGTTTCGCCATAAGCCGATGGAGTAGAAGCTGCCACCTAGACAGGAACATTCAAATTGAAATAATAACATTCTACAAATTCTGCAATAAAACTCACTTTAAACGAATAGACGCCTTCCGTAAGCTTTTCCAAGTGTAACTGCCCTTCGTTTTGGTGTTTTACAGCAGCGCTTCCATCTGGTTGGTGCAATGAAATCCATTCGAATTGGTACTTCTCGCCTTTATCAGGTACAACTTTTGCATCAAGAGTGACTTCATTAACAGGTAATCTAACTTCTTTAGATTCCGCCCTGACTATAACTTGCCTAGGCGTTACAGGTTGAGATTTGTTGGTTACATCTATTATTCGTTCCGACAGGAGGCTGGGAAGGCCTTCGCGAATTGTGGATTCTTCGAGACTAGGATAACATTCTCCGTTTTTGTTGCGGATAAAGCCTTCTAAACATTGGCAGATACCTGGAAGTAAAAATAGAATAGAATATTCGATGAAAATAGTGCCTAAATTGTTAGAACATAAATCTAAAGAATCGTATTAGGGCTTACCAAATAGTCAAAGTTGCTTGGAATTTGCCATTGGCATTTTTTTTATTTTAATCTAATTAATTAATTATAGTCTCGTTTGTATATATTATCGTGAAATGGGAAATGAATGTAAAGGGTACTACATTTGAGAACAAAGCATATTTAAGGACAAGGAAAATTTCGAATTGTAAGGTTAAATCTTATGAAAGTTTTTACGGTAATTTCACTTAATTTTTTTTTGCTGCTCCGTCGGTTGAGGTAAAAGTTTGTTTACGGTTGAGTGGCATACCTAACTTACTAGATTATGCTTTTATTCAAACTATAGTCTAGAGAAGAAGAGAGTACAGTAATTTAATTTGCAGAATGTAGTACCTACAAGTTCTGAAGGTAGACATTTTAATTATACCTCAACCTTCAATGCCTATTTGTAATTAAAATGAAAATTTTAATAAATCTGATAGGCCTAATAAAAGTTTTCGTTTAGATTTAATTGATTCGGAATTTTGTATTAATATTATAATTTTACAGTTATATAAGAATGGCGAGTGCATTAGAAAATATTGTAAGCACAAGTACGCGTAAACGACCTAATAGACATTAAACATTGTCTTTAGAGGACAAAATATCGTACTTAATGTATTTAATAATATTCGAAAAGACTTTGTTTCACTTTCTGTGGATGAAATAGCCACTAAATGTGAGACCTATACTGGAGTATCTAAGGGGACAGTGTATAACATTATTAGAAAAGATACAGTTTTTGGAGAAGTCTCACATCCGAAAAGCCCCCAGAAAGAAACAAGACCTTTATTGAAACTTGGGTAAAGAATGTAATAAGGTAAATGGTACAAGTATTAAAAGTAATTTTAAAAAACCGACTTTAAAATCGTGCAGATGCCATCACTACATCTTGACCAAATTTATATAGGACCACCCTTGAGGTAACTCATTATTAACAAAAACAAAAATCCTAGAAAGCAGTCAAGGTAGTAAAGAATTATCGTTAAACATACATAAAAAATGAAGAGTTTGAGGATTTTCTCACGTACACAATTATTAGATTTTGCCCAATTTTATATGGGTCCACCTCTGAAGTACCCCCTTTCTAACAAAAAAAGAATCATTGAAATTGCACACCTTGTTAAAGATTTATCGCTGAACATACACAAAAAAAATATTCCGACGAATTGAGAACCTCCTACTTTTAGTCGGTTAAAAATAGCCCCACTTTTCTAAATATATCATATTTTCATCTGCAAAAAATATTAAATTAATTAAATTTTCTTTACAAAAAACGTGACAAACAGATTTTTAAGAGAGAAAGATGAAATCATTGCATTGAGACATGATTATTTAAGGAAAATAGTGGATACAAGGTATTTTATTTAGATGAAACATGGGTTAACGTTGGACATACAGTAACAAGAATTTGGCAAGATACCTCCATCAAAACTAAAAAACAAGCCTTTATGGAAGGGGACTCTTGTAGATTAAAAAATCCAACAGGAAAAGGAAATCGTTTAATAATAACCCACATTGGAAGCACCAATGGATTTTTGCCAGATGGTTTATTAATATTCGAGTCAAAGAAAACAAAAGACTACCATGACGAAATGGATGGCCCTATGTTTGAAAATTGATTTCAGAACATTATATAAATAATTCCAGCGAACTCCATTATCGTTTTGAATAATGCATCCTATCACAGTCGATTAAAGGAGTCACTACCCATAACAAGATGGAAAAAATGGCTTCATCCTAAAAATATTATCAGTCCTCCTAAATCATTGAAGGCAGAATTACTCGTAATAGCAAGGCAACATAAGAACAAATTCAAAAAATATATTATACACGAGATGGCCCGAGAAAAAGGAATTGAAATTCTCAGTTTGCCTCCTTACCTCGCAGAGTTAAATCCCATTGAACTGATCTGGGGCATATTGCATAAAACTACTTTGGAACTTTTCACTTTGCATATTTTAGTAAATTTATGTTTATAAATATTATTCTTCTGAAAAACTCAAAAAGAAAATTGTATGTGCCTTAAAATTGCATAAAACCATCCTTATTTTGTCACTCAATAAGTATCTTCAATACCTTTGTGAAAATATACAGAATGGCAACGTCGTACTATATGCGTACTATCATGTGCAAGCATTCCTAATGTTGATCTATATTGGTGGTGACACATAGTGTATTAAAGTAACGATAAATAACAAGAAAATTTTAAACATTTCTAATTTAAATCAGTCTTTTTGTAATAATTATCCAACATACAGCCACAATATTGTGTGAAAGAAATTAAAACAAAAATGCCTAAAAATAATTTTCTTATTGATCATTGCATTTATAGTTATTTATGCAACAAGTGCAATAAACACTTTTTGCACGAGTTACATACAATATTTTTTCTACGTTCATGCAAAAACCAAAAAATGTTTTATTTAGGCGACACCAAGTGCAGAAGAATAAAAAGCGTAATTTAATAGCAAAATATTTAATAACTAATAATTAGCATCGATTAACATTGAAAAAGTACTATAACTAGTTAAGAAAAATAATTTAACCAAAACTTTAGGAACAACTGTGTTATGAACAATAATTAAGCTTAAACGTTGTTTTTGCCTCTAATATTAAAAGTAAATGTATAATTTGTACAATTTTCAATATTAATATTTTTTAAAACATAATACAATCTCACAGAAAATGAAAATGGACTAAATATTTGGCGTCGATTTGAATATTTATGTTTGTCATGTAGTAAAATGACAGATGATTGCAATAAAATTTTTATTGCACTAGTGCAATAAAGAACCAGTTTTTTCACTAAATATAGTTCAATAAAGTTTTGTTTTTTGCATGAACGTAGAAAAAATCTTTAATGATAATGTGAAAGTTTAGTTAGTTATTATGGAATATTATTAAATTAATTCTTACAAAATTGCTATTTATAGCTATATCTCAGTTTGCTTGTAATTTTTCTTTATTATTATAAAAAGCATGTATTCTGATGAAACGGCGTTTTTAGTAAATTTCACAGCCTTAAAGGTTGGAAGGGTTAAAGGAAATTAGTTATTTTCTGACACAATGATTCACTGAAAGAATTTTATGAGAATTCCCTTACTTCTAGCTAAAATATATTAACAGCAAAATTACTACAAGACAAAAGAGTTTAATATCTTTATAAATATATGATTAATAAGTTTAAAGATGAAAGTGAAACCGGAAATGCTAATAGCATCCAACTTATTATTTAACAGATAGTTTTTGGTTAATATTTCAGGTATTCAAATATTTTTTTTACATTTTTTTGTGTACCATATTATCTTGGTGCATAATTTTTTGTTCTCATTTAGAGAAAGGTGCCACTTTATTGGAGATACTGGTTTTTATTATTTATTCACCTCATTACAATAAAATATATATATATATATATATATATATATATATATATATATATATATATATATATATAAGATCGGTACAAATGCTATACAAAAAGAAACAAAAGACATAGAACAAAAACATTTTAACAATAATAGTAATTTTATTAATATTACTAAGTGATAATGTAACAATATACATTGAAGCAAGAATTCTCATGTTTCTAATAGTGAGGAAACTTTAAAGGAAGTAAGAAAATAATAAATTATGAAATAATTCACTTGATACATTGTAAGTAACATTTATTTTAGGTTTTGGGTCTGCAGTAGGTAATCTTGTAGTTGAATGGTCTGGAAATGCACATATCTACACCATTCCTGTTCCGGCTAGTTCTGACAGTTGGAATCATTACATACTTAGTTGCCAGGTTATAATGAATTATTTGTAACCAGGGAATAAGCAGATTGAAATGACTATTTTACTTTTAATCATATATTTACCAAGTTTTACATCGATTAAAAATCTCATAAAAATAAAAAAAAAATGTTCTGAAGATTTTCAAATATTAGGATTATTTTTAATGTCAATAATACCTTTCAATAGTGATAATTACAAAATTCAAATTTAAAAACTATCAAAACTGTCTCATAAAACAGAACATTATTTAAAAGTTTATTGTGGGGCACAGTGAAAATTGGAACCGCTCGAGCTCTGCCACCTATTTTATTTCAAGTTCTACAAGACTTAAATAAACAACACCAATATTATGACACTTAAAAGAATAAACAGCACACAATGAGGATAATAATATAATAAGAATATCAATAAAAACAAAAATAGCCTAAGAAAATATATGACAATAACAAACCGCTACTTCATAAAGCACGCCAAAATTAAAGTGGAGATTTGGCAACGTGACATGTGTCAAATTCAAATTCTAGACATCAGTGCAGAATGGTGTGAACATGTGCATTTCTAGACCTGTCAGTTATAAGATTACCCTAATATAAACCTCATCTACAGTATGCTTCATTTCATGTATCTGGTATTCATGTTATAATGTATTATATTAATAAACCAATGCAGTTCCAATGCAAACGTTTAAAGGTATATTTTATTTAAGCTGAATTAATTATATAATAGAAGAGTTGTTTTACGATTTACTAAAATACAATAAAACTTGCTTCTTTAATATTAAAATTTGTAGGATAGCTCAGAGATCAACCACTGTTAATTACCTGTTCCAGTTTTGGGATGTCTAGGAATGCATTCTTCATTTTGCAAACAACTGTTTTCAATACCAACATCACAGTAAAGTCGGTTAAATGAATCTTCATTTATCACTTCTTGGAATACATCTTCAAACCTTTTTCTGTCATTCAAAATATTAAGTATATCTTTATTTTCAGGCCTAGTTACCAGTTCTACAAATATATTTAAAATAAGATTAGTTTTCATAAATTGTTAATATAAAATACTTATACCTTCTTGATGCAAGACATCTTCCCATCTGAGGGCATCTCTAGGTCTAACCAGCACCAAGAAAAGTCTGTCTGAACTATTTAAATTTGTGCTTGAAGTGGGCAAACATAATTCATCACTGTTGCAAGCAATGTGGTAACATTTATCATTGTGCATAAAAGCTACATTACAAGTTTCTTTGAAACAACATTCAAAAACGCAAGTTTTCAATTTTGTGGATTCAGTTACTTCTTCAAATATACCTAAAATCAAGATTTTTTCAAGTAACAAAATGTTTACCCAACTGTGATGTAATATTTACTTACCTGCACTTAAATTTCCTCTAGGTATACATCCTGTGAAGGTTTTTTCATACAGCTGTGGACATTGATCTTGAATCTTTAAGGGAGTTCTAAAGAGTTGACAACATGTTAAACACGAAGTTAAGACTATTAAAAATAGTAATCGCTGATAGTCCATTTTCTACAAAATAATTTAATTGTGATTTATATCGAAAATATACAAAAGAACATACATTACCACTTATTTATATTAGTAATCCAAATATTGACAATAAAATAGGTTTGTTACTCGAATTCTGGTTTACGGAGTTATTTATTAATTATTTAATCATCGATAAGTACATAAGGTAAGTTTTCCTAAATAAAAACAGATAACCCAGAAAACCACCTGCCACTGTAAAACGTCATCTTGACAACTAGAACTATCAAGCTTCATGTCATATTTCTTCTGTTTATCAGACTCTTTCAAGGTGCCATTTAGCCAACCATCGTTTTTTCTAATAATCAAGACCAAAGCATTATCTTTAAAATAAAATTATATACCTAAAACTATTTTAATTGATAACTTTATGATGATTTATATATTTTCGAAAGCACAGAAAACAATTTAATCTACTAAAATTACTAGACACATAAAGAAAAAAAAATTGCATCTTTGTTGTGCATCTTCTTGTGAAGGTCAAATTTGTCACGATTATTAAGCATGACTCATGGATGATGTCATTTAATATTTAATCCAATCTATTTTTCTTTACAGAACAACAGAGAGGTGAAGTTTGTTTTTATCGGGAACAAAGAACCTTTGCCAAAAAAAATATTCAAACGTAATTGTGTAGTTTACTAGTCATTTTTAAACCGAAAGTGTTTTTCAAGGCGGAAAAATAAGAAAATAGTGATAAAAGGTAATTTTCAAATTTGTAGGTAAATTAATGTCCTTGGATTTATTTTAAGAAATTGTATTTAATTGCCAAAAAAATCCTTTATGTTAACGATAAATAACGAGTTTTTTTTGTAGAATTGCATGGAAATAAGTGATCAAACATATTACTTCCTACTGAGTCTTGTCATCCTTCCTGTATATTTACTGTTTACTTTGTGGAGCTGGTTAGGTTGGGAACTATTCAAAAATAATTAAAAATGAGCCACGACCAAAATGCTTCCTTTAGAAACATGAAAAGGAATTTAACTTTGGATTTGAATCAAAAAAAGTTAAATCTGCCACCTAATACGGGACTCTTATCTTCCCCGGACTTAAACATGCTTAAAGTAGATACACCCGAATTGGAAAATATGATTTTAGCAAATGGAATGGCAAATACACCAACACCGTCATTGCTGTTTCCAAAAACAGTGACAGCAGAGCAAGAAAGATTTGCAGGGGGTTTTGTGGAAGCTTTAAGTCATTTACATAACAGTAATTCTCAGCAGGGGTCCGATAGTAATTCTAGCACCATTTATAATGATTCTTACATTCCTCACATCAAAGAAGAACCTCAAACAGTTCCCAACATGAATCAAACGCCCCCTATGTCCCCTGTTGATATGGAGTACCAGGAGCGCATGAAGCTGGAAAGGAAGAGGCAAAGAAATCGCCTGGCGGCCTCAAAGTGCAGGTCCAGGAAGCTAGAAAGGATATCAAAGTTAGAGGATAAGGTAAAGCTGCTTAAAAATGAGAATGTTGAACTTGGTTCAATTGTTAACCAGTTAAAAGAAACTGTAGGGCTTCTTAAACTCGAAGTTTTAGAACATAATAAAGCAGGCTGTCATGTTATCATGTATTAAACAGTCATTTTTAAATCTTGTAATGGTGCTAAGATAATATATTTTTTTGTCTAAAAATATTTGAATAATTAGAACCATAAGTCATATTTTTGGTATTTTTCTTAGTAACTAATCGCTATGTGATTTTTTTACCAGTACCCAGTACTGTACTTACACCAAGTGACAATATTTTATAAATGTAATCATTCTATTATTTATTTATTACAATAATTATAAACCATAGAAAAACTCAAAATATGTTTGAACAATTATTATTTTCCTATAAAATTGTGTATTGTGCAAATAAGTCATATGAAGGTTGTAGTATTAATTTGCAAATTATATTTTTAGTTTGTCATTTAGTTATAAGATTTTTTTATATAAAAATAGTCTAATGTTACCAACAGCTGGTGAGCTGTAATTATCTGTATAGTTTTTGGAAATATATATATTTACTCATAAAAAGTGTAATTTTTGCCAAATTTCAATTAGAATGGTATTTTTGTTTGTTTATAACTGGATTCAGACTTTCAAGTTGTCTAAATATTAGAATGGCTAATTTAAATTTTACATAATAACAAAAAGTTTATGATAGTATGCCTTTATAGATCTAGTACTGAAATTAATTTGTTAAGCAAAAAAAAAAGAAAAAAATTGCAGATATCATGAAACAATGTTTTATTGAGTTTCTAATATTTCAAATAAAAAGTTGCCGGTCCGTGGGGCCAGATTTGGCTTTACGATAGCGGTCGTTAAGGTGTTAATAATAATCTAAAAGATATTACATGACATTATTGGTTACATGATATTAATGAAAAATACAGAGAATTTTTAAATAAAATTTTGAAAGTTGTCAATGAAGTGGCACCAAAAAACAAGATAAAATTTTATTATATTATCAGAACTGGTGGAATGATCAGGTTAGAGCTGCTACTAGTGTGAGAGATAAAAGTTATAAAACATTTATTACTAACAAATAGGAGGCTTTTAATAATTTGCTTGAAGATATTAAATGTTCTTCAAACGCAGCAATATTTAAAAGAAAACTGCGTGAGTACTTGCTGACCAATTGACGTTTTTTTTTCTTCCTTTTATTATGTTTTGTATAGTTGACATGTAAGTGTACTGTATCTTATGTATTTTTTTATTGTATTTTAAATGTATGTTGATTCTATACTTATTAATTTTTTATATTTTAAATGTGAAGATGTATTGACATGTAAAAAATAGTTTGTTTTTGACTAAATAAACGATTTATATATTTTTATATGATATATAAAACATAATCTTTAAAAAAATACACCACCTAATTTAAAGTCGGCAGTTATGGAGAAATCTTATGTCAAGGAATTAGCTCTATTAATATTTAAAGACTATTCAGAACATTTAAAAAACTATTTATTTTACAATGTATTAATAAAAGATTCAACAAATATATTCATCCTGTATACTGGGTGCAAAAATCACAGCATATAACTTTAAAATTACTCTATTAAAATATTTTCAACATTATTCTTATCATCGGGACTAAATGGACAAAGGGAATCCTGCTTTTGATCAGCTATCATCTTCTTCCATCAATCGAAAACACATATTTTTAGCGTAATCATAACTTCCAAAAAATATATAACCTCCCAATGTAATCCACATTACCCTCGGAGCAAATCCAGCAAATAAACTAAAAAAAAAAAAAAAAATATTAACAAAACAAATGTATTGAATTAATCAATTTACCCTCGAAAACCTTCAGTGTGATAGATTTGCCTTAATGTATTCCTAACAGTCATTTCACCAGTTCTAACCTTCTTTCTATCTGCCAACATTATTCTAGTTTTAACTACATCTAGAGGAGTTGTGACGGCTGCGGAGACACCACCTAAAAACACAAGCAAAAAATTTGATCAGTTTCTGATATTTATTTAATCTTAAGAGAGGCAGTCTCTTTTGAAGAGGGTTGAAGTATAAAAAAGTGATAGTTGTTTATAACATTTTTATACAGAATCTTTAACAATATTTATTTATTTACAGGCAAGCCCATTTAAGTTACAATAAATTGTTAAAAATTACATTGGTGTGTTTTGAATGTTGTGCTTAAATCAATTTACAGAAGAATCAAATATAATATCCAGAGAGTTTGCCAATCTAAGTATCTGAGGAATACAACTGTTAAAAGAACTATTAAGTCTATAAAAAGGAATATAAAATATTTGTGATTGCCTGGTACTACGAGTAGGAATAAAAAAGATAAATTTTCGGTACAATTTCAGGCGAATCATATCTTCCATTAATAATATTAAAAAGTAAGATCAGGTCTCTATGATTTCTTCTGGTTTCCTTTAAAAACTGCTCCATTGTAGTATAATCATAAAACGTTTGTAATTTAAAGGCTATATACCTAAGAAAATTGTTCTGAACATGATCGATTATTAATTTATATGTTACATGATGTGGGGACCATATAGAAGAGCAATAATCGAGGTGACTCCTAACTAAAGTAGAATAGTTTTAATAGCAGTAGCGGGTCGTCCTTTTAATAGATCCTAACATTTTAAGACATTTACTTATAACTGAAGAGATGTGGTGGTGATTAAAGCTAAGAGTTGTGTCGAAAATAACTCTGAAGATCTTTAATTGGATTAACACTATATCTAAAAGTTGACCGTTGATTGTATAGTCAAATATAGTGGACAGTTGAGAACGATGGAACCGAATAATGAGAAATTTTTCCACATTTCAATCCATGCCGTTGTATTTGCACCAATCTGATAATTGATTAATGTCAAACTGTAAATCAATAGCATTTTCAAAGTTGTTGACAATTTGGAAAAAATTTAGGTCATCTGCAAAGAGTAAGAAATTTCTGTGCCGGAAACATTAAGTCACATCGTTGACAAATAAATTAAAAAGAAGGGGTCCCAGATGGGAACCTTGGGGAACTTCAGAAGAAACAGTAATAATTAGAATTATTTTATTGTCATTTTTAGTTTTTGATATTAGTTTGTTTAAATTATTTCTAAATGTTTTATAGTGAGTTTGTTTGTTAATAGAATAGTTTTTTTGTAGATATTTTTTAAGTTTATCCCTAGTTTTAATAGAATTAATTAAACCATTTGTTATCCATGGCTTTATTTTTTTATGGATTTTAATTTTAATATTTTGAGTGGTTTGACATGTTTCAATGATATTAAGATACGTGTCATAAAAAAGTTGTGTTTCAATTTCTGGATTATTTTCATTGCAAACACTTTCCCATTTTAGTTATAGTTTTATATGTATTGTAGGAACTTGTGTAGTTTTTGGCAGATTGTGAGATATTTATCATAATAGGATCATGATCAGTCATATCATAGCTGATAACATAAGAGTTCATCGACAGATTTTCAGTCTTAATATTGTTTTTTAAGAATATATGATCCAAGCATGTTTTACTTTGTGGCCTCGTAATAGTGTTTATGTAAGACATGATACCATGGGAGTAAAAAGTTCCTTGGTAATCAGTAGTTACTTGATTGGTTACATTTAGGAGATCAATATTAATGTCCCCTATGAATATTTCAATATTTCTATTTAGGTGATTTGGTATGAAATTTTCTAAATTCCTTATAAATGCTTGTGCAGAGGTTTGAGGAGACCAGTATACACCTGTAATGCCAATGGTCCGATGATTGACTTTTAGATTTATTTTAGTGACACAAATATCAAAATATCCCAGTTTAACTATATTTAATTCTGCGTTTAGATTTGACCTGACCAAAATTACAACACCATCATTTCTGTTAATGTTACCATTGTTATAGTGGGTGGTGAAGCCATCTAAGTTAAATTGAGAAATAGATTCTAATTGGAAACATTCAGTCAAAACTATTATAACACAATAATATTAGGTTTGTTCCAACAACAATCTTGAAACCATACACAAACCAGTCCACAACTTATTGTCGACGACTAATAGTCGGTGACCAGTCCACGACCTGTCGATGATTGGGACTGAATTCGGAACTTGGTTGTGTTGGAACACATGTTTCTGTTGTCAGACACACTGGGGTCTATTCTGTAACAATTCCTTTATATTTTAACGGCCGTTAAAATATTGGAGGCCTTTAAAAATATTTTCGTATTTACTAAATTCGGATTCCTTTAAAATACATTAGAGGACTATCCTAAAGAAATCCGTTTAGATAATGACAGAAGTAAATTAGAGAATACAAAAATATTTTTAAAGGCCGCCAATATTTTAACGGCCGTTAAAATATGAAGGAATTGTTACAGAATAGACCCCACTGTAAATTTTGAATTTGGTAAATAAAAAATTATAAAACTCATTAAAAGATTTATAAATTTTGATTATTCGATTGGTTAGTATATTAACTTATTTTATTTTTTACTGTATCTAAGTCAGAATAATAGTCCTTTTCACTTTCTAGACTCATTTTACTCATAAAATAATATACTATATAAATAATGATAATGAATAAAAACCAAATTACGATCGAGACCACGATCGATACTATCAAAACTAATATAATCACGACATTTCCAGAGTTGGTCGTGATTTATTTACGAGTTCACTTTCGTTTTGCGCATGTCTTGACAATTCGCTCCTATTCAGACCCAGGAACTCATTTGACAGTACAGAAACTGGTTTGTGATTAGGTTTGAATATGTTGGAACACTAGATTTTTGTACAGTTTTGAGTCTGAGGTTTGTTGGAACACCAAATCTAGATTGCGCAGAATCCCGACAGTACGTAAACCGATTTGCTATTGTGTTGGAACAAACCTTTTATAACTTTCTAGAAATACTAACTCATCAAAATTCTTTTTAATTTTCCTAATATTGAAATGTAAGACATTTAGGAGTTTTTCATTTATATTAATTTTATTTGTTATATTAGCAGCATCAACGACTTCATTAATCGAATCAATTTGAATAGATTATTTTCTTGATTAATAATCGTGAACTATTTGAATGTGTACAATTATTAGTTACGTTATGTTATTGATCTGTATACTCGGTTTTATTTTGCAATACCATTTGATGATATTTCAAAGAGGGACAAGTCAAATCCAGTGCAGAATGGTTGTAGTCGTACTCAGTTTTATAGAAACCTTGAAATTTAAAACATTGGGTATCTCCAAATCTTCATAAACTGGAAGTCTTTCCCATCCTATACATATTTTTTTCCTTTGTATCAATTGTTTGAATGCAGTTCCTGAACATTCACAGTATACAGTATTGAAGCCTTTTTTCACTTTTCTGATATATGTGGTTTTTATTTCACGTGTTGTCATTCTGTTTCACAATAGACTTGTCAATTTCTTCTTTGGTCATATTCTCCGTAAAAATGCAGATTTTCATTCTGGGTCTTCTCATTTTTGTCAGATCTACATCATATGAATCTTTTAATTTATCTTGAACAGCCTTTTCCAGAATTTCAGCTTCTTTTTTTGTTTGACAGGAAAGTATAACGGAACCATTCTTTCCCATCTTTGTTTCACTCCAACTTTTAAGTCAGTTAGGTTAATATTTGTTCCTAAATCTGTTTTTGTTTTGTTTCCACTTTGTGGTATTTTCGGTTTAATAATAATTTTTGGAGGGTTAGGTTTTCATTCATTGTCTTCTTTTTGTAACTTCACCATATCAGCATAAGAAATGGTAGGTACAATATTTAGCTCTTTTTCTTCAAATTCATTAATTTTCTCTTGAAGCATTTTTATTATTTTATTTTTACTATTTATTATTTCATCTTTACTTCTTATTATTTCATCCTTATCTTCATTATTCTTCTTTAGAAAATCAGTCAATTCATAATTGCTACATTTTGCACAATTGAAATTTCAGAATTCTAGTGCGTAGTGGTATACACCTAATTTCTGTGGTTGATAATTCAGAACATTGGTTGCAGTATAATCTTCTGCATCCATCACATTTTTCTTATAAAATAATTTTCTTATTTTATAAACTAAATGTGGGTACGCCACTGGCTATTCTATTTGTATGATTGCTTAGTAGAAAGTATTGGTGTTTATTTTATTTCACCTAAACTTTTTTGTCATCTGATAAGGTTTGGTACTTTTTTGCGTTTTTTGTTTCCTTGGTAGATTTTATTTGGCTGAAATTGCAGATAATTAATGCATTAATCTATGCAGCTGAGACTCACCTAAACAGTTCATTTACTACACTTTAGTACTATGACATTTTATTTAATTCACTAGTTTTTTTTTTAACATTATATAGTTTATATCCATAGAAATATAGATTTATTTAGTGAAACGAACACGTCTTCTCACCTTGAATTCAAAACACTTTTTCTACATTCCACATTTTATCCGTTATATTTTTTAAACCAAAATTATTAAAACAATTCTCATTGGCTTGAATGCCAGATGGGGATATTTTTGACTCGAAGACACTATGAAAATATTCAGAAAAAGAGAACATATGGTCTGAGAATCTAATGCTCTTTTATCTTGATACTTAAACAAAGATGGTATGGATTTACTGATTTTTTAATTATTTAAAAATGACCAAAAATAGTTTGTAACTGATTTAATATTTGTTTCAGCTCCGTTTACATAATTTTTATAGTTGGTTAAGATGAGAGTCACTCAGGGCCCAATACTAAGTCTACTTCCGTTCTATAAATCTTTTTGTGAAGACATAACTTAAAGAACCTATGATTTACCCTTTATTTATTAATTTTAAAATATACCTGCAATTGATCCACACACTGCTACTTCCCACGATTCAAGAGGTATATTGTTTTTAAAAGATCTCCTATAACTTTTTTTAAGGTGCTCTAAGATTGGAAATTGTATAACAGAGAATGGTATTTCTCTCAATATAGTGGAACCAAAACCTCTGTATAAACCCTAAAAAAAACATTTTTAGCCATATTAAAAATAAAATAATTTGGACATGCTACCTTAATACCCTCATGTCTATATGCCGAACAGGCTATTTTCCATGAAGTTTTGTGACCTGTTTGAGTCTGTCGCCTTTGTTTTATTACTTCCATTGGAACTCTTACTAAACAAGCTACCTATAAATTATAGCCTTACATAATTCATAGTGTTTACCTTGATATTAATTGATAATGTTGGATAAATATAAATTTAATTGTAATCATAAAGCAATTTCTAAGAAGTGGAGGTTTAGCCTGAAAGAGTATACTTACAATTTCTGAAAAACCACCCCCAAACATGTAAACAAGTGGCATTGCATTACTTGGCACTACCCCTTTTGAATAATGTTTAATTGACTCATAGGTTAAGAAAAATAAGGCAGCTAAAAAATAAGAGTTATTTTGACTTTACTTAAGCACAAAAAGCTCATATTCATGTAAATTGTTCTAAATTTAAATTAGATAACAAAAATAAGAATTTAAGCTAACATAAAAAATTAATTCATCATAAATATATTTTAACAAACTTGAAACACTGATTAAAATTGGTTACCTTGTGGGGCACTTCCAATAACCTGAGGGCCAATACCCTTATAAATTCCTTTAAATCCACCAGCCTTTTTAAAACCTTGTTCAGCTTGTAATCTGGTTTTTAAGGTGTCCAATGGAAAAAGAACCGTATCGACAACTAACCCCGCCACTCCACCACCCTGTATAAAAATTAATAGCACTTATTTACTTGTTGACCTAGAAATTGAAAATTAAACTTACCACAAATGACGCCAAATACACATTTTTATTTTTCTTTGGTTCTAACTGGATCATGATTCTATTTTTTTAAATTATAAGAGGTAGTTTCATTTCAATAATAGGATGTATTTTTAATCTTTTATTAATGCATAACTAATCAATTAAATAACATTTCCTACACTACTCAAAGCAACAACAGATAACTTTCACTTTAATATCATTCACACACGTGTATATTATAATCACATTATAATACAATGTCTAATGTCCAACTAGGTAAAGGTCTTCGGAAAAATAGTCACCTATTATAGATTGTATACATTTATTTTGCTAAAATTAACTTTATTCCATCCATCCGTAAAAATATAAATTATAGCAATTTAAATTATTTATCACATTTTTCATTTCCAATTACATATTTTTCGCTATAAAAAGTTGGCATGAAAACCATAACCAATTGTACCAACATTACTAAATTTATCTGTCCAACTGACAGTTCAACGATCAACATTTAAAAATAGGTTACAGTAAAAAAAGATAAACAATTATCATTTCGTCAATTCTAGTCATAATTTATTTAATTCTAAGTATATGAAACCATGGATCAACGCTCCGCATTGGGGAACATCTTCAGCGCAATTAGAAGTTTACCTCAGGGTCACGACAAACCAGTGAAACAAGCATTTTACAATGCAGTAGCCCTATTTTTGCTATTCGTTTCCTGTGCCGCAGGATATGCAGTGTATATGATATTGGAACCATTTGTGAAACCTTTAATGTGGGCTGTGCTAGTTGGATCAGCGTTACATCCCTTAAAAAGATCATTAAGAGACAGATTCAAAGCATGGTTTCAAACATTGGAAGTTACGAGTACGCCAGTTGTGTTCGCAGTTATTCTGATACCGGTAAATATCGTTAACGATATTTCTGAGTTTATCGGCGAGAATATATGGAAGAGGCTTAAGTTGATAATAGCCTTTGGAGTTACCGTCCCTATTATACTGCTTATCTACAACTACACTCCGAGAATTATAGCAAGGGTATTGTGGCAGTTCGTTTTATACAGTTTTAATGTGTTACATTTTTTCCTGGATACATCGTCATTTTGGTTAGTAAGTATAATACTACTGGGATATATATCGGCTGTGTTTTTAATGTGGAAACCTGAAAATAACACTAAATTTCACTATGCTTCCATAATAATATGGTTACTGTGTTCAAGTTGTCTAGCCAAACAATTTGGGTATCTTCAAGTACCCATATTTATTTTATCTCAAATGATATTTTTCGGCGGTTTCGTATCGGAAGTATATGAATTTTATAATAATATGAAGAATTCTGATAACCCTATAACACTGGTTGAATCTGTATCACTCGTATTCCATGAACACCATGTTCAAATTAATGAAGAAACCAAAGATGCTATTGAAGACATTTCATCAGAAATTATTGGCAACACCATTGCTGATGAGACCATTTCTTCAGAAACTATTGGTGACACCATTGCTGATGAGAACAGTAAAGAAACTAAAATAATTGAAGAAAATAAAAAAGAAGAAAGGGATCCTTTCTCATTAGATCTCTTTGAAAACAAATATCCTGTCACTACTATTTTTAAAAGAAAAGAAACTACCGCAAAGCTAAAACCACCATTGAAAAGATCTCTTTCCCAACCCCATTTTTCTTCCAAACTTCTTAAGGATTCTTCCTGCCTCCGTCTAGGAAGGCACATTAACCTTCACTATTCAAATTCCAGTTTAGTAGATACAACAAGCTACGAGAGTAATTTTTTCCTTTACTCGGTTATGTGGGCTTGCATTGTGATGATTTTTTGGAAAAACGTGATGCTCCTTCTATTACTGCCCGCGCCCATATTGTTTTTCCTTATCAAACACTTGGGTAACTACATAGGCTTGTGGAGCTATTTATATGACAAAGGCTGTGATATATTTGACATTGTGACACATTGGTGTCACGAGAGACATGACGCTCTTGTACCTGTGCCAATCAGAGGCTTATACCACATTATTCACAAAGTTAATTCATTTCTGAAAACCGGAGTTCAAGATTCCATAGATACAGTAGCCAGTTGCGTGGTCATTTTTGGCCTGATAGTCTTCTTAATATGCGCTTCAGTCTTCATAGCGATACAAATTTATGCAGAAGCCATCATGTTGGTACAAATGACCGGATCGCTGATCAATCAAACTGTCGTGCAGAACCCAGAGTTGAAGCAGATGCTACCGCCAGCCTGGGATGATACAATAGACTCGATTTTAGACAACGCCTACCAGTATGGTAGAGAAGGAATTCAAAAAAGCGTTAGAGGAATGATGACAGATGTGGATCCATCAAAGTCTGAAAAGTTGGAAAAGCAAGTATTGGAATTGTGGGATAGGGTTTATCAGAATTGGATGTCGACAAATGATAGCAACGGTCCCAAAGTTACGGATGATGCCGTTAGAGCCACTTGGGATCATTTTATAGCTGATATACAGAAATCTCCAGAAATGTTCAATTTGAATGGTCTCATGGAGTTCGGAAAGCAGAATATCGGTACTTTAATGTCGTTACTAGAGTCTGTTTGGGGTATACTCAAAGGAAATGTAAGTTTGATTTTAGGATCTTTCAGTACTTTCCTTTCAGTCCTATTAGGAGGAGGTACTGCAGTCTTGAACTTCATCCTTAACATGGTCGTCTTTTTAACAACTCTATTTTATCTTTTGAATTGTAGCGGGGATCTTTATAAACCAGTGGAGCTCTTAACTAATTTTTCACCCAGCGGTAAAAGATTTGGACAAGCGCTTGAAGGAGCGATTATTGGTGTTTTTTCTGCTTCATTTAAAATGGCAGTTTTTTATGGCATGTGGACGTGGTTTATTCATAACCTATTTGGAGCCAAGATTGTTTATTTACCATCAGCTTTTGCTACCATTTTGGGCGCCATACCGTTTCTGGGGACTTACTGGGCGTGTCTACCGGCAGTGTTCGATTTGTGGTTGGCACAAGATCGGGGTATTGCGGCAATAATTTTTGCCGGGGCGCAATTTTTACCCACTTCGGTTGTAGATACGACTATTTATAAGGAAATTAAAGGAGGTGGTCATCCTTATTTAACTGGTCTAGCTATAGCAGGAGGGATATTCTGTTTGGGAATGGAAGGAGCCATAATTGGTCCCATGCTGTTGTGCGGACTGTATGTAGCTATAGATCTGTCATCTAATTTGTTTAAAGAAACCCCTTCTGAGGATTCGTTGCATTTGAGGTTGAGACAGTTACAGAATACCTGATTAAAAATGTTTTTGGGCGATATTTTTTGAAATTTCATTGTTAATAATTGACGACACCATTTTTTGTGGATTCCTTGTTTTTTTTACTATAGTGTTATATTTACATGCATTTTTATCAAAATTGATACATATAGTAATTTATTTGGTAGGGTATATTTTTAATAAATATTCTCTTTTAAATGGATTGGTCATATCTGATAGGATTGTAAATTAAGGTGTTGCACATTTATAATACAATATAAGTATATGGCTGTTATTTTCATGACAAGATTATTTAAAAAATATATATATACTGCTACTGGTTCTTACTAAAAACTGTTAAATATTTGAGTCTTTATCAGAAAAAAATTGTTTTATATAGTTTTATATTAGCAGTAAAAACAGTTTGCGAAGTCTGCAATGATTGTTACAAAAACTCTAAATATTTTAAAATATATAAATTTATATTTTTGTTAATTAATTTTAGATATATGTACCTTGTGGGTTCACGTTTGCGTGTTGTTTTTTAAAAAATATTAATTTGCTTTGTACTTTGTTTAATAAACTTAAAAAAAAAATAAAAATCACTTTTTTATTATAAAAAAACAAATCGATAATATCTATGATACAAATAAAATTACAATACAAAATATATAATTTACAAAGCCATCGGCATGCTTAATTTTGGATGTGGATTGTAACCAACGAGTTCAAAATCGTCGGCGGTAAAATCTTCGATATTATCCACTTTTCTTTTTATAACCAATTTAGGGAAGGGTCTTGGTTCCCGTTTGAGCTGCTCTCTTAGAACGTCTACGTGGTTTAAATATACATGACTGTCTCCCAATGTATGAACAAAATCGCCAGGCTTTAAAAAATATAGAAATGAGTCATAGGTATTTGATACAAGTTAAGTTTTTGTTTATGGATTGTTAATTTTTTTATTTTAATTGAAGTAAGAAAAGTACGAATTAATATGCCAAGTGGCCATGAAAAGATGAATGAACCATAATTAAACTAAGTCTTTATCAATTGTGAATGTTTGATTTTTCTTATAAATGCAATAATAAATATGATTGTGATTACAGCTATGTAAACAGAGTTCACTTTATATCCTGTACTATTATTAATGATATCACTAATTACATGCCTGATAGTTTTTTTTATCAATAAATGATACAAGGAAATATTACAAATAAGGTTTTAATTGACTTATCAAATTCAAATAAGTTTAAATAGTTTCAAATTAAATAGACAAAACATATTTTTGTGAATAATTTTTTAGATTATCTTAAAATATTTTAATTTGTTTGTAATTAGGTAATGTTTTGTTTTTTTTTATTATTTGGATACCAATAAAAAATAATTATCAATATCTCAGATAAGAGTTTGTTATGATTGATGGGATTTCCTAGAAATTTAATCAAGTAAACATTTCAATTTATTTAAGAACAAACCGGACCTATCATAAGAAACAAAAATGTGAGGATTTTCTAATATAAAATTGCATTTATATGCGCGCCACCGGAAATATTTCGCGATGTTATGTGTCTCGAGAATATTGAGTTTTAAATTAGTGCAAAGATAATGCTGCAGAGACAAGAAAAAAAGGTGGGAAACCCTCCCATTTAAAAACTACTAGATATTTATTAAAACAAAAAGCACCAAATTTTCATATATTTAATACAGAATGGGGCATACATTCTTTTTTTTTTTATTCCTTTTAAAAATTACCAAAATTAATACTTTTCGAAAGTTTACAAAAAAATAAAGGTTTGTCCACCCTAAGTTATGTTATTATTGGCATTTCCTGAAAATTTCACAAAAATCGGACTAAAAATAAAGGCCCAGAAGGAATTATAAATTTTCAAGGTGTTTGGTTTGCTCTTAATAATCTTATTCAAATCATTCATGGCATTATAAAATACTAACATTCTTAACCCTAGAACACTAATATGATTTTGATACACGTAAATAATACTAATGTATCTAAAATATTACAGCAAAGGGAAAATAAATTAATTACACGGTCCAGTTGTATTTATAAAAATATATGAAAATTAAGGTATATTCTAGGCATGTAAGCATAAAAAGAACCTTTCTGACTAATCTAAAGAACAAAATTGCTCTCGATGTATTCTGCAGAGGGCACTTGTTTACAGTGCTCCAGTAATTGGTCGCCAATTTTTGGGGATAATTTGGACAATAAAAACAAACTTTTTTCTTTCCAATGGTTAAAAATGTATGTTGTTTTCATGCATCATCAAAATGTTTGTTTTCTTGATGAATGGGGTGTAGTATATTTGAGAACAGTCAGCCTATGTCCCATCCAGGGATTGACAAGACTGAATTTTGATCTTACTAAACTCATGAACTGATGACAGGAAAGAGGTCTTCCATTTTTGTACTTTTTATAACAGTATTGACATAAACATTGCTACGTCTATGTTGACCATTCCAAAAAAGGCACACAGTGGCCAATTCATGATCTCTTCTATTTTTTTTCTTTTTTTTTTCTTTAGCAGTCTATTTGAGATGTTTTTTGCAATATTTTATATTTAGATAAAACGAAAACTAACGTAAAATAAGTTTCTTCAACCAAAAGTACAAGAAACTATATCACCTGTTAAATATGGACCAAAGTAAATACTAAAGCATCATAAAATTAACACATACTTGAAATAATGTATTTAATACAGTAATTATTACAAATTATTACAACTACAGCTACACAGTATAACTAATCGGGAAGGTATCATCAATTTTACAACTTATTAGTGTTCTAGGGGTAAATAATACTCAATTTTATGAAAAAATTAAACCATTGTGAGCATTTTTAAGTTTCTAACATTTCAAAAGGTAAATATTTTTACTCACCTTAAGGCCAGTTACATGTGCAATCATGTAAGTCAACAAGGCATAACTGGCAATATTAAACGGCACCCCCAGTCCCATATCGGCAGACCTTTGATACAATTGACAGGATAATTCATCACCAGCTACAAAAAATTGGACCAAGCAGTGGCAAGGGGGTAGAGCCATCTCTGGGATGTCTATAGGATTCCAGGCACACATTAGTATCCTTCTGTCTGTCGGTCTCGTCTTTATCGTATTTATAACATGTGCCAATTGATCTATTCCTTGATTTTTATAATCTGCATGCATTCCTTTATATTGAGCTCCAAAGTGCCTCCATTGGAACCCATAAATCGGGCCTAAATCGCCTTCTTCTCTTTCTTTCAGCCCAACCGAATCCAAAAATTCTCTAGTACTGTTAGCATCCCAAATGTGAACATTTTTATCTCTTAATTCAAACGCGTTTGTGCTTCCCCTGATGAACCACAGCAATTCTTCGAGAACCCCACGCCAAAATACTCTTTTCGTTGTCAATAGTGGAAAGGTATCGCGAAGGCTGTATCTCATTTGGGCCCCAAAAATTGAATAAGTGCCGACACAGGTGCGGTCGCATCTTTTGTTACCGTTCGATAATATATGGCGAATGTGATCTAAATATTGATATTCCTCGTGTTTTTTTACTGATAATTCATCCCCCCTATCGAACGACACACCATTTTCTGTGCCATTTAATTTTGCTTTGTCCACTGTGATTTCTATCGTTACTTTTTCGCCCGTTTTTGTAGCCACTTGTACCCTATAATTGTACGAAAATTTAATACAAGGATATTGAAATGTATTTTTGTACTTACCCAGACATTTCGACACGGGCAATTTTACATAAATTACCAAAACTATGTTTACTTTTTTCTAAAACTGAATTTATTAAGCCGGTATTGACAGCAAATGTCGCTTTTCCCGCCTTTACGTTAACGGTCACCAATGTCAACTTACGAAGCAATTTTGAATAATTATTCAAACTCATATTATTTAAACCTACACATAGAAGGCATGTCTGTTTTATCAACTAATTAAAAATAAAAGGCATTGGTTTATATAGTTATATTTATTTTAAAAATGATTAATCAATCCGATTTTTTAAAACTAGGGGTCAGTATCAGATTATCACAGTTTGACATACATATCTTCCATCACTAAATAACGCCATGCACAAACATATCCTTACACGTATTTCTGAAGATTATATATTTTTTTTTAATTTCATGACCTGTTTATTGTTTATGTTTTACGTGATATCCACAGTGGTGATATCGAATAATAAAAATGTGTTTTTGTTGAATATATAGAGGTAGAGGCCTTTATAAAACGAAGACAGTTATAACCTAAACATTCAATAGCCTTTTACTAGTCTGTTATAAAATATTATCTGATACCTTACTTGTATTAAGGCACACATAATGCAGAAAATTATAACCAAAATCAACTCATCTTTTTTTAATAGACTATAATTCAAGACTAAATAGTTCTAAAATTTTTCTTTTTTTTTAATGGTCTCTAACTTAGAGGATAATGTAATTCCTAATTCCCAACAAAAATACAAAAAAAAAATTTTGATTTTAAAAAATTATAACCTAGAAACCTAGCGAATCGACTGCGACAGCTACTTTTTCTGATATAATAATAATTGTTGGCATATTCGAGATTTGTTATCTTAAAATAAATATGATGAACTTATAGACAAGATGGGACGTAATATTTTAAAAAGTAGCTTAGAAAATGCTTCTTTTAGTATAATTTTTCAGGTATTCAATTGATTATTTTATACGCAATTCAAAAATATAAAATTGTTATTTTGTTTTTAGGTATTTTTTAGATGTATAACTTTTATTTTAAATGCCTACATCATCAGAACTGTGGGCCAAGAAGTGCTTGGTATTATGAATGTAAGATTGCTGCTTTTAGAGTCTACAATACTATTTTTATCCAAAGAACCTATATTAAAAGCTTGTTTAACTAATACAAATTCCAGAAATTGGGCGCAAGTAATAAACCAAATATGGTTATCGTAAGTCTTTTAAAATTAAATTAATACAAAAAAAAATTGGTGCTTATCTGCTTATTAAACAAATCTTTTTTTTAGTGTCCCTTTGTCCAGTGTTATTAACATTTTGTTGGTGTATGTGTGGCTATATGTCTTAACACCTACAGAAGACAAATATTTAATTCAGTATCAATTAGGTTGCTATGCTGTAGCATTATCTTGCCTGGTTGAACAACTAACTCAAGTTACTGTTCTTATAGCCCAAAATTTTTGTTTTATTAAGTTAAAAGTAAGTAATGTGTATTTTTATTAACTGTTTTGTAAAATTTACCAGCAGTTGTTATTTGTATAGCACACAAATTCATAAAAATATTTTTTAGGTGGTTATAGACACAATTTACATTGTCAGTCGCACAATAATATTTGTATATTATGTTGAATGTGATCCACAACGTCCAATAAATGCTTTTTCTATTGCACAATTAGTATCCTCAGTTATATTATGTTTGGCTTACTATTGTTTCTTCTTTTGGTATATAAGGGCTTTAAATAATGTTAAAGCAATTGAAAAGAAAAAACAAAATACTCAAAATGAGAAAAATGTTAAAACTATTTTTTCGGACATGAATGACTTCCCCATTACATCTTTTTGGCAATTATTTCCTGGTATTATGGACAATGAGGTATTTTTTTTGTGTTTTTTCAAGTTAAAATCTTTTTATATAAATATTTTATTTTAGGAGACTATGTTAGATCCAAAATTATGTTTATTAACAGTTAGTTTTATAAAACAGTCTGTAGTTAAACAAATTTTAACAGAAGGTGAGAGATATGTAATGACCATATCTCCAGTACTTACGTTTAGCCAACAATCTATATATGACATTGTTAATAATTTGGGAAGTCTTGCTGCAAGGTAAATGTACCTCAAACATTGTTTCAGATCCACTTTATGTTCAAATTGCATACATTTTAGGTTTATTTTTCGACCTATAGAAGAGTCTGCTTATTTTTATTTTACACAAATGGTTAAAAGGGATGAGCCATTAGCAAAACAAAATAAGGTATCTACTAAACATTTTTATTATTGTAAAGTAATACTAATATTTTAGAAACATATTGCTGAAACGGTGGAAGTATTGAGTCAGCTATGCAAAGTTGTAGTAACCATTGGTTTATTAGTGGTTACTTTTGGCCAAGCATACAGCTACTCATTTCTATTTTTGTATGGAGGATACAAACTTGTAGAAAGTAACTTGCCTGTTTTATTGTTGAGATTTCACAGCTTTGCTATAGTTTTACTAGCTATAAATGGAGTAACAGAAGGTTATGTCTTTGCTACAATGGATAATCAGCAATTAGACAGGTATTTGCTAGTAATTTTGTGACTTTAAAAATTAAATGACTATGCTTTCAGGTACAATTATTTGATGGTGATATTTTCTATATCATTTTTGCTTATTTCTTATATACTTACCTATATATTTGGACCTGTTGGGTTTATTTTAGCCAATTCTATAAATATGACTGCTAGAATTACTCATAGGTGAGAAATTTTATAAAAATGTTTTATTTTTTCTAGTATTGACTATATATTTGTTTTAGTCTAAGGTATATTACTAAACAGTATAGATTGACTGAATTTCAGCCATTAAATGGTTTATATCCAGGATATAAGTTCATAATAGCTTTAGTTGCATCTGGAATCTTTACAAAACTATCAGAAGTAAGTTTTAATTTAACAAATTGTCAATTTTTTCACTTATGAAACCTTTTTTAGATATTCCTAATGGAAAAATCGATTATTCTCCATATTGGAGTTGGAGGCGCATTTTTCCTTTTAACCATAAGCATTTGGGCCTCAGATAATCTCCAGTTACTTAAACTGAGCTATGACAAATATAAAAGAAAAAGTTCCATTAAAGAAGACTAGTCAAATAAAATCCATGTGATATGTAAATAGAAAATTTTAATAAAGAAATAGATATTGTTACTTACGATCTAGTTTTATTTGGTTTATATAAAGTATTCAAATATAGATATTGCAATTAAAATTTACAGGATTAGGTTTGTACATTTTTAAATATAGCACCAGTGACATTGCTTCCTTTTTGTATAGTACAAGAACGGGTATCACTTTCAAAATGTATAATTGGAGGCTTGCTGTTTGGTTCCAATTTAGCTGCCTCTTCTGCGATTGCACTTATTATACCTGCACTGTTACTGGAAACTTGACCTTTCACTAAAAAAAATAGCCTTAAAATTAAAGAAAAGAACATCAAAAAATACTTACTTCCAAGAGAGAGACCATTGTGATTTGCAAAAACGCACCCATATACGCCAGGCGTATTTAAACTGCAATGCAAGAAATTAATTAAGAAATGAATGTGTATTTTTGAAAAGTGAACTTACAGTTCTCCCATTAAATGTTCTAAATTTTTTTCCATTTTGATTTACTGCTACAGATAAAAAGTTGTTCAAAACGGTTTCATAAATGAAAATATGCTGGTAGACCTTTTTATCTTTCTTTTTGTATCGCGATGGTGTAATGTAAACAATGAAAGGAAAAATAATGGCATTTATGACATGACAAACTAACTTCATGTCGTTTCTTACTTATTGGCCTTATTCCTTCCGGCATCCAGCCACCGACACCAATGCTATATAGTTATATAGATTGTTCATCAATATGTGTATAGCAATGACGAAACTGAAGCGCGTTCAGATGATTTTTCACGGGAGTAGATTAATTTTCTTATGGTCAATTTCACCGTTGTGTTAAATGGAGATTAAAACGACTTTGTAAAGATCGTTTGCCCAGGTTACTTTAGAGTACTTCTCATTGACATAATTTTCCTGTCATTTTTAAAATACCCCCTCGCTTCAGTTATCTTGGGGGGCTATTTTCAAAGTATGGGAGCACTCATTTCTCTCATCAGAAATGTCATACGTCAATGTGGAAACGCTGTTTTTAAAGGCCTCGAGGATTAAAATTCTTAGGAGAATTTTAATTATCTCTAAATAAACCGAGAGAAACAGTCAGCGAGTTCACACTGGCCCTAAGAATACTGTCATACGTCAACGTAAAAGATTACTTTTAGGGCCAGTGTGAACTGTTTCTCTCGGTTTATTTAGAGATAATGGAGTTTTAGCAAACAGCCGCTAACGATACCTTAGGGATAGACTGTAACCTAGTGTTGTGAATATCCGTATCTTTTTAGTATTCGGATAATACGTATTCGGAACCAAGAGATATTCGGATTCATCATCCGGATACGTATCCATATGTGTGAAATCATAATACGCAACCGTAAATACAATACACCGCGACCTTGGGAATCGGAATCGGGCAGTGTTGTCAACCCTAGCAGAATTTATGTTTGAGAGTGAAGTAACAGGAGCTTTTAATGTTTTTTTAGAATAATAAACACAAGATAAATCTCAAATATTTTGTTTTTTATCATAATATCAGAAACAAAATTTCTCATTTATATTTATATAACTTCATGTTACCTTTAAAATATGCAGTGCATGCCGACTAACCGATTATGAATTGCAACAACGCTAGACGATTCCGAATTCTGATTTCGTATCCATAGTTCGTATCGGCTGCCACCCGCAAAACCCGAATCGGCTCTGTCATAACAGAACTTGCAGCATTCGATTCGTGTATTACGATTTTGTTTCTGTTCTTTTTGATACCGAATTCGTATTCGAATTTACACTATTGATTCCGGAATATCCGGATCCTTTTAATATTCGGATTCAACGGATTTTTGGATACGTATTCTTACATCACTACTGTAACCTATACTCCGTTCAATGTTTATGAAAAAGGTCACAATCTAAGTTTAACGTAACGTTAGGGGAAATCTTACGTACATTTGCTAAAACTCTCTAATTAAAATATTTCTACGAATTTTAATCCTCGAGGCCTTTAAAAATAGCGTTTCCACATTGACGTATGACATTTCTGATGAGAAATGAGTGCCCCAATACTTTGAAAATAGGTCCCCAGATACCAAAATTTTATCAACGAAGTGTTTGGAATGCTTTTTCGTTGTCTTATTTACATATTGGTGATCAATCTATATAACTATATATATATATATATATATCTGATCGAGACGTCAATTCTTCTTATCTCACAGTTCATTTTCTTTGTGATAAACAAATTGAAATAAACTGGCCTTGACCATATAGTTAAATAGGATGGGGTATACAGTAATTTTAAAAATTGAAAATTTATTTTAAAAATTACATTTATTAGGAAGATTTAAAAAAAACGTTAATATTTAATGGCAATTATACCAATACAATTTAAACGTTACAAAATTATCTTAAAATAATTTTTAATTTCATTAACATTAAAATTTGGTAAAACAATCCATATAATTACGAATTTAAAATATATTTAATAGTAAAAAATGTACAAATAGGAAGAAAGTAAATAAACATTTATTTAGAATATAAATGGGATATTATCAAGTACAAAGACTATATATTTTTACTCAAAAGTCAGAGCTTACGTTACTTAATTTTGAATTATGTATTATTATACTGTAATGAGCACACTATTTTTTTGGTATATTAACTCACTATTTACAAGAAAGTAAATAAAGTTCAATATAAGGTTGCAGAAGATATATTTTTATAACAAAATCTTAACAACCCCATTCAAAACCTATTTTTATGTGATTACCACACTAGTCGAACTTGTAACATATGACTTAACATTGTCAAATGTCGGAGCAAGTCGGACAATCCATTAATTTAGATCTTTCTAGGGGGGCTATTTTCAAACTCGAGAGAAAGGAGTGTTCTATGGAGAGAAGGAAATATCTGAATCCGTATTATGTACTTTAATTCATATTTTCAAACACCTTATTGAAAGAGTTGTTTATTGTTCCTTCTTGGTTAATTACATTGTTACATTCTCCTAATAATTTTAATTCTATCGAAACAACCTAAAGAAACAGTCAGTAAGTAGTCACTGACTTTCAAAATACTGTTTCCATGATGTTGTACGACATTTTGCATGAAATCTTGAGAGAACTAAGTACTCGCATAGTTTGAAAATAGGTCCCTGTTCACTGTAATATTTACAGTGGCAAGATGTATAACCTAATTTAAGCATTTCTTCAATTAAAATGTATGCATAAAAACACCATTTTAATAAAAAAAGGTATTCTAAGGTAAATATCATCACAGGAAAGCTCTTTAAATAAAAACACAATTTGACAGATGTCAATGGTACAAGTTATTACTGTAGAATGAAAAGATTAGTAGAAGACAAACGAAATAAATGTTTATAAATAAGATTATTTGATTTAAAATAGATTATACATTTTTCTTAACTAATAGCACTCAATTATCAGTAAATTTTAAAAATAAGTTTTTTTTTACAAAACATTGTAGCAATTGCCGTACAGTTAATTTATCTAGAAAAGGAGCTTATTTTTTTATATAGCTGAGCATCAAAACAATGTTTTGCAACAAATACAAAAAATAAAAATATATGTAGATATGAACAAGTCTGTACAAAAAAATTAATGCTAAGCCTATGTAAATATTTAAACACACCTTTGAAGAAATGATAAATATTTTTACAAAAAAAAAATGGATATTGTTTATTATCCAAATCTCCAGTATTTAACGTAACTGCTGTTTTAATACCTTTTTGTTGAAAATTTGTACTGTTTAAGTCTTAGGATTTAAGCTGGCAATTGAAGTTTCTTACCCTTGAGGACTGAAAAAATATTTTTAATATTATTTTAAAAATCCTTAGTAATCCATTAACAAAATTCTTACCTTTTGTGATATATAGATAGAAGAAATCACAATACAGGACAGTCTGCACTACCCCAGCAACAATAGCAATAAGATCATAGTAATTTTCAGTAGCATAGCGGTAGATCCAATTCAGTATGTAGAGACCTCTGTAGGAACCAAGTGCAAAGAGATAGTGGGATGTAATACTTTCAGCCTCGCCAGTTTTGCTCACCATAAACAATTGCGGGAGAATTGCCACAGATTCAAGATATATACTGAATGTCCATAAGACCTAAAACAATAAGGGTACATGCATAATAACACTTCTTCACCCAACATTTTTTCCATACCTCCATAAAGGAAAAGTCATGATTGATCAACATTGCTAAACCAAATGATGGCAAAATCAAGAACTCAATCCTGAATGTGTCGTGATTGTGATCATATGTGGCTTTGAATTTGAGGTAAATCATGTAAAGAGTAGCATAAGATGCAGCCAAGAAGACAAACTTCATAAAAGTGTTGTAGAGGGACACATAAGATGTCACTAAATCAAGATATCTGGTTGTGTAGACTAATGCAAAGAGGATCTGACTTTTTCCAGATATGCCTGTAATAAAATAATTAAATATAATGCTGTTATATCAAATTTGATAAATGAAATGAAGTTGTGTAAAAGAACACTAAAATTTTAATGAACAATGCATTTAAGTTATAGATATTGTTATTTTATTATACTTTCAAGTTTATCAATCATTTTACACTAATTTTACTTCTAATAAGCATTTTTGTTAAAATAAATATATAAAAATGCTGTATACTGCAAATGTATACTATATTTTAAAGAAGTTAATGATGATGTAAAATTATTAATAAATAATATTATTTACAAACAAATTACGATTCATAGTAAACATTTGTTTTAATATGAAAAATGTATAAAAAATATTGAATCTGAATTACACAACTTGATAATATATTTTTAATATAATTAAAAAATAATATTTAAAGCAAATACAATTCCATATTAACTGTATTGCATATCACTATGAAATAAAAATCAAGAGGCCATACTATAATAATTATCTAATATATTTTTAAAATTTGTCAGATTTAATTAAAAATAATTTATGCATATATAGCCTAGACTAGACTGCATGAATTTTAAAAACATGATAAGAATGATTTATATGTGTAATAACATTATCAAAATTTTATATTTCAAATGAAAAAATTTTTTTTAACAGATATTGTTGCACTTTTCCTTGTAACTTTTATTCAAGCATATCAAACCAAGAAGATTATTCAATCTTTTCTGTCATAAAAAACAAGATGCTTTAAAAACCACACACTGCATTGACGTGGAAGGTTATGTGCAACACATTAACAAAAGGTCGTTAAAAAATGAACTAAATGTAAACAAAATATATTTCAAAATATGAATTTGTGCTACAAAGACATCCAAAATCATTCAAATTCAGTTGAACTCTGTCTTAAAATTATCAAAATAAAATTACAAGGGAACAAGTTATGTGTACGTATATCACCGGTGTAAAAAGGGGTAAATGATAAATTAACTTACCAGCACATGATCTTGTATGCCAGATTTTTTGAAGAAGTATAATTATGGCTATTAAATGAGATAAATCTCCTGTTAATCTAAAAATATTCATTTTTAAGATTTTGGAGTGTTTAGAGCCCTAAACTTTTTTGAGTGACGTGGCTGTATTCTCCAATCTGACACTAGATGGCATTTGATTGGTTGTTTTTCTACTTTTATATATGGCCTTCTTCTTAAATAAATATAGGTAAATACAACTAACCAAATAGGTAATAACAAAGGGTCGTTTATAAAAAGTAGAAGTGGTCAATTCTACTATTGGCATTCAGCTCTTTTTTATTAACTAGCTGTATTAAAGACAAGAGGATAGTTACTGAAGAGAAGATATAAATTTCAAATAAAATCAATCAAAATACCGCGAAATATTTATAGGTTACAAACACAAACGTAATAAAAAAACAAAATGCCAGAAATGGAAAGAATAACTTTAAATTATAAGAATTTATCTCAAAAATATTCAGGTCAATTAGGAGACTACAATAGACAGTATTGCAGTATATACTTGGCTCGTTTAAAAAATATGGACAAATTTCTTCTAGATAGAATCAAAGATAAATGGGGCGATACGTATCCAATAATAAAGCTACATAAATTATCACAAGAGAAGTTGGAGACCTGTATCGTAATTGGAACATTATTTAAAGATCAGAAATTAAAGCCTTCAATTTTAAGAGAACTTTCTGAAGCTAATCAGCTCGTAGCAGAAGTGAATCCTATTTTAAACAACCTTACTGATGATTCAGATAAATTGTTTATCGAGGATGAAGCCCAAAGGTACGAAATTGAAGGTAATCTCTCGCTCAAGAATGTCGTAACAGGCATAACCATTGCTTTGTTGGGATCAGACATAGGAAAAGGTAAATTTGCAGCATCAGAATACTTATTTGCCGGATTTAGAGAACAAATAGACAGGCCCATATTTAAACAAGACACGTTTATAGTATTTCTAAGTGGTTTGAATTTCATTAATTATGAAAAGATTATTGGAAATCTAGAATTATTTACTTATTGGATAAGTGGAATGTGTGGAGATACTTCAAAGGTTGCAAGAGTTGTAATAGCTGGCAATAGTTTAAGAGTTGATGCTGTAAAAAGAAAACCAACAATATCTTTGATCAGTAGAGTAGCAGACTCTACAGACAGTATAGAATCCGTCAAATCATTTGATAATTTCTTATCTCAACTATGTTCTGTTGTTGATGTAGATCTAATGCCTGGTGAAAATGACCCATCCAATCAAATTTTACCACAAAAACCAATGCATCCATGTATGTTCCCAGAATCAGCTGTAAACAAATCTTTAAACCTAGTTTCAAATCCATATTCTTGTTCTTTGGATAACTTAAAGATTTTGGGATCATCTGGGACTCCAGTACAAAATATTATGTGGTATTCTGGTAATGATACCCCAGTAAAAGCTATGCAAAAATGTCTTGAATGGAGTCATTTAGCCCCGACTGCTCCTGATACTTTAGGATGCTACCCCTATTACGACGAAGATCCTTTTATTATTGATGAGTGTCCCCACGTACTTTTTGCTGGAAATCAGGACGAATTTGCTACAGAAGTGGTTACAGGTAATAATTTTCTGCTATTTGATGTATTTGTTAATTTATTGGCTGTTTTCAGGAGAAAAGGGACAAAAAGTGAGATTAATAAGTATACCAAAATTCTGCAACACATACCAAGCTGTCCTGTTAAATTTGAACACTCTAGATTGCACTACGATGGTTTTTGAACATCATTTTTAGATAATAATTTTTATAAAATTTCAATAAAACTATTTTTATACAAAAAAACTTAGTCTATTTTATTTGTAACATTTTTCTTAAAAACTATTTTTCAAGATTTCAATATTGAGTAAAGATTCCATTTCCCATGTTTCTGAATTTGAAGGGCCTCTTTCTATTTCTTGCACTAAAAATTAAAAATATTACATATATAATGTATACAGCCTTACAAGATTGCATACCATGTGGGTCTAATAAAGGTCATGGTCTGTGGAAAGGCCTTAGAATCTGTAGTCTCCAAATAAACATCAAAATATGATCTCAAACGAGCTATTTGGACAGTCAGAACTGAAGAAATCTTTTCACTTATTTCTACATTAAGAAGCCTCTCCATATCCTATAAATAAAATAAAACTTTTAATGATAATAATTTGGCGTATATGTACTTTTACATAATTTGTATTTTATAGCATGATTGAAAAAATGGTTAATTTCTTACCCTCACTTCATCATTGTTTTCAGCAAAGTGAACTCCATTAAACTTCATACATAAAGAAAATAGTGGCAAACTTTGCGGATAGTTATTTTTAATAACGATCAGAGCTTCAAGAGAGGCTAAAAAGAAAGCAAAACCCATTTTAGTTTATTAAAAATACTCCCATCCATTCTTTTACCGTTTGCTCTGGTGAGAAGTAGTGAATAAAAGAGGTCATTAGGGCACACCAAGTCTTCTTCGACAAAAGCCCTTGTAAACTCTTTTTGACAATATTTCTGGTAAGTTATACAGCTCCATTTGGTCATAGAACACGCCGAAGTTGGGGGACATTCTGCTGATTTTGGTAATTTGGGTAGTATATTTTGTTCTAAAATAAACGACGGTAAATTCTAATAATTAGATGTAAAAAAAGCAAATTACCAAGCAGCTGTAGCTGGTTGGCCAAATCTGTTCTTGATTCCAATCTCTTGAACAAAATCTTCATAACATTTTCAACGTTTGTACTTCCCACTTCATCACAATTCATCTAAAAACAAATAAACTATTCTTGACAGCTGACATTGATACATAATTGCTGCGTTTGAAAAGTACCTCGTTTTGCTATTTTTACTCTATACCGCCTTTTTGCTGTCAAACAATAGGCGCCAGTGGGAAGTTCTTATATACCTAAGGGGGTAGCGACATAATCTTGTACCTTGGACGCTATTTTTATTCGAAATAGTAGTCGCCAAGCCTGCCAATTTATGAAGAAATGTATAGGCGGGTTTTTTAAATATTATTTTTATTGTGTTTGACAAACCTTCTCACTGGCAATTCATTTGTTTGGAATGCCTATTTGTTTGCTCGATGTCACTTGACCAAAAAATCTACTCACTCTGCTCGATGAGGTAAATTTCAAACGTAGCAAATGACAACTGACCCACAAACGATGGATGTCAAATAAATTATGTGTGCCATTTTATTAAAGAAAATCTACCTGTTTGCTTAAAAAGTCCATTCCGCAGATTTTCTGAGCCCAGTGATAGGCGTAGCCGATATGTGGTATTAAAGATTGGAAACTGGTTACGCCGACTTTCTTTATTTGATATTTAGTGATCGGATTGGGGCTTTCGAATCCTGTATCGCCATCTATTAGCTCGCATAGAATGTTATCACCCATCAATACGTCTTTGGCACAGTTTCCTGTCATTTTCGTAGGTAGAGTGGCATTCGACGTGACTGTAATGATTTTGAGTCTCGTCTGGTAGGAAAAAATTATCGTTAGTGAAGGACCGTCGGGCAATGAGGCTGTAATTTCAACTTTTAACGGATGAATTTCTAACAATTTATTTTTTTTCTCTTCCATCGGATCCACTTGTTGTATCGACTTCCTATGGCGACGTTTCTTTACTTCTACGACCTCCTAAATCATAATGAAATAATGTTATTTATCATTGATATAGTTTAATAAAAATTCAAATACCTCAACTTCCGCGACCTCTTGGTCTTGTTCATCTGATTCGTCGTCTTTCAAGAAATGTCCTTCTTGGGCAGACTCTTTCCATTGGACAGCATCATCTTGATCTCCAATTATTTCTACTTCAAGATTTAGGTCTAAAATAAACCATTTTAATAATTATGTCACTATTTAGAGATGCTATTATCTACGAAACATGTGACCATGTTGTGAGAAAAGGGTGAAACTAATCATATACTTACCATTCACGTTTTTATATGAAACGACATTGACGTAAAAAATATATAGTGGATCTGGTAAAAGATAAGCCAATTTGTGCTCGACTCTCATTTCTTTTAGAGATATGTCCAAGTGCTCTTGTAGAGGCTTTGTAGAGTTGATAATATTCATGAGAAGGGGGCGAAGCGCGTTTAACTTATCTTTTCTTTCAACAAGATCTGAAAAAGAAATACATTTAACAAGAAAATTGACATCTTTTGTTGATTAAACTTACCTTGTCCTAATTTTTTCTGTTCTTCAACTAGAGATTTACATAAATGAGCTAAGTTTTTACGCTGTGTTAGTTCCCATTCCAATCTGGCAAGACGTAAACTGTGTTTTTGCACCCTATCATTTGCATCATACTAAAAAATGTAAATTATCAAAAATGGTTCACTTTCATAGGACTTGTATTTATCACGTATTTTTAAAGCTATTAAACTTGACTTGTAACTTAACATTAATTTTGTTTGCCAAATATTTTCTCTGGCAAACATGACAAAGTTGAATTTGGGAACAACTGAATTCCTTTCATTATACAAATAAAATTGTTCCATCCTAACGAAACTCAACAAAAATGTTTAAAATACAAGACATACTTAAAATAATTTAGAGGTTAATCACAGAAGGTACTTAAATTTTAGTTACCTTATTTGTATTTTTTTATAGAGACTTTACTAAGATACTTAATAGTGTATAAATTTGATTCACCTCGACATCACAGCTCAGTCATTGTTAGCCAAAAATAAGTTTTCTACAAGTTTTGTCATGTAATAAAACAGACACGATAGAAAATACTAATATTTAATTTAGATCACCAATGATCACTTGTGAATTAGTTCGTTAGTTGTTAGGTTTTCCTTCAGGAGCGTTGGCGGAAAATGGATAAAGGTAACGCCCGGAAAAATATTTTTTGTCTATAAATGATTAGTTAAATGCGATTTAAAATTAATAGGAAGTTACCCAGCTGTGACGCCTCTGCAAAACGGCATCATTTTTCGGAAGCGGAATATAACTTAATAAAAAAACCGTACACGATGGTATTCGCGAACAGTTTATTGTGCATTAAAAAAGTCTAAGGTGCAAAACTTTATTTAAAATTTGACATCCTGTACTTTTTTAATTTTCAGTATTTCATTAAACAAAGTTGAACCAGATCGTAATATTTCGAAGTCAACACTGCCATTACGCTAGGCGCCATTAATTATGGACCACCCTGTATTTTGATAATGGGGTCTTATAAGTCGAACCAATCGATGCCTTTTTTCAACCCATACTTTTTCGTCTTTTCTCTACGATCGATTTTTTATAGTTCAAAACAGCGTTGCCAAACCTACCGATTTTTCGGTACATCTACCGATTTAGAAAGTATTCTAACGATATATCAATCTCATCTACCGAATTTTAGGGACCTTTTATTTCTCTCACAAATACTTCTTTAAAATATATACAGTATGTTAAGATTCCACAAAAACGGTATAGACTAAGCGATGCTATTGATTAGACAGATGTAGAACTGTACGCACTAGCCCACTGGTGGTAGAGGTGTATCCATCTATCCTTACGTGCAAATATAATTACATGGGTTAACATATTGTATGAAGTATAATATATTAGATTTATTCACCTTACTACTAAACAATATTTAGGTAATATTTGTTACACTTTTCGCATAGACAAAAAAATATCTCATCTGAACAAGCAAAATTTGTGAGGTTCATCAGTAGATGAACTATACAAATTTTGCTTTTAGATAAGGTATTTCACTTGCTTTCAGGTACCTAATACATATATTTTTTGTGTAATTACATTTTTGCTAGTTTGTATTTATGAGAGCAATAAAGTCATTTATTGTTTTATTTTTTTTATTCCTATTTTAATTCACATCTATCTTTTAATTAGAATTAGCATGTATCTGACTTTTTTTTTGTATTATTTTAAGATTAGTTCTTTTTACTCTCCTGTCTGTATACAGAAGGAAAGTATAGGAATCATGATTTTTTTAACCTTTAGTTATCGACGGATTTTCACGTTTTGGCATCCACTGGTTCCTTTTTGATTATTTTCGTGTGTTAAAAACTCATGAACGGATATACATATATAAAGGGTCGTATTTTATCGAATAATATGTTATTTATGCTTAGAGAAGAAAATTCTTCAAATAAAACTATTCTCTATAATTTTTGTCATATACATAATTTTCCTAAAATTTAATAAAAAATTCAAAATTCGATTTAAAAAAAAATTGTTCAAATAAAAGTTGCTTGTGATGTCATTCTCTATAATTCTTGCCCCATACATGATTTCCATAAAATGGGCCGTATTCGAGATATTTGAGAAAAAGTGCAATTTCGAATTTTGAAGATAACTCAAAAACAGATACAGAAAAACACCAAATATTAAACTTAAGTTTTAATCCATCCTGCAAGCTAATTAAATTTTGGAAATAGTAGAAGCATCTAGAGGTACTTTATGGAGTGTCGTTTTTTTACTTTAAGGAATATCTGTTATTTACGATTGGACTCTGTGTCATGTAGAAAACGACTATCGCATAGATGCTACCCAAATCATACTCTGTGTGTCATGTCAACATCCCTTTTTATCGCTTGTTTCAAATTTCCTGCCAAAGCAATCAATTCCAAGAGACATCTTTTAATGTGTGGTATTAAAGAGGAGTATGAAAATCCCTTTGCATTTGAGTCATTGGAAAGAGAAATGTAACAAAAATGTACTTATTAAATCAAATCTTTAAATATCAACTGAACGAATTTAAAACATATTAAGCATACAATTCTAATACAGAATGAGAAAATAAATTTTTACAATAATAAAATCTTAACATCAGACAATAAAACGAAAACTGCTTGGAATATCGTAAACTCTGAATTGGGCAAAGCTAAAACAAAAAATAATTTTTCTGAAGGTATCAGTATTGAGGGCCAGATAGTCTCTTCACCAACTACAGTTGCTAATTATTTTGATGATTTCTTTGTCCCAGCAGCTACAAATTTATTAAGAGGTGTGTCCAGTAATGCTAATTTAAATTATGTTGATGACCATCCAAGATCGGATGTAACGCCAGAAGAACTAAAGAATATAATAATAATAATAATACTCTCCCTAATTCACCCCCTTACGAGTGAATTTCAACCCCTGAAGTCGACTGAACGACTTGTGTAGGGAAGGGACGGCTATTATTATTATTTGCCGTGGCGCTCCGGGGCGACTTAAAGATGATTGATGGTGCCATTTGACTTACAGGTGAGGAAAACCCGGAAAACCTCACCCACCATCATCGAGACGGTAATGTATGGCGAATTTTTTTAATCTGCATAATCAATTACTTGAAAAATAAACACTCAACAGGTGATGATAACATCAGTAATGTGATGTTAAAATACATCGGCATCCATATAATACATCCGCTATGCTATATCCTCAATGAGTCCTTTAAATCTGGTATTTTTCCAATGCGATTAAAGACTGCTGTTGTAATACCTATTCACAAAAAAGGAGATCCTTCCCTAGTAGAAAATGATAGACCAATTAGTCTTTTGTCTTGTTTTTCTAAAGTTTTTGAAATTGCTATGTGTAACAGACTATTGCCATTTTTAGAAATAAATAATATTATCACAAGTACGCAGCATGGGTTTCAAAGTGGTAAGTCAACTACAACAGCAGTCTTCAATTTTGTTGAGAGAATTTTACACTTTTTAGATTCGGGAAATATTGTTCACGGAATATTCTTAGATTTAACAAAGGCTTTTGATTGTGTGAATCACCATATACTTCTTAATACATTATACAAAATGGGGGTGCAAGGTAATGCATATGCATCTTATGTTGCAAATAGGACATAACGGGTTTGTTTTAAATATGAAAATAGCGAATATTACTCTGAATCAAAAAATACTATGCTGGGTGTTCCACAGGGAAGTGTCTTAGGTCCTATTCTATTTGTATTATATCGTAAACGATTTACCAAAAATTTTTACAAATGATTCTGTAGCTCTCACTAATTATGCCGATGACACAAATGTCTTACTATCTAGAAACCATTACAAAGTACTTGAAAAAGATACCTCAAATGCTGTAGTGAGAATTTTAAAATGGTTTGGTGAAAACTCGCTATTATTAAATTTATCTAAAACTAATTGCATACTTTTTAAGCACAGTCGTAGTAAAAATGAATATCCAGAGGATTTTAACTTATGTAATACATTACTAGAATATTCTAAATCGACAAAATTTCTCAGTGTAATAATTGATGAGCATCTAACTTGGGTGAAGCATCTACATTCACTTTGTGGAAAGCTCAATAGAGCTTGCTTTGCATTGAAACAAGTTAAAACAGTTGTAGATCATTCTTATCTTATATCAGTGTATTATGGTCTATTATATTCCTCAATGTGCTATGGAATTATTTTTTGAAGTCAAGAAGTCTTTGTAATACAAAAAAAGAGCAATTCGAATATTGGCTAATCTAAAGCTTACAGAATCATGTAGAAGTTACTTTAAAAATCTAAATTTGTTGACAGTATATGCTAGTTACGCATATGTATTATGTTTGTGTATAAAAATAAAAGTATATTCAACGAATATATAGCACACCACTTTCACAACACAAGGTTCAGAAATAATTTTTGTCTACCGACGCACAGAACTACCCTACTGAAAAAGGGATGCTGTTACAAATGTTTGCAATTTTATAATAGGCTTCCTAATCTCTTAAAAAATAATAAGAGCCTATCAACTTTTAAAAATAAGGTCAAACAAATTTTGATTTCTATTGAGCCTTACAGCTTAGATGATGTAAAAGAAGTGATTGTAATTATTATTTGTAAATACTTTGTGAAATCAACAGAAATCTATACTAGTTTTCAATGGTAATATGGGTTTTGCTGGGTTTCCACATATTTTTTAGCAAATGCACCATTATATTAATTTTTAAGTCGCCCCACTGTGCACTTTGTAGGTCATCAAACTAGTACAGATAGATTATCTTGGCTTCTGACTTATACTATACAATTTTAAATGTATTTTTTCTGTATAATACCATTTTTTTCACGATGATATCCAAATCTCAGGCCACACTGACACAGATTACCACAATCTCATAATGTTGAAATGAAAGTCGCATTGGTACAGTTGAGCTGCAGCACTGTTAATTAGAACCCAACAGTGAATGCACAAATGGGTACCCTGCCAATGGATTAGAATTAATATTCAATTCATTAAATTAAATAAAAATGTCACCGGCTGCATTCAAACCACTGAGCCACCCACCCTCCTTAAGATTAGTCAATAACCAAATACAAAAAAGTATTGCTTTCATAATTAAAACTGAAAATGCTAGTACATAATGTTTTCAAAAATTGATTATTTTCCATCCTTACATCTGAAAAATGTGCCCTTTTTAGCCATTTAAGGGCAAAGGGAATTCCTTACTTCTAGCTAAGAATCTTATGGCAAAATTACTACAAAACGAAAGAGTTTAATATCTCTATAAATACAAAGCGATCCACAAAAAATGTTTATAAAATATGCCTCGAAAAACTTTACAGATGTCGGAGCATACAATTCAAAGACATTACAACTAAGAGACCAAATTATTTACATTTTTATGTGGCAAATCATTATTCTCACTAGATTCTCGTTTATTGCGTCTTTGCCGGTTTTATCAGTCTGTAAAAATTATTTGGAGAAATTACTTTCGAAAAATTAAATTTGATGTATCCTATAACTATAATTTTATATTATACAAATAAAAATGTTTTTAATCAAATTATTCTTTAAAGTTTTAATATAAGCTAAATTTTTTATTAAAAATCAATATTAACCTAAACAAAATATTAGGGTTGCAAAGAACTCCGTAAATACGGCAACGCTGAATATCTTATTTTACGAATTTACAACTAGTACCTATTTTTATGAATGAAACGTAGTACCGTAACCAGCCGCAACATTGCCAATCGGGTCTAACAGCTATTTTGTGTTTCTGACAGTTTCTATCTGACTTATTGAGTTATTCATTTATAAAATACTATTTTTGTGAACTTTATGAGAAATATAAAGAATTATGGTACATGCATGTGTAGTGTTCAATCATTGCGTTCAGTCTGCCACGTTCCTTTAACTCCTTTAACACTTTTAACTCCAAACGACCCTTTTAGCGTTCAGTTTAGTCCGATTAGTGACAGTTTAACACGCTTAAATGTCATTTAAAAGCACCCTAAAATTTGTCCCGCTCCAGCCCCTGACTATCCGAACTCGCCTCATAAGGTACATCATTTAAATCAAAATTTATCCTTTCATCGGAAAGAATTTTTAGGTTAAGATATGTTGTTTTCATTTGAACCAGTGGAGTAGGGCACCCGTCTTAAGACTGTTTTGACTATACAATTTCTTGTACAAGATTTGATACAATTTCTTATAGAATTTAAATTGTATAGGATCACATAGTAAATTGTTAGAAAAATAATTATCCAATCTAATTTTTTAGACAATTCACTGCAGGTTTGATAATATACAATTTAAATTGTACAAGAAATTGTATCAATAACTTGTGTAGTTTAAAACAGTTTTTCAAGTGATATTCCTTTCATAAATTTGTAAATTATTCTTATAACAATAAATAATGATTGAATAGTGGCAAAGAAAATTTAATGTAAAATGTAGAATACCCTAAAAATGATTTACCTATTAGGCACCTATACATATTTTCTAATATTCTATTTAGGTTTCCGCAAGACCCTGAGAAAAGAAAACTTTGGTTTTTCATAGTAAGGATCCTTGAAAATGAGCCCCTTCGTAAAAACCCAGAGTTGTGTTCAGAATACTTTTTTCCTGAAGATGTTTTGGTAGATGCAAATGGTGCTAAATATATCAGTAAAGATGCAAACCCCAGATGGTGTGATGGCTTTCTGTTTTTGGTAAAATACAAAATATTAATTTTTTTGTTTACCTCTAAACATTATTTATTACCTATATGTATGTATATCTAATGTATGGGTTTTTAGTTCTGATTCAACTGTTTTTGGAACACCACCTGCTGCAAAAAAACATTGCAGTAAGTAATAACACTAATAACTAAGCATAAAATTAAATGAAAGTTTAGTTAATAAAATTAAGGTATTTAATATATTTAAAAGGTTATTTTAAAAATTTTTACAGTTTTTTATGATATTTTTTGCCATATCATGTTTTTTGTAATTATTATAATTAAAAAATTATATTTTTAGGAGTGTTTTATTTAGATACCCCTACCTACTTAATGTTAATTTAAAATAATTTTAGTTAACATACCAGGCAAATATATAGTAAATGCCAATAAACTATAAACCAATAAATATTCAAAATCTCAAGGTAACTTGAATTTTATTTTATTACCTACTTATTTACATAATTTTTTTTTTTCATACTACTCTGACAATACTGGTAAGTTTAAAACTCTACGCCACTGGCGAGCATATTATAGACACTGTTTACAACGTTGCCAGCCGGTCCCAAGAGATCTGTCTTTCTTTCTTCCACTCACTAACAATTTTAAAACAATAACAGTCTGCAATTGTATGGGATTTATGAATGAAACATTTTGTCTCTATGTTGTAATGTCTTTGATACAATTCTTTTTAAGTGTCAGTTTGGATTTAATTCAGAGCAGTGCCTAGTTATCAGGGAAATGACTTTGTCAGTCATGGCATATAAGTAAAAAAATAAGTGAAGAGGGCTCCTTCTACCTTTAAACAAATCTATATTACTTACGTCCAAAAATTTTTTGGTTAAAGATTCAGGGGCTTCTTTCATAAATTCTTCAAATGGTACCAGCTCTATATCTTCATCTTTTGATCTAATAATTGAAAAAAATCAATTAAATATCTATATAAATTAATCTAAACCGTTACTAACTTGAATGCTAGGCATTTGCTGGTCTCTGTAACCAAATGATGTAATTCATAAACTAAATTTTGGTAGTTCAACTTAATACTATCGCATTTCTGTTTCTCTGTGGCTAGAGTTTCTTTACCAAATACATGTCTAATCTTATCAGTTCTGTTTAGCTTTTTTATGAAGCACATTTTGATAAAAATTTCTGTTTGAATGTCTCTAAGCTTCTTTGAGGACGGCTAAAATCATTATAATTAGTTTCAATACAAATTTTTTGACTACCAACTACTTACATCAGTTTGCTTTAATTCAAACACTTCTGTTAAGAGATTTCTGATGTCTTGGCATAATTCGAAATATAAGTTTGCATCTATTGAACCCTGTCTGTTAGTAGATTCCTTATCCTCGAATTCTATAACTTTCTGAAAATAGATGGCATTTAAAACGGATTTTTGTATTTAAACAACATTTTACCTTATATATGTCGATCTCCGAATCTGCCTCTGCATTTGTAGCTTTGCGTTTTTTCTTAATACTCGAAGAGCTCGCGTCTTTTACCATTTTCCTTTAATTTTATTTGATCGCAAGAAAAATAATGGGAATATTGAGAATGCAATCACAAATTTGTTATTAACATTAACCTACAAAAAATCTTCTACTTTTTGGTCTTTTACTTAAGTATCTTAAAAGATAACTTATTGATCCTTTACTTTACTCTTAGCCAGCCAATAATGATGGCCTTGATCTAACAGCACTAATATAAAATTAGATAAAAACTCGCATTTCTAAATAAAAATTTTATTCAAATAAAAATTAACAAAAAAATATTTCGCGAGACAAACTAATCTAAAAAGGTACCCTTAATCAGCTATCAGAATTTTGCAGTTTTAGGAGCTAGCCTTTTGTAGTCTTTCAGAAACATCTTTCCAGTTTATAATATCAAAAATTGCATTTACATAGTCAGCCCTGACGTTTTTGTATTGCAAATAATAAGCGTGTTCCCAAACGTCAATACCCAGGAGAGGAATTAGCCCTGTGGTGGCCTGCAATGGGTCCTGGTTACCACATGTGACAATTTTTAGTTTTTCTGAAAACAATGAATATTTAAGAAACAATGCAATCTATTTATTTAAATGTTTGAACATTTCTAATTTATTTATCGAATTTGTTATAAAGTCTCAGCGGAATTCAAACCTTTTTTTATTTGAGATTGAGTTTTAGACATTAAAGAAAATTTAAATATGGGTTGAATTGTTTTTCTAATTCTATATGGAGATGTGAATAAATCTAAATCTTGTAAAATAAGAGTTGTAAAATTGAAGTTAAATAAGGAAAACAACGCTGTATATCGTTTTCATATGCTGCTAAATTTACAAATTATGATGCATTAATTAGTAACTTCTGCTGCTTAAGACTAAAAATAATTAATTGGCAATGTACACATTTTAACGGTTTGGAAAAATGCCAATTTTTTATGAAAAAACTAGATATTTGGTATATAATGCACATATTATACAACAGTTACTCAAATTATGCCTTCCATACAGTTTAAATTAAATTTAATTGATGTGTAACAATATTTTATATTATTTCTTTTAATTTTATTGCAATTTGCCTAAAACTGCATCAAAAGAAATTTATAATTCTATGGAATATTATACTTAGCAATCCAATTCTTACTTGAAGTGGGACAGAAGCCCAACCATCCCCATCCGGAGCCCTGAATTGCTGTAGTTTGAGCAGATAGTAGTTTTTTCATATTATCATAACTACCAAAAGACTCATCAATAGCAGCACATAGTTGTGCACTGGGGTCACTCTTGTTTGGGCTCAAATTTTGCCAAAATATCGAATGATTCAAATGACCACCACCATTAAACCTTAATGCTGGTGCCAAAGAGATTACAGTGCTAAAATTATAAAAAAATAATATAAAGCAAAATTTAAGGTTAAGTAGGTACGTTTTTATAATTTGAACATTATTCATTATTTTATAAGTAATTTTAACTTATTAGATAACAACAAATTAAAAAAATAAGGCCAGGGTCTTAGGTCAAGCTATGAATTTAGATATTACAATATTACCTGATGTCACCCTTTTCAACAGCAGATGCTAGTTTTTCTTCAGCAACGTTTAAATTAGTAATGTACGTATTGTGATGCTTAGTATGATGGATATTCATAATATCCCTTGAAATAATTGGTTCCAAAGCAGCATAGTCATAAGGTAGTGCCGGAAGAACATGCTTAGTACTGGCTTGACTAAAAGTAATAAACGTTTATAGCTTTCATCTTAACATTATATTTAAATTATTGCTTACCGGAGTGCAACTTTTGATAGTTCCCGTATAGTATTCATATTCATTTTTACTTAAAATAAATAAAGGGACCTCAAGATTTCACACCGATTACAAATTTAACATTGACAGCTGAGCTGATACAGAATATCAGGTGACATTTCAAGGTCAATAAAAATGGTCTTTGACTTTTGTGGACATTTGCCCCCCCTTATGATTCTTCTTTTTTTTTACGTTATCGTGGACTATAAGGGAATATAGTTCAAATAAAGGGTAGGGAGTGAAAATAAATGAATATATTTTTAATTTCTTTAGAATTTATTTGATTTTTCGAAAAAATACTGAAATTTAGATTGTCCAGGATATATAACTACACAAAAACATTCTACAATTCTTAAAATATACATTCTGTACGATAAATAAATATATTAAATACATATTTTATAAAATATAATAAGTATATATATTTAATGATCTAATATATTCTAATAATTTGGTGTTTACGCCTACTTTAACTAATAAAGCAGCTTTATAATGCCATAATTTAAAAATATTAGGCATTTTCTTATTCTTAATCACCGACATTGATAAAAATAACATTCACAAATATACCTACATATATTACTAACATTACGGTTAAAAAACTAATAAATAATTGATTAAACTAGTAACTATTCAGTCAGGTACTTAAGTCAAATAAAAAAAATATTATAATGCCTTGAAACTGACGATATTTTCTTATTTGGTACAATGAAAAATTGTATATCTTGATCAGTACAAAAGATGTGTAGAAATAAAAATATATAAATAAATTAAACAATTTTACACATTTTTAAACACTATATGATATGTTGAAATAACATTTCTTTCACTACCTAAATAAACATTTTGCTTTTTTCATAAAATAACAAGTAACAAAAATAAAAAAATGTATTATTGTCAATAAATTAATTAAAATATTTGTTTATATTAGGATATGCGTCTAGTCTACATGAGTTGTATGCATTTAATGTTTATGCTTGTTCTTGGCACTTTTTTCAAAAATCTGAGTATTTAGTTTGAAAATAAGTTGCTTTCTAACATTTTTTTTAAACATCAAATAGATAGTGACGCAATTCTATCTTATGACGTCACAAACCTCAAAACTTCTTCTTCCTCCAAGAGAGCCTGTGAGTAACATTAACAACAGCCACCTTTTAGTTTGACTGCATACAACAGGAAAAAAATTATTTTATCCAAAAAACTTTTAGCTATAAAAAAAAGGGATAAAAAGCCATTACAAAGGTGCTCCAGCCAGAGCTGAAATATCACAATAATTAACCGCATTCATATTAGAAGTATAAAAACAATAATCAGATTTCAAATTCTTCAAACTTCTAATTCCCCTTTTCGAACATTCGAGCGTCAACTTTCCAAGTTTAATGATTCTTGTCGTCGAAAGGGGTCTTCACGAAATATGTCGTCAATGTACCCTTCCCCTTGACGTAAGTCGGTCCTCTGCATTCGCATTGGTAACCGGCGTTCGTGAGCACATTGGCAGTAACATCCGTCGTCTGTATCTTGCCGAGAATTCCGCAGGAGTCCATTCTGGAGGCGACGTTCACGGTATTGCCCCAAATGTCGTATTGCGGCTTTTGAGCACCTACCACGCCTGCTATCACCGGGCCGTGGTTTAAACCTGAGAAAAAGTACAAAATGAAATATTAGACAAATATCAAAAACGAAAATTTGATGGTACAACCGTACTCTTCGTGATCAAAGGTGGCAACGTTCTCATATAACTGAGAAGAAAAATGAGAAGTAAGAATGGAGTATAAATAACAAATGACAAATGACAAATGACAAATGACAAATGACAAATGACAAATGACAAATGACAAATGACAAATGACAAATGACAAATGACAAATGACAAATGACAAATGACAAATGACAAATGACATGACAAATGATGATAAACGATAGACGATAAACGAGAAAAAAAAAAATAAGAAATAAGAAACGAGAAGCGAGAAACGAGAGACAAGAAATAAAAACGAGAACGGTGAACACTCATGGACGAACCGTATTGTGTTTAAACTTCGCTCGCTACTTAAAAAAAATAAACTCAATTTTTGTATAAATTTGCAATACGTACAGAAGATAAAAAACGACTTACCAACTCTTAATTTGAATCTTTGGAATGCATCTCTGTTAATTTGTTCTAAGCTTGTCATTAATAAAACTGCAAAATCCACTAACGCAGTAATGATATGTTCTTCTTTTCTGCTGGCCTCCTAAAAATAAAAAAATAAATATACTGTGCGGTTCATATGTATGTAACATAAATTAATTTTTAGTGTTATTTGTACTTTTATTACCCCCTCTTGCCCCATCTCTGAAATATGAGCACATGGTCGAATGGCACCTTGTCTGAAAGGTATTTTAATTCTTTCTTCAGAAATGTAAATTTTTTGCAATCATAACTGAGTAAATTAATTTTGAATGTACGCTACAATTAATTCGTTACTTCATTCTATGCCAAGTTTTGTAATGAAGAAATCAAAATGTTACATTTTTAAAATTAATTTTCTCAGTTATGATTGCAACAACTTTAAAAAATTTATATTGCTAAAGAGATACTTAAAATCCCTTTCAAACAAGGTGCCACATAACCCCCATTCTTATTTAAAGTTTTCGAGGGGGTGCTCGCAACTCAGAGAGGATAGAAGAGGGGGAATATTTGCATACTATAAATTGTCAAATTAAGAATAGTAATCGGTCTGTTTCAGGTTTTTCTCAAAATTACATAATAGCGCTAAAAACAAATTTATTCTATATATATGGACTGCGTCCTGTATTATTTTTTCGATTATTAATCGATTAATTAATCGAGAAGAAAAAATTAAATTAAAAATTACCTTCAAAAAATCCATCTTAAGCAAAAATAATAATAAGTATATCAAGTTAATTCTTATAAAACAGAAAAAAATTATAATTTTTTTGGTAATTTTTCTTGGCTTACTTTATTATCTTCTTCTTTTCCAGGCCTTAAACCGGACGCCAACATATATGTGCTACCAATGGTTTTAATTTTTTCTATGCAGCTGAATTTTGGTTTCAGTAATAACTAGAAATAAAAAAGAATAGGGCTGTATTAATCATACAATTAAAAGGGAATCATAAATAAGAACATCATATAAGACAGTAGTACCATCTTTTGTCCCTCTATTAACACAGTACCTCTCACTCAAGCATTGCAGCTAAGTAATTTTTATACAGTTAAAAGATCTAACTGTCTTCATTTTTTTTACATCTTATTAATAAGTATCATTAAAACAAATCTTTTTGAATTGAATAGAAAATTAAAGTTGTACATTTCAAATACTGTCACAAGAATAATCAATGAGCAAAGTCCCATGGTCCATTTTACAGTAAATAAAATGTTTGTTATATGTTTTTAAACCGGCATGTTTCTCTGTTGATTTTGTTTGCAGATAAGAAAAATAATAATCCTTCAAATATAAATAGGATTCATCTTTGATCTACAATGCAGAGTGAAATCAGTTTTATGTAGAACATAGTTCCCTAAGAGCCGATTCCACCGTTGTGTTAAACGAAGAGTAAAATGATATTTTATATATATGCCAAGGTCATTTTAATATTCGTTTTGTAATTGGACGTAGTTATGCAGAAATGATCCAATCCACACATCTACCAGAAATGACTTGAGTAGCATTTCAATATGTTACAATCCAAAATTATATTCTGCTGAAACGATCCAACAATTTAGAAGGATATTAATAGTAAAAATTATAAAAACTCGCTATATATTCTATTGTTATCGCATAAAGACTTTAACTTTAACATCATTTTTCTCAAAATATGGTTTGGGTGGATTGGATCATTTCTGCATAACTACGTCCAATTTAAACTTCGTTTAACACAACGGTGGAATCGACCCTAATATAACTTTTCTAACTACTTCCGCCAATATAAATAATTAATTTAAAGTCAAAAATATAATAAATAAAATTAGGTAAAAAATAAACGAAAACCTACCTTATCGAATTCGCATATAATTTCGTTGAGCAGCCTTAAACATTCTAATCCTTGTTTATTTACATCACTTTCGTCGTAGAATTCCTTATAATTCGGTATTGACGCAAACATCACTGCCACGCAAGAGTATCTCTCGTGGTACAAGTCCTCCGTGATCCTCGTGTTCAAGAAGTGCTCTGCCACGTGGGCGGGAAGAATATTTTCCAGGAGAATCTAAAAGAAAAACATATAAAAAACAAACTTGTCTGGAAACGACATCCAATACTTTTTTTAAATCAATCGAACTTGTAAATACACGAACGATAGAGAACAGTGATGCACAACGAAAAGAAATAATTATGATGACCAATTATTTATTGAAAGACGTAGAAAAAACTATTTTGTTAGTAAAACTTTACTACTAAAATTCATAGTAAGGTTAAGTAAATATTTTAATATTTATTATAAATTTTTAATATCTAATATACAGGATGGACAAACGAAAACGTATTAGAACCGTTATCAGGAACTGCATCAACATTTTAGACAAACTCTCAAACCCGTCAATTTTTCATTAAAGGGAGGAGCCATCTTTCTATCAATCATGTCCTCAACAACTGTCATACGTCATTCCCTTCCCTCGCCATCACAGTATAGCACATCATTGAAAAGATAATTTTATGGAAAATTCAGTTATATGATTTTTTAATACGTTACTTTTGATTTTAGTGCCCTCTAAGGGGATCAAAAACTGTTATGTATTGTAAAGTGTGATACTTCGTTTGAAAGCTAATTTTATTAGTAATTTAATCCGTAGCATAAATTTAATATTTTTGTTGATAATGATTAAAGTTTGTATTCATTAACGTTAGGCTCTAAAAGATTTTTTAATTATTTAAGTTCATGTTTCATTCTGTGACACGTCTTCTTGTCAAGTGGAAGTTGTGGGTGGCACCAGGCTGGTATTTAGAATAAGGGTTGCGCGGACGCCAGTTTTGATAACGCAGTTTGCTCTGCGACCCTCGAGTACACCTAGAGTGCCACTCTAAGTAGCCCCAGTGGAGTAAGTAAATTCCAGGCGCTCATTTACAAATGGGGTAGTACCTGAAAAAAAAAACCTTAACACCGGTAATATCCACCTTACTCAACCTATCACCCTGGTACGGTCTAAAAAAATGAAGATAAAAATAAAAGAATTAAATTATCAATTTTAAAATAATTTTTATTAATGCGTTCTATGGAAACTTTTTGCCAATAAATAAAATAAATATATGTAAAACGGCTATCCCCACGGTATTCAAAATAAAAGCTAATTAATAATATACTTTTTCTACTCCTATACTATAAGTTGTTAATTAAATGCTAATTTTCAGTTTCATAATGATACTCATTATAACACTGATTTTCATTATGAAACTGAAAATCAAATTCTATATTTAATTGATAATACAAATAATGAAATTCATATTAATTTGCCCTCTTTTACCACGAGTACAAATTGGTTTGTGACTAAACATGGTACGACTCAAGTACTTTTTAATAATTGTTCTATTCAAAATAATTTATAATTTATCTTGTTAAGAAGTTTATTTATCTTTATTGCTAATAGTCAAATTAAGATCATAATTATTATATTGGTTATTGTGTAGGAATAAAAATTAAATCGTGTAACGGTTAGAACCGTTATTTCGTTATTTCTGACACAATCACCTGTTACTCAAATGTCATTTGTCGTCCATGCTTTGTGACAGAGAAAGTGGCATTTTTATTTCACCTGAATAGATCGAATAGATCACTTTTATTTTAAATTTATTTTGGTCATCCGAAATATTAATTCATAATTACGTTTTGTTAATGTTAATAAATATATATTTTGTGCAATGATTTCTCGAGAAAATTGTCAAATTTTATACATAACCTCTACATCTGCAATGAATGACACATGTTAGTTCTATATAAAATTATATAATATTTTTGGGAATAAGATATGTTTTACTATATTTAAATATATTAAATAAGAGTTTTCCTTTTCATATTAATTTTAGTCTCTGTGAAATTATTCATTTAATAGTTAAAGCATTTTATCTAAATCCTTTTCAAATTTCCCTTCATCTATCATAACATTTTATCCCTTTTTAGCCCATGGCAATCTCTAGACGATTTGGGTTCGGATACAATAAGAATCATTCATCTTGAAGATCATTTGGGTTCAAATACAATAAGAATCATTTATCTTGAAGATCGTTTGGATTCGAATACAAATAAGAATAATTTATTTTCAAAATCATTCACGGTGCCGTCAGGAATGAGAGTTATGAATATGAATCCCGAATCACTTGGTGGAAGTTACCTAACCGGTATATAATGTTTAGCGATTGATGTATCTCTGCAGTTTGGGACAAAGGAAGAAATACCTGATTTTTACCTTTAACTTACTATACCGTATATTACCTTATTTACCAAACAGATAAGTGCAATTGATCTAATCAATAAATTGTTTTAAATTTGAATTATGTGCAAACTTGTGTGAATTAGAATTTGATACATACCTTATCTAAAGCATGTTTTAAGTATAATTTGTTAGTGGTTAGTGATTTTCTATATTTTTATCACTAATGTAGAGTTAAGTGTATAAGCTTTAAATATAGTGGTGCCTAACTTCTTCTTCAGAGTTATTAGAGTTATTTAAAAACCTAACCCACGCCCTATAAATTGAGCTCAAACACATATATCAAAGTAGACAAAATAATCAGCGATTCATGTTACAGTCGAAGAACTTATTTTTCTTTTATATTTTATTTCTTGTTTGTATAAAAAAGTATTAAAAAATAAAAAAAAATAAAGCAATGTTGTTGAATTGAAATAGTTTTTTGGTCATAGAAAAAATAGTGTATGCAACTCTCATGTAATGGCTATTAATACATGATCGTTGCATAATATACTATAATGGGACAGAAGTCTTCAAAATCAACAGATTGAATACGCCTAAGGTCATTCTAACATCCTCAATATTACTGTAATTACTTAACGCTATTTTTATTTATTTTTAATTTACAGCGGTGTTAGCCAAGTGAGTATGGTCGGATTTTCGTAAAAATTTAACCTGACAAAAATTCACTTGTTAAAGGATTATTTTCAAAAAGATGCGGTTTATTACAATTAATGCAGTGACGGATAAGGGGGTAACGTCACCTCGTGATCGACGCAAGTTAGTAAATTAAAGATTTCACTGATTGCCGGAGTAGTAAAGAATCTATTGACTCGGGAAACCTTGGTTGTTGAGAAATTAAGTCGACGAAATAAGATTACAATAATGCTGGACTTGCTTGGCTTACGTAACTTCAGCACTCACAAAACGGCATTCCTTAAAAAGTAAGAATTTCGTCGTTGAAACCAAACTATAATATTGCAGCTTGAATGGCCCCTTTTACAAAAGTTCAGAAATCCTAAAACGATATAAAATTCGGCCTAGTAAAGGCTAATTTTCTCGGACTATAACAAACGATTTATTTTGTTAATATTTAACAAGCAATGGTCGACCCAGAAGATAACGAATTAAATTCTAATGGTAAAGGCTAATAATGAAAGAATCCTACCTTGTAATGTTCACGGCTTTCACATGATCGGAATGGAATTAGCAAAGATACTAGAATTGAAAACATCTATTTCTTGCTAATGAGTCCTAATAAGGACGAAACTGGTCCAATAATGATGTTCTCCTAGTAAGAAAAATCAAAGATAGTGTTGAAATCGAATTTCTATCTTTGCTGTTTCCCTTTGGATATAATTCAATACCTGTTGCAGTATTAGCCAAAGGAGTAGTTGTTTTCCGAGGGGAACGCTCGTATTTTATGACATATCGCTTTGTTGTATTTATTTTACGTGTTGGTCACATTGAAATGAAATTATTTTGCTTTTTTAAAAATATAAATGTTAAAAAAATTAAAGTTGTTGAAAAAAGTAAAAATTTTGAGTAAAAGTAAAAATTTTTAAAAAATAACATTTTGAGATAATAAAGTATAAAGGAGTGTACTAAAGAATTTCTAGGTTACGTTCTGTCTTTTCTCAAAATTTTTCATATGGACCGCAATAGAAGAACCTGCTAATTTTCCCACATTAAAAAACAATATTAAATATAGATAAAAATGACTAAATATAAAATATTTCTTACCTTATTTATGCCTCTCATGGTTTCGACCTCGTCCTGTTCCACCTTCAGTTTAGCTTTCCACAAATAATCGGTTCTAGCGGTGAATTCTATTTGTCTGTCGAGTATGTGGAAAAATATCACTACTAGGGCTAGAGCTAGCGCTGTTTTAATTTCGAACGGTATAGATGGAAATCTGCAAACAAAATCCAATAATTCCTCTAAATCGTTGAAGAAGAGTTGAAAAATGTATTTAATTCAGAAAGACTTATTTTTGTGTAAAATTGTGTTTCATTATCAAAAAACTTACTCGTCTTCGTGAACGTCATGGTATTTTTGAAAAAACTCCAAGTAACTGTAGATAAATATGTGCGCTACCACCGATAATATCATAATGAATAGCTTCAGAAGAAAACCCATCCTTAGAAATACCGAAATGGCTGCCAAAACTAAAGCTGAACTGTAGAGATATGTCTGTAAACATCAGAAATATTAAATGCTGAAATTTGTGCACAATTCAGTTCAAGGAAAATATTTTAACTAGATTTTCTCCTAAAATTTTCAACACTAGTTGATATAAAGACATTAGGTACTATCAAAATCCAAATCCGTATTCTCAAAGCATTTTTAAATAGTTACCTACGTGTATCCGTAAAGATATAAACGTCAATGTCAACGTCAATGTCGATTTTGAGAAAAGTAGAGTTGGACGATGGAACGATTTTTCCATCACACTTTAAATCTTTACTGTAATTAGTAAAATTTAACTAAATAAGGTTATATTTCCTTACATCATTAAATATTCGCCTATAATTAAAAAAAACGGATATTTTCTAAATGAAATTACACTCAAGAATGCTCCTTGAATTAGTCTACTATAGTATAATTATAAAATAAAAAAAAATCTTTAATTACTGTTCTATCTTCAATTAAAGTTAAACAAATAATGATTGAGAGTAAACCGCGTTGTCATATTTCAATTTTAAGTTACCAGTTTCTAGCAGAATCAAAATATAGTGAGCAGTAGAGTTGCAGGTTATGGCAAATTATAGATAATATACAATCATAGTACGATTAAAAGATATTATTTATGACAAAAAACAGTAATGAATAATACTTATACATTTCCTGATTTAAAATTAATTATTTTATGTATTGTTCAGTCTGTAGTACAATTAATGGCAACGTTGTACGGAACGATATTTGTGTCAGTTTCGCGTAAAATCCATCTCATCGATGCAGTGCTCAGTAATGTACTTGCAACCACCAGAGTATCATCGGGTTTTGAATTATACAGCGTGAATTGTAAGTTTTACATTTAAGTTAGTAAGTAATTGACGTGTTGTGATAACAATTGGTGATAATAATAGTGCTAATAAGTGTTTAAACATTAAATAATTATATTTTTACACCGTTCTAAAACTACTCAAAAAATGGGAGACATTTCAGGGCCTTCAACGTCGAAAAAGGTGAAACGGTCGAAGTCTCAGTCGCTAAGTGAAAAACAAATTGTACTTCACTGTCTTGAAAGAGATTATCAGCGACCAAAACATGACTTAGTGCATATGTGCTGTAATTCTACGGCTGTACCTCCGAATAACCAACCGGGCGGTCCAACATCATCAACTTCTACAAATGCAAAAGATAAATTAGTTGATAATATGTGCTCTGATTATACGGGTGTACCAAAATCATTGATTTACAAAATACTAAGAAAAAACAAAATTCATGGGGAAGTACAAACGCCAAAAACTAGTAGCGGACGAAAAAAAAATCATAGTTGATGAAGCAGAAAAACAGTATACGCAGAACTATTCACAGTTTCTTTTTCAGAAATGAGCTGCCCACTTTGCAAAAAGTTCTGGAGGCAGTTAGCGATCATGAATTGGTCCCACAAATGGTTAAAGAAACTTTGAGGAAGGTTAGGTTAGGTTGAAAATGAGTGGGATGATCTCATCGCCTTCCACTGCGACCCAGATGGGTCTATTGTGGCTCATGACTAACTTATAGTTCACTATACAAGCCACACCTTTTGATAAAGGTCATGGTTGAATTTAGTGAGACTTCTTTAAAGTCGGTAGACTCTAGTCGGGTAAATCCGAAGATATGGAACCTGGTTCTTTCTAGAGTGGAGCAGGTACATCGACAGTCCGATGTTTGTTGCAGACCTATCCTTATCATGTGGTTGCCCAAACGGCAGTGACCTGTCATCAGTCCAGTGAAAATGCGTAGATCTTTCCTACTCCATTCTCGGATCTGAGCAGAGGCGTTCATAGAAGGGTTGGTTATAAACGCTTTCGAATGGGTTAGCCCTGGGGTATCTCTTCAGTTCGTGAGTGTTGCACCCTCCATCCATTTCGAGATAATTCCTTTGGCAGTGCTTTTTGCAATGCCCAGGAATGGTTCTGGTCCTATAAACACAGATTCGGTTCCTCTTTTAGCAAGTGCGTCGGCTTTTTCGTTGCCCTTCCACACCACTGTGTCCCGGAACCCAGATCAAAGTAACTTTGTTCCGGACACTGAAGAATTCTAGGGTATTTATACAATTCCAAACCAGCTTTGAGTCAACTCAATTGGAGAGCCTTAAGGGCTGCCTGGATATCTGAAAAGATCTTTATAGTCTTGTTTGCGGGGAGACAATTGATCAACTCTCTCGCTCCCAATTCTATGGCAATCATTTCTGCTTGGAAGATCGTGGCCAAAGAGCCTAGGTTTATTGATATGTCAACTCTAGGCCTCTGGCCAAAGACTCCCGCTCCTATTCCATTTTCAGTTTTGAAGCCGTCCGTGTACAACGCATAGTCTGCCTGGGAGAGGGTTTTTCCCCTCTGCTCCATGCGTCTCTCTCTGGAATAAGGACGCTGTATGGCTTTTCTATGTGCTGTTGGGGAACTAGCGAGTCGAGACCACGCTGAGGATGAGGTGGTTATTAATTTCACTCATCAGCCCCGTCTTGTCCCATCGCAGTTCTTCGTAACATTGACTACCCACCTTCAGGAGTCTGTAGTAGTCCATCCTGGCCTCCCTTTCCATGGCTCCCGTAGGTGTGGTTGACATTGCTCCAGTTATGGCGAGGCACGCAAGCCGCTGTATTCCAGCCAGCTTTGCTCTGGCCATCCGTTGAAGTCCCTTGTCCCACCAGACGACAGAGCCATACGTAACCATGTGTTTTACCACTGTTTGGTAAATCCAGTAAATTAGTTGAGGACTGATCCCCCATGCTTTGCCGCATATCCTTCTAAGGGCCCAGAGGGATAGTCTGGCTTTGTTGATGGTTTTATCCAATTGAGGAAAATTTTACACGAAATTTACGAACGGAAAAGTTGACAGGAAAAGCATTCTCATTGAACGTCAAGAAATAATAGAAAGGAGAAGAAATTATCTCAGAAAAACTGACGAATTTCGGAAGAAAAAAAATACTACATTGATGTGACGTGGGTTAATCAAGGACATACGGTCAAAAAAGTATGGCAGGATGATCATATAAGAAGTGCACGACAAACCTGAATTGAAGGTTTGTCAACTGGGTTAAAACAGCCATCTGGAAAAGGTAGTCGTCTGATAGTTACGCATATAGGAAGCGACAGTGGATTTTTACCGTTTAAAAAATGGTTTGAAGTTTGAAGTCATCATTCAACTTGTGGAACATGGTTCTGTCGTCGTCATAGACAATGCCCCATACCAAGAATGGTTAATTAATAAAAACATCCAACTACTTCAGCTAACAAAATTACACACAGACAAATATAAAAAATTCGCAGTGGATGAAATGGCGTTAAGTCATGGAATTACAGATTTAAGATTACCACCGTACCACTGCGAATTAAACCAAATAGAATTAAACTGGGCGCAAAAGGATATGTGGCACGAGAAAACAGAACATTTAAATTAGTGGACGTGCAACAATTTCTACAAGAAGCCATGTTTCTACAGAAGACTGGAAGAAATGCATTCAGCAGAGCAAAAAATGTGGGACGTAGACAGCCGTATTGAACACAATATTGGACCAATCATAATTAACTTTGATGATAGCGGTAGCAGCAGTGACGAATCTGAGGTTGAAGATTAGACGAAAATTTGCACACAAAAATAAGTCTATATATTTAGGTATCTTTCTTATTTTTAATTTTAAATATTTCTTGTGATTTTTATTAATATTGTTAATTTATTTGGTACCTACTATAATTACCACAATTATTACTCCGTTTTCATAAAGCCCAACTAATTACTACAACGATTAGGTAAATTACGATATTGCAAAGTTTTAATGAAATAAATAAAAAATTTGTGATTATTTTAAATAATTGTACTAAGCATTTTTGGTTCATTCTTAACCCTCTTAAAAATTAATAAGCACACCTCCGATTTGCCATCAACCTAGCTTGTTTCTACTCTCAATCATTATTTGTTTTACTTTAGGTAACATATTTAAATTACTTACTGGAACATACTGTACAACGACAATATTTGGAATTTCATCGTCGATTTCATCGGGCATTCTGGTAGAGACATTCCACGCAAAGCTGGAATTGTATTCATCGATTTCTGGCATCGGCGTTGTACTGGTTACAATCGGTATGGGAATGGGCAATGGATTGTAATCAATCTGTAAAAAATGTATAAACCAATATGAATTTTACAAATAATACAGATGCGATTGAAAAAAAATTATTAAAACTACAGAAAGTGAAAGCAATATATACAGTGCAACCTCGATAATCCGAACCCACGCTAATCCGAATTACGCTAATCCGAACGCAAATCGTGATGCGAGATAGTCCGAACGCCGCCTCTGTAATTCGAACGCTGACAGGAAAAGACCTGCAGCGCGGCCCACGTTGCCCATATGTAGTTTGATGTTTGATAATGCATTTAAATGTACAAAAATCAATATACATACATTGATCTAAAGGTCTAAAAATGTGTAAGAGGTGTTTTATTGTATATTCGTTAGTCCGAACAATTCGATAATCCGAACAAGGTCTGACAATTAGGTGTTCGGAGTAAAGAGGTTGCACTGTAATATGCTTCAAGGGTCCTATTTGTGGCCACTAATAATGTCCATTTATGACTTTTTCTCCTATTATGAAGTAAAGTTAATTTTTTATTTTTCCACAACAATTTTATCTTATTGCGGTTTCTTACATCTATTAATTGGTAACATTAAAAGTGAAGACAGCCGTATGTAAGTCGTAGGGATTGAGAAAGAAGGTAGAAAAAAAGGACCTTTATTTCTCAGACAAGTCACACTGGTAAACATAAAAAGTAAGAAGGCCACTGTGTCTAAATGTATAACAAATTTTTGAATTGGAAACGGGAGAGAGGTGATGAGTTCGCTCTTTAAGGAAGGGGGCGGTGAAATTTTGTATGGGAGTACAGTTTTCTTAAAGGTAGGAATTGTAGTTACTCATAATAAATAATGACATATTTCATGGTTTTTGGATTTTTATATTTTAAGGGGTGGAAACGGGAGGGTAAACATTTGTATGGGAGTATCGACTTTTTTTAAAGGTAGGAACTTGAAAATTATAATTGTAGCTACTCATCATAAATAAATAATAACATATTTTGTTTTCGGTGATTAACCTATAGCCATAGTTTTGTTTGGTCTATATTTTTATACGGTTTGATAACTTTGCAGGATAATTCTGCTGTTAATAGGACTAAGTCCGGCACTGTTTGTGGGCTGCATCTTGAAAGGGAACCCTTTGACCATAAATCAAACACTGACGAACGGCACAATGTTTATTTAATCATTCGACAAAACAGAGAACGCAAATTATTTACATATTTACACAACTAACCATGTATTCATAAAGGTACCATTTCGGTAGACGCGTCAGGAGACAGGAGACCACCGAGGCGACCCCAAGGACGACAGATGCATTTGGGAAGCAAGGAGACGGGTGCGCGACACCCGCAGATAACCATTCGACGGAACGATCAGCGTTGCCAGACCTACTGTTTTTAAGTAGATCCACTGTTTTTGTCTCTAGCAAATTTTGTTCTTAATTTATTAAGTTTGCCTCATTCTTCAGAAATGGTCAAAGAATATTTTCTCTAGTAAATTTGCTGAAGTAAAAGCAGCGTAATAAGCATCCACTACTGTAGGTTGGCTCCATAAAAAAAAACATCAAGATAATCATTATTTTTGTTTAAAATGAAACAAAGAATTAATAGGGCATCATAAAAAGAACATGCATGCCAAACACAACGATTTTGAATTATCTGAAGACTGATCTAAAAGAATTAGGTATCTAATATTTTTCATTGTTTTTTTTTTTTTGTTTCCGTACGTTAAGTATATATTAAAAATGTTATTATTTGTTTTTATTCTTTGTTTACTTTCTGATTTCTTATATACTTGTTTTTTTATTTACTACACTGCAAATTATAATTATTTCTCCCTGTATTAAAATCTACTCTTCAGATGTACGGTTTTTTTTTCACCCATACTGTTCCAGAATCTGGCAACACTGCCTAGATCGAAAGAAATTTCCAACCTAATCACCTCCAAATACAAGCGATGTCTGAGGATAGCGACACGCAGCAAACGCTTTGCCCGGAGACAAATCCAAAGTGTCGTCGAGAAGTGTCGTCAAGAAGTGTCGCGCCGTGCGAAATGTGTTTCATATAATTGTATGTGTTTCAGACAGTTCTCGGTCGCGTCTGTTGTCGTCTGTCGCGTCGGCTGTTGTCTGTCGCGCCTACCGAAATGGTACCTTAAAGGAAATTCAATCGCATGCTAGTAGTTTGTTTGTCAAACGAAGTGATCGATCGATGGCTGAAAAGATGTTTTTAGCAAGAGCAACATATATGCCGACTGCATTCTGTCGTGTCGAACTTTGAAAATGTTGAAAGTGAAGTGAGTTTGCAGTGATAGATAAATATCGACCCCGATGGATCTTTACTGTTAAACGTTTGAAAGTGGAGTGAGTTGACGAGAGACGAGAAAAGAAAACGATGTATACACTTAAATGTGGAGTGAGTAACTTGTCAGTTCTTGTGTGTGATGGGCGTGTCCAACTGGCAATCATTACATCATCGAGTGGAATTTTGGTAGAATTATTTTAGCTCTATTGAGTGGGAAAAACAAATATTGCGATGCAAGATATAGAATAAAAAGGGGAATGTATTTTGAATTTGCGTTGTACTTGTGTACGTGACATTCATCACGTCTTGCAGAAAATATATTTAGCTTGTACTGTATCTTAAGCGAGATAAGAGGATCTGAGCTGTACTTTTGTACGTGACATTCATCACGTTTTGTAGAAAATATATTTAGCTTGTACTGTATTTTGAGCGAGATGATATTGTTATTCGTAGGACAGAAAATGTGCATTTCTTGAATACGTGGGCTTAAACTTAAACAAATGGGTTGAACAGGGGGGTTTGGAGAATGTTATGTTTAAATTTGAGAATGTGTTATAAAATTTAAACACGGTTCATACACACTCGTATGTTTTTAAGGACCCTTATCCTAGTCAAAATGATTTTTTGTTTCTTGATGTGTTTTAATACCCTTGCAAAATGTACTTTTAATTTTAGAAAAGAAGAGAAATTTTTTTGGACTTTTTTCAATCTTATCTTATACTCCAAAATCCGTTTTCCCAAACTGCTTATTAATTCAGTAACTATAACAAAGCTGAATATCGAATTAAATCAAAAGTCGAAGTTTTGATTAATTAACAATTAAACCGCCTTAATGAGTATCGTCTTTGTGAATATTAATTAGGAATAAGGATCTTTCGCAATTAAGAATCCTTTTGTCGGAAAACGAGTCATTGTAAATTAAAATTACGTGGATTTATTGTGTAATTCCACTGCAACGTGCCTGATAAGGATTATATATACGTGGAATATATGATATAAAAGCAGGACCGGGATTAAGCCTGATGCAGTCAACAAACTTATACAGGGTGACAGAAAATAATAGGGTTATGGTGAATCGATCTTTATAGTAATACATATGTTGATAATGTTTATATTGTTTCATGTTATTGGTTTATGTAACACTGTCATATTTTAGTTGAATAAAAGCCTATTATTTTCGGGTTAAACCTTGATTTTACTACAAGGCTGTTATTACCTACCAAAAGATGTGATTAAATTTTGAAAATATATGAAAATAACGCAGATTTACTTACCAATGTAACGACAGCGCATGCCGAAATTAGTGTCACAGACACTAAAAAAATCGATAGTCTGAGACATCGACTTTCAGCAACGATTTGTCCAGGGGGCGAACAAGCCCCTGGTTCATCCACCGGGGTATCCGAGGGTGGCCGAGGTCCGCAGCACCCATCCAACCAACACAGATAGACGAATATTAGAAGCACCACCAGGGTAGGACCCAGAGTACCAAATAGAATTATGCTCCTAAAAAAAATTATAAAAGTCAACTTAACGGTTTGTTCCAACAAAATAATAAAATGTATTTTCTCCATGGCCATAAAGTGTGCCAAATTAGTAAGCAATGCATACTATTTTTGATATCCATTCTTCAACTTTTGCGATAGTAGATTTTCAAGGATCACAAGAATTGAGAATTTTTTAAGAACATTATCCTACTTCAACGTATAGCGTGAGTGAAATTTGCATAATTTGTAACAAAATATTCTCAAAAATCTTCTCATCTCGCGTGGTATTTGTAAGATTGTTTGATAATATAATCAAAACTTTTATAAACATTTGCTTTGTTTTCGTGAGATGAAGTCGAATATTTTTCTGATTTTGACATATAAAGTGACATTTTTTGTAATCGCAGCAAGCATCTCTCAGCTCCAACCAGCAGGTTATTAACGACTTGATAACCAGCAGGACTATGATGAGCTGGAAATATGCCAGTCCCTAGACAACTCTCAGAGAAAACTAGCAGGTTTTTAACAAGTTGAGAAGCAGGTTCTGTATGCCCCTGGAGGATGCACAATGGGTCTAGTAAGGCATACGTGATGTGAAGCAACCCATCCTCCATGCCTTACAGCTACAGAATGTCTTGGTCACATTTGAGTTTGTAATTATTTTCCTTTTTAAAAATTGCCAGCTTGGGTTTTATTCCACTTAGTTTTTGAACTGGGTACTACCAAATAGCTTTAATTTTGTTTACTATAGGACTATGTCTCTAATTTTCATTTATCTGATATCCATGTATACAATAAGTGAACACCTCTACATCGTCCATTAGAGATTGGAAGCAAGAATGTCTATCGCTTGCTGATGAGCCCTAATAAGGACGAAACCAGTCTAAGAAAAACCAACGCTATAATTTTCTCTCTGTTGTTTTTCTTTGGATATAATTCAATACTTGTTGATTCAATACAGTCGAGGGTAATATTTTGTGACACATGAATTTAACATTTTCTTCTTTATGTTAATTAATGCGCTTCTAAAGAAACACTATTGCGCTCAGGTGTTCTCCAAGGATCACACATGGTCCCATTCTGTTCGTCTTATTTAATGTACCTTATTTTTGATTTTAATTAACTAATGTAAGTAATTGCTTTCGGTATGCATGCAGATGATCTAAAATTATGTTTAGTCATGTCAACTCAATCAACCATCTTCAAATTAATCATAATTCAATGGTATATTGTCAAACTGTCTGAACTTAACATTGATAAATGTACCTAAGGTGATACGATTTCACAAAAGCGCGGGATTATCGTAATTTCAGATGGAAGCTTAACTGTTGTATTTCATTCCACATATTGAAAATGTTACAAACAAAGTCTATTATACATTGTATTATCTTTTCTACGCCCCTGTCGAGTTTTATTTTAAAGTATTTACATCGGTTATCACATAGCATTTTTAAATGGTTATCTACCTGTAAATTCTTAAAGATAGAAAAGTTAACGTCAATTCAAATAAAAAGTAAAGTTGATTTTTGTATCACACTTTGAATCGTTACTGTGATTGATAAAATTAAAATAAATGAGGCAATGTTTCCCCATTGACTAATTAAATATTCGTTAATATTTTTCTGGAAAACATGTAAAAAATGTCATTTTATTTACAACCATATATGTAATGTTGTCATTACTAACGTTATTGAAGGTTGGGAAGTGTCACATTATACACCTCTACTTCCCGCCCTCACTTCCCGCCCTCACTTTCCGCCCTCATTTCATCTATTCTAGATGAATATTTGTATATTTAAAAAAAATAACACATTTTTTTGACAAATGTTATAATACCTATTTAATGGCAAACAATAAAAAACAACAATGAACTAAAATACAACAAACTATTTATTGATATTTATTATTCGCGAATTTAATATCCGGCTTTATCTGACATTTATTTATATTGGTGGTTGTTTACCCCGTAATCACAGTAACAATATATTTACTTGATTATTCTGAGAAAACCGCGAGCTTGGTAATTTGTCGTTAAATGTAATATTTTAGGTATGTTCAGAACGAAACAGAGATTTATTAACTTTGAACGAAATATGATGGTTGTAAATAAAATAGTATATAAACCTCGGTAGGAAGTTTCATTCCTATCTCGAGATCATAGCTAACTTCGACGCTTCGCGTCTCGGTGATCTAACTAATCTCACGACAGGAATGAAACTCTTTCCACCTTGGTGTGTAATATACTATTACACAGATTAAATTAATTAACTAACCTAACCAACTTTATTGAACATTCATTATGAAAACGTTTCTATATTTAAGGCTTTTCATCTAAATTATAACTACTCGTAAATTCCTATAAATGTTTATCAGATGCTAATTTACGAAGTTTGATCAAAATCCTTTGATACGATGCATCGTAAAACAATCATATCTAGAGCTGCGGTGTGTGTTTACGAAGTTGTTAAGTTTAAAGCAACCGATTTTGGAGTTTGGTCATAGAAGCGAACTCCAGAAATGTCTTACGAGCACTCAATAAATTCGTATCGCCGGATTAGTTCGGTGGCAAAATGTCTAATATAAGTAGCTATAAGAAAGAACGGAGAGAACAATCTGTTTTGATCCGAAAAAGAGGGTAAAACAATTTGGAAATCCGAAACTACACCCCAACTTCCACTAAGGTGAAAACAAACTGGAAAAAGCTGCCAATTAGGCCATCAGAGCTTGTACCGAATTGGCTATGGCTAATTAGAGATATGAGACGTCTCGTTTTACGAGAAGACATTTTTTTTAAATTATAGTACAAGGTGTGTTATAAAAAGAACATCATCAGGCAACCATTTTGTTTGGAATGCCCAATTAAAATAATTAAAACTTTTATTCAAAAATTAATTTAGTTGGGATATTTGTTGTAACATTGTTTTAAAAACAATCCTAGTAATAATTATTCATTCACAAGCACTAGTACTTTCTAGTACCCCCTAATAGGTAAACACATTTACAAATGCCGAAGGCCGAAATTCTAACTCAAGCAACACTTTTTACACTACTGCATTTTGATTTACTTAACAATGCAATTATGAGCAAAATATTTCATTTTCCAAATAATAAATTATTATACCTGTATCCCTCAAAGTTTCAGACTCGGAACTTGATATAAATACTGCTTATAATACTGGCACCGGACTAAAATAAATGCATGCACTTAGAATTCAAACTTCGCTTACATACGACATTGGAAACTCTATTTACACAAGATATTTTGCTGTGAGAAACATGTCGAATTCGTGGTTTCGGACACCAATAGATACGTTACATCGATCGACAAATGAAAAGCAAGCAAATATTCTCCGGCATGTGAGGTATGAGCCTTACATAGAGATTCCTAAATCTTGCTTTTTGCTCTTCTTGAGCGTATCTGATTTTCGTTAAGTGGAAATATGGTAGGAATGTGTGCTTAGTATATTTACAAAGTCAAGGAACGGTTTTAGAAAGCAACTCTATCGATTTCTTTGATAAAATCTTCTCGAATATCAGAAAATAAAAATATTCTTTTTTTACTTCCATCCAAATAAAGGAAAAGAATTACCAAACTAGGATTTTATAGAAAGATATAATTCAATCATCAGACTATCAAAGAAAAATGCAAAGGATATAAAAATAAATATTGATTTAATTACAGGAGAAGTTTTAAAACCTCCGAAGAAAGCCATAATAAAACTTCCACTCCTGTTTCTAACCAAGGTATATCTCTAGTTCGTGAAGTCATTATGAGCGCCAAACCAGGAAAACCACCTAACAAAGTTTTATCATATACGCCAATCTGACTATTGCCTATATTATCGAAACTATTTAAAAAATACTCATGAAAAGGATGAAAACCATCATTAAAGAAAATAAACTAATTCCAGATTATCAGTTCGACTCTAGACTATATAGATCAGGTCCATAAAATCTCAAATGTGATTGAAAACGCATAAGAAAATAAAAAAGTCTACTCAGACAACTTCCTTGACATAAAATATGGCTTGAAACATGAACTGAATATGCTACTTCTACAGCCATACTCAGAGCTATTGAATTCATACATTTCAATAGATCTTTTAGAGTAAAAAAAATGAAGCATATTTTAAATTGAAAGAAATTAAAGCAGGAGTACCACAAAGAAGAGTCCTAGGACCAACTTTGCACCTGTTATATATAAAAATAAATTACGAATTAAATAAATAACTAAACCAAAAGATTGTGTATCAAACTAAACAGAACCTAATCTATTAATATTACTAATAAAAATCGTCAAAAAATACCAATAATTACCATAAACAATGCTCAGGTACCTCTTATGCTGACTTAGCAAAACATCTAGGTATTAAATTAGATGCAAGACTTCGCTGGAAGATTCATGTCAGAAAAAGACAAGAGCTAGATATGAAATTTAAGAAAATGTTTTGGTCACTTGGTAAGAATTCCAGCCTATTAACATACAATAAAATGTTTAAATAAGTACTCAAACCAGTGTGGATTTATGGAATTCAGCTCTAGGGTGGTTCAAGCAATACTAGTATCCTAATAATCCAGATATTCCAGAAGACAGTATTGAGGAATATTGTGGATGTTCCTTGGTACATTAGAAACAGTGACCTTCATCCAGATAGACACTGTTGACCAGACTATCGGTTCCACCAACATATGAACGTTGAGGCTAAACAGCTTCTTGATAATACCAACCTGACAAGAAGACTCATGAGAGTGAAATTTTCTGAGTTAGCCAAGTGATTGTGTTAGTAACAAGTAAGTGTTAGTAAGGAGTGCATGGTGCAGTTTAATGTTACACGTTAGCTTAGTGTAGTTAAGTTATCAGATTTTAAGGTATACTAGTGAGTAGAACTTTAGTTTATAAGATTGCAATGTAGTTAGGTTACAACAAAATTATAAGAAAGTGTTTTATCATAAAAAATCTGTCAAAATATTATTTATTGTGATTTCAGCCAACTCATTTTTTTATAACTATGTAATTTTAGATATTTTCAACACTTCTCAAGTCGTTACTGGTTCAATTCGGTTGACTCCAGAACCAGTAACGATTGTTCTTGTCATTCAAGCTACTATCACTTATCAATGTCATATTTTAACCAAATCAACTTGATGACCGAATTTAAAAATGAACTTTTATTTCTAAATTAAAAAATTAATGTTTCTGTTGTATTGCTATAACTTCTGTCAAGGCTCCTGCTGCTCTGGGAGAATTGAATCCAGCAGATCTACCGTCCTGCGGGTGTAGTCCTAAAGCTTTACTAAAATATAATTGGTGGCTTGGACCAGCTTGGCTATATGAAAGTGAAGAAAGCTGGCCATCTCAGCAGTTTTTATGCAATGAAGATCTAGTTTATACAGAGAAGAGGAGTGAGATAATTTCTTTGTTTAATGATAAATTAGCCGATGACTGGTATTATAGATACTTTTCAAAATTTGAGAAAATCGTTAGATTAATAGCCTGGATTCATAGATTTATTTTTAATTGTCGAAATCGGAAAAATAAAAGAATATGAAGTTTAGACGTTGAAGAAGTTTTAGCTGCAGAAACTAAATTATTTCAACTTATACAAAGAGAATGTTTTGGAAATATTAAACATGAGAAATTATCAACGTTATATCCTTTTATAGATGATTAGGGAATAGATTACGGACTAAAATATCAGAAAGAAGCGATAATGAAGAATTTCGCTTTCCTATCACGCTTACCATCACATCACCTTGTAGTTAAGAGACTGATTTATGATCAACATGTTAAATTCTCTCATGTTGGTATACAAGGTTTGCTAAGTATTTTACGAGAGAAATTTTGGATAGTCACCGGTAGACGAGCAGTCAACTCCATAATCAATAAATGTGTAGTTTATCGAAGATTCGAAACTAAAAGGTTGAATACACCTCCTGTGGCATTACCAAAAGATCGAGTCGATAATGCTTCAACATTTGAAATAACCGGTGTTGATTTTGCTGGACCACTGTTTTTATTTAAAAAATTAGAAAAAGTTTGGATCTGCATATTTACGTGCGGAATATACAGAGCCATCCACCTGGACCTTGTTAAGTCACTTTCAACGGAAGTATTTTTACAAGCATTACGAAGATTTATTGATCGACGGGGACGACCCAGAATTATCTATAGTGATAATGGAACTAACTTCGTCGGAGCAGAGAATATGTTTGAAAAATTGGACTGGAAAGTGATTTGTGAATACAGTACGATTCAGAGAATTAGATGGAAATTCAACCCTGTAACAGCAGCTTGGTGGAGAGGATGGTGGGAGAAGCTTGTCAGATTAGTAAAACAGTTACTACAAAAAACTTTAGGAATATCGTCTCTCAATTTCGAAGAATTGTCTACTGTAATATGTGATTGCGAGTCTATTATTAATTCTCGACTCTTGACATACCTCTCAGAATCAGGTGACGATTTAATTAGGCATTCCAACGACCTGTCCAAATGGCTACCAGTGGGTAATGACAGTTTAGATATGGCAACCCTGTTGTCATGTTGTCATTAACTGGGTCAATGATACATATATAGTTATATAGATTGCTCAAAGCTGGTCGTTTACGAGCGGCCATATTGCCTGGCAAATATTTATTAATTTGAATCGGTTTAGCAAAAATGTGTTTTAAAACCAATTTTTAGCCTTTAGATATTTAAAAAAAAATAATTGCTTACATTTTTACTTCAAGGCATAAGCTTATATTTATTTTGAAAAATATGGATGATCGATCTATGTAACTATCTATTTCATTGACCTTGTCAAATCAGCAGGCCTACAGGGTTGCCATAATTTTGCCATATCATAACCCGTCAGAACCCACTGGTAGCCATTCAGTTTGGAATGCCTAATTGCTTTAACACCCAATATGTTTTTACAAGACTTAAACAAAACAACTGACGTTACTGATATTGACAAAGTAGATTCCTTACATTTTAAGAAACATATTAGATATAGACAGAAATTACGAGATGCTCTAAAAGAACGATTTCGTAATGAATATTTGGGACAACTCATTTTATATTTAAAAATTAAAATACATCAAGTTAAGAAATGAGACTTGGACATGATAATATGAAACGTATAGACCGGCCCTTGGCGATCGTAAAAAAAGAAATAAATGGGAAAGATGGAGAAATACGATTATTACGACTAAAGACAAAATTAGGCCACATATTGCGACCATTTCAAAGAGTATTTCCTTTAGAGGTCGAAGTCAAAGAAGAACAGTTAAATATTCCCAAAGATATGGTTTGAGTCAGTAATGTGACTTTAAAAAGGGGGAGAATGTTGGAAATACTCAAATAAAATTTTAGTGCCCCTTGCATAACATATTTTTGTTACTTTGAAAGTTGATAAATGCGATATAAAAAAATATAGTTGTCAATAAAATATCTTTATTGGAAGGCGTAATATAATGTATTGTTAGTGTTTAAATAGAATCCTTTCAGTTATCTGAAATCTGTAAGATTCCAGCAGTCCAAACAGGTCAAATTTACCACAGTCGTTCTATCTGTCGTCGTCGGTCTGATGCATGGAAAGATAGCTCATAAACGGCTTTAGAGAAAAACCTCAAATTTTGTATGCAAATAAGGCTCCTTTCTGGCTCAAAACCAGTTATAGTTTCTGTCAATTATATATAGGGTGAGCAGTTTAAAAAAATATTTAGACGACAATTGGTATCTGATTATTTTAGAAGTCAAAGATAATAGATCCTAAATAGGTTTTTAAAAATTTATTTATAATGTTAAAAGGAATGGTATTTAATCAAAAACGTTCCCCTTAATAAAATAAATGGAAAGCGTTCTTTTGGTTTGTGTAACTGGACCATTTTAGCAATTACAGTTGTTTTCTACTAGGACGTCTAGTCCTAGGTAGAAAAGATAATGACCATTACGGTTCTTTAGCATATAAAGTGTGAGCACTTGGTTCCTTTAACAAGTCAACATTTGGCTTGTTTTTATGTGTTTTGTCCACATACTTTGATTACTATACGGTGCAAGAGAGAGGTCCGACACGTCCAACATAGGGCGCGGCCATTTTGATGCCTTTACCACAGTTTATAGCTAAAGAATCAGTTCGCTCACTCTGCGTCGGCACTTTTTATCTCAATGTTCCAGTTTATACACTGCGCAACTCGGATAATACAATATATGACAACCGCCTATAATAAAACAGCAGTCTTCTGAGCATCCTGAATTTGTATCCCTAGAGTGGATGTTATTTTGGAACTTTCAACTGGTCCGAGTGAGTTAACTGATTCTTTAGCAATAAACTGTGACCCCAAAAATAATATTCACTGACACTGATAGCAGCAAGCAAAATATCAGGTGCGTTTTAATCATCCGCTTCTGCTTCCGGAATTGTCGGTTTGGTCGTTTTAACCTGTCAGATTAAAACAAGAAAACCGACAATTCCGAAGCAGAAGCGGATGATTAAAACGCATCTAATAAAAATATTGCGCCAAGATGTAGGCAACACGTAATAAGGCATCAAAATGGCGGAGTTTTCTATCTCCTTTTAAAAGGCACTCAGAAAGCTGCGCAGTGCGACTATTCTCCGTATAGTAAGATAAAATCATAGTATGTGGTTTTGCCACTACACCGACATACATAAATTATTCTAAGGTCTACTTCAGAAACATTTTTTGTGGATTACTCTTTACATTTCATTGAGCTTACAATAAAAATAAAATTTAATAACTATTTTCTTAAAATAATGATAATATTTTGTGATTAATTTATTTTGCCAAAAATACCCAAACTTTTCTGACTAATAAATATCTTTTTGATTTAAAATGTTGCCAATCATTGATAAATAATTGAAATTTAAACTATCCTGATAGAGGTTGGGAGGTATATGATTTTCAAAATTTGCAGTAACCGAAAGCATAATATTATATTAATTAATAGGTATTTAAAAAAAAAAATATTTGAAATAACATTTGTTCGCATAAATAAAGCAAATTATATAAAATACGACATTTTTCCTAAATAATTTTCCAAATAGGTATTAATTTTCTAAAATCTTTAATAGAAATACAAAAAATGTTTAACAAACAATTCTATAAATAATCTAGTCAAAATTAGCTGTCGTAGTTTTACTGGTAAGAAAAATCCATGGCATCTACTTTGTACTTATTTTCGCCGCAAGTTGTTATTAGGTACAATTCTCATCATTTCTCATCCATAATAAACGCGAGATACGACGTAAACATCTGTATTTGCGTCAAGTCTATTTCAATTCGTAAATTTTTCAACGTAAACATCTGAGACGACCCGGTAGAAGAGAATAGAAGTCTCTATTACGCCAAGACGCGGCTAATTAATTCTAAAATCTTACCTGGGAATGGTGGTGATTTGCATGAGGCACATCGCTAGAAACAAAAACGAAGCGCAGGTGATGTAGTAGCGGAATTCCGCGTCGGCTTGGCCGCGGTATTCCGTTTCGTGCTTCCTGTTTTGGAACCACAGCAGCGCCGGATGAAGCTCTTCGCTGTTCCACCATTTTCTGAAACAGATCATCCGTTCGTCTTATTCGGATTATGATTTTGGCAGGGATTGAGATTACGAGGGTGGGATGGAAAGTTTCCTGCAGGAAGGAATGATAATCTTTGTTTCTATACGAAAGAAATCAGTGTTGCTAGCTTGTAATGCATTTATTACTTTTTAGATAAATAGATAGATCTTTATTGAATTATGAATCCTAATATACATATAAAAAGAACAAAAATATTTAACATACTAAAAGTTACAAAAATAAAAACCTTTAACATACATGATTCAGAATGCCAAATACAAAGAAACACACAGAAAATATCAAATTTAGAATATATCTTAATTAAATTGTACGTTTTACAGTGGTTGGTTTACGTAAAAATAAAGGAAGTTTATTTAATTTTTTTGAAACCCTTAAAGAATAAAGAATTCATAGTATTTTAAAAATTCTTTGAGCCCTTTCTATATCCAGAACGTAGCAGTTGTAATTAAGGCTGGGAGATTATCAAAATAAATAATCGATTATTTAAAATAATCGATTAATTGAAAATAATCGATTAATTGAAAATAATCAATTAATCGACAATAATCGATTAATCGTCCGAAAATAATGGATGAATTAATTATTTTGTCCACCTCTAAGGATGACCCATCATTAAAAAGGTTATTTGATGGAGAATTCGGCAATTAGATTATTCACTGCGTTACTTTTGATTTTAGTGCCCTCTGGCTCGATAAAAAACTGTTACGTATTGTAAAGTGTGACACTTCATTTGAAAACTAATTTGATTATTAATTCAATGCACCACATACATAACATTAATCTAAAAATCTTTATATTGCACTTGCAACAAAATAAAGTTAACAATAATGCAAACTTTTGCAAGAGCAATAAGTAAACATTTAGTTTAAAGTTAGAAAATTTCGATTATTTGATTATCGATTATCCGATTAATAGATTGATCGAAAATAATTCGATAATCGAAAATAATCAATTATTCGAAAAAATCTAAGATAATCTAAAATAATCTAAAATAATCTAAAATAATCTAAAATAATCTAAAATAATCTAAAATAATCTAAAATAATCTAAAATAATCTAAAATAATCTAAAATAATCTAAAATAATCTAAAATAATCTAAAATAATCTAAAATAATCTAAAATAATCTAAAATAATCTAAAATAATCTAAAATAATCTAAAATAATCTAAAATAATCTAAAATAATCTAAAATAATCTAAAATAATCTAAAATAATCTAAAATAATCTAAAATAATCTAAAATAATCTAAAATAATCTAAAATAATCTAAAATAATCTAAAATATTTTAAAATAATCTAAAATAATCTAAAATAATCTAAAATAATCTAAAATAATCTAAAATAATCTAAAATAATCTAAAATAATCTAAAATAATCTAAAATAATCTAAAATAATCTAAAATAATCTAAAATAATCTAAAATAATCTAAAATAATCTAAAATAATCTAAAATAATCTAAAATAATCTAAAATAATCTAAAATAATCTAAAATAATCTAAAATAATCTAAAATAATCTAAAATAATCTAAAATAATCTAAAATAATCTAAAATAATCTAAAATAATCTAAAATAATCTAAAATAATCTAAAATATTTTAAAATAATCTAAAATAATCTAAAATAATCTAAAATAATCTAAAATAATCTAAAATAATCTAAAATAATCTAAAATAATCTAAAATAATCTAAAATAATCTAAAATAATCTAAAATAATCTAAAATAATCTAAAATAATCTAAAATAATCTAAAATAATCTAAAATAATCTAAAATAATCTAAAATAATCTAAAATAATCTAAAATAATCTAAAATAATCTAAAATAATCTAAAATAATCTAAAATAATCTAAAATAATCTAAAATAATCTAAAATAATCTAAAATAATCTAAAATAATCTAAAATAATCTAAAATAATCTAAAATAATCTAAAATAATCTAAAATAATCTAAAATAATCTAAAATAATCTAAAATAATCTAAAATAATCTAAAATAATCTAAAATAATCTAAAATAATCTAAAATAATCTAAAATAATCTAAAATAATCTAAAATAATCTAAAATAATCTAAAATAATCTAAAATAATCTAAAATAATCTAAAATAATCTAAAATAATCTAAAATAATCTAAAATAATCTAAAATAATCTAAAATAATCTAAAATAATCTAAAATAATCTAAAATAATCTAAAATAATCTAAAATAATCTAAAATAATCTAAAATAATCTAAAATAATCTAAAATAATCTAAAATAATCTAAAATAATCTAAAATAATCTAAAATAATCTAAAATAATCTAAAATAATCTAAAATAATCTAAAATAATCTAAAATAATCTAAAATAATCTAAAATAATCTAAAATAATCTAAAATAATCTAAAATAATCTAAAATAATCTAAAATAATCTAAAATAATCTAAAATAATCTAAAATAATCTAAAATAATCTAAAATAATCTAAAATAATCTAAAATAATCGAAAATAATCGAAAATATTCAAAAATATTCGAAAATATTCGAAAATATTCGAAAATAATCGAAAATAATCGAAAATAATCGAAAATAATTAAATAATCAAAAATAATCAAATGGGTGATCGAAAATAATCGAATATTAGATAATAATCGATTGATAAAAAATAATTGATTAAGCGATTATTTTGCCCACCCCCAGATGTAATAATGGTACCAGGTTAGACTAAAATATTCCACAGCTTAGATCGCACGGGGAAACTAAATAATAATTTAAAGAGTTATATTTGAAAATTGTTTTCAATTTCTGATAATAAATTTATACATTCTAAAGCTTTAGAGACTTTGACTTGATTTGAGAAGGTTAATTTAGCATCAAAAATTACGTCTAAGTCACTAATAGTAGAACCTCTCTCCAACAAGATTCGAAACATGTAGTACTCTAGATGTAACCGCAATTGGCTCTGATTTAAATCCATTGTTTTCTATTTGATACATATTACTTAAATAAAGCTAAAGTACTGTTAGAAAAACTAGTCTATGACATTTTTGAAATGAATAAATATCAAATGCATTAGAAGTACTGTTTTTACGTTGACATATGACATTTCTCATGAAAATCTCGAGATAAATTACTTTTTCTCGAGTTTCAAAATAGCCCCCCTGATATGATGAAATGTATTTTCGGAAAAATGGATATATTATAGGATCATATGAAAAACGACCTCGAAGACCTTCGAGAAGTTGCATAACAGTGACACCGGCCTATAATTTTCTATTTTAGACTTATTCTAGATTCTTTCCATAAGTTAGGATATTCCTCGGTCTTTTGGGTCCGATTACAATAAGATGCATTCAAGTGCGTCAATATTATAAAAATATAGCAAATATTTTTTTATACCAAACAACTTACTTATTCTTTATGTATTGATAGTCAGAGATAATGGGGTCTATTCTGTAAAAATTCCTTTATATTTAACGGCATTTAAAAATATTATTTTCTTTACTTCTGTCATTATTTAAACGGATCTTTAAAATACATTAGAGGACTATCTTAAAGAAATCTGTTTAAATAATGACAGAAGTAAATTAACGAATACGAATATATTTTTATAGGCCGCCAATATTTTTAAAGGCCGTTAAATATAAAGGAATTGTTACAGAATAGACCCCAATATGTATTTGATCCTCGAAATAAAGGTGATGACGTAGCTGTGTTCTTCTTATTGTTACCGGATCTTACAGATAAAATACATTTTTATAAAAGAGACCAGCAGGGTTATTCTACTAAATTTATAGCCCGGCTACAAGTTTATAGCCCGGCTACAAGTTGGATTTTGAAGTTAGAAACATATAAAGTTCAAGCCAAAATCCAACTTGTAGCCGGGCTATAAATTTAGTAGAATAACCCTGTCAAGATTCTGGAATTATCTTTAAATAAGACAAAAGTGTGGTTAACATTCTAACCACACTTTTGAATGTTCGTTCATGTTATTCTCAAGTTAAAAATTGTTATTTTTTTGGGTTTTTTGGACGAAAAATTGTATCTGTTGATTTATTGTACTCACAAAACTGATTCTATACCGAGTGTTATGAAATTTCACCATTATATTTAATTTTTTGGTAGAAAAATCAAAACATAACCGCAATATGGCCGGCACATGTAACAAGTGTTCCATTAACTGCATTTTTAAAGAACCCAAGTCCTCAGGTGAGGTTTTTGGTTACCTATGTGATTTTTGTAAGAAGGTATTATGCAGGGGTTGCACTGGTATTAGTTCCACACAGATTCGATACCTACTTTTATCTTCCCGCGTCCTTCCATACTTATGCAGTGATTGTGTACCAGGAATTAAAAAAGCATTCACCCTAAACAGCAGAGTCAAAGTTCTGGAAGTCACTTTGAGCGAAATCAAGATTATTAACACTCAAAAATTCGATGAGTTTAAAAACCAGATTCGGGTGATAACTGAAGAAGTCAAGAGTTTAAAAACTAGCTTTTTAACCTCCCTAGACGATATAAAAAAAGACCTCAGTATTATTAAAAATTTTACCTCTACTTCGACGAATGAGAAAGATTGTAAATACAGTGCAGCAGTAGTACATGGTAATGTAACGCATGAGGTTTCCGAGAGATAGAAGAGATCTTGTAACCTGATGGTATTTAATTTTCCCCAAAACAACGAAGATGAGGATATGTCTAAGTTAAAAGTTATGCTCCAGGATCTCGTAAGCTCTCCCGTGAATATCCTTTGCTCGGCTAGAATTGGAAAGCGTAATAAAAATGGACATCGTCTAACTCTAGAGTCTCCCGAGGTAGTTCAATCATTATTAAGGAAAAAGCGAGAGTTTGACAGAAGCTTAAAAATATTTCTTGAGGCAGATTTAACCTCAGAACAACGAGCAGTGGTCAATACTTTGAAAAATGAATTGAAAGCCAGACAACGTAATGGTAAACGTAATCTCATTCTGAAGTATGTTAATGAAGTACCAAAATTAA